GTTTGTGTCGAGTGGACGTTAAACCCCATTTCTCTCTCTCTCTCACTGTGTATATTAAAGGAGAAAACATAGTACCGAAAGTATACAAATCAAATGCCAAAATGTAAAGCAAATAGCCTATTTACATTAAGTTTCAGCTCTAAATTTTGAGCCAATCGTCAAAGAGTTTATATGCTAGCCCTTTGAGAGTCAGAGACTTATTTGTAAAAAGTACCATGGCGCTCCAGATTGTTCTTTGAGACATAAAAAAAAAAGGTTCTAAAAGCCTTTCACACAAAGTTTTATTCCCTAATATTTACCCTGGATTTATCCTTCAAGTACCAAAATCATTGATTATTCATTAATGATAAATTTATATTTTATGTTAAGGAACAGATTCCAACAGAGTCGAAAACTTCATCAACAGGTGTGGCCAACTATATGCAAGTAGGCATAGAGGAACCTTGTGGAGAAAAAGTTCCAGGGACCTCCCATTCTCACCAGGGAAGAGATGTAGGTGAACAGGAAAGACAACATAATCAAATAACAATAGAAACAATTGGAATGAAATCTTATTACGTTGCCAATGGATGTACATCAGATCCCCCAGTGCCCCCCGCTCCAGATTCTCAAGAAATCTAGAAAGAAATTTTTCGCGTCACATAGGTGGTGAGTTGTCGCTAGGGTAAAAAAAAAGTACACGGCATAAAGTAATATTTTCTGTGGAGTAGATCCATTACTGAATACAGAAAAATCAAAATCAAAATCGTCTATTGATATCTTTTCGAATAAATGCATTTTTTCTGAAAATAACCGATAAGTTCATCGTTATCCGTCGGATTTGAGCAATAATCATCAACACACTACAATATTTCATCATAAGTGAGGTAGAGACACAGCTAAAGATTTTTTGTACAGCAATAGACGTTTCCCGCCACAATTCCGTGGAAGTGGAAGCTGCAGGATCATGTGGATATCGAGTGAGTATACCCGCACGCACGCGCATTGAGTCGCCTTAAATTTTCCGGGAAAAATAATCTTGCTGACCAAGCCTGGTGATCGCATATATCATATATCTAGATATCTGATCAGATCTATCTAATCCACTTGTGCTCCTCAAACGAGTCTAAAAACTAGTATCAGTTGACGAATTTCCGTTCAACTGATACTAACTAACTTTCACTTTTCCAATTCAGGATGCCTTACAGCGCATTGGACCACGAGCAAAACAGGAAAAAAGTTTGTCTTTATAGACTTTCTTCCAGTAATGGAATTACACCTACTCTTGGGCGTGACAAATCGACTTTACGACCACCTGGACACTGTGCTAACGGAATCTGGCAATAGTTCTCTGTGCGCTCAAGACTGGGCCCACGCTTTGAGCTTGAAACGACCGGAACTGCATTCTGGGAAATTCAACGGCAACCAGTGCCGCAAGCTTTTGAGTAATATTGACAAATTAGAGGACTTAATGAATGCTGATGGTAATGTTGGGCCGGAGGGGCAGAAAGTCTTGAGCGTGTTACGGGATGAATTTGCACGCGGATTATGAAACATCAATCAACTCTTTCGAGGCGTCGTATTCAAGTCTAGGTGCAAATGTCATTCCGAGAACATCAATGAATCATCTGAAGTATTATGTGACCCAAAATTTGTGTGTTGGCTCATCTTCAAAAGTTAGAAGTGAAAAATCCGACGGATAACGATGAACTTATCGGTTATTTTCAGATTTTGATTTTTCTGTATTCAGTAATGGATCTACTCCACAGAAAATATTACTTTATGCCGTGTACTTTTTTTTGACCCTAGCGACAACTCACCACCTATGTGGCGTGTGACAATTCTTCACACCTAATGCAGCGAGTTAGGTCCTCTTCATGAATCATTATCCCGGTTGGTGCAAAAAGCCAGGACCATATTTCATTTCATTTATACTATTTAAGCGACCGCTCGCTTCACACTGCTCGGACTACTCTAGTGTTTGTTGTGTATGTTTGTTGTGTGATTATGTCATGGTATGTTACTCCCCGTTGCCCGTGAGGCGTGTTTATTCAATTATAAAATGTATCTTATATATCTGATATGCCCAACTGTTAATGTGAATGTATTTTTATTTGTAATCGTCCTTTCTGCAGGTCGAACCGTCTACACTTCTTGGCAGCGGAATAGAGGCTACGTTTTTTTCTGAAACTTTCAGGAAACTTGTATTAATGAACTGTCCATAATTCTTAATTAGCGCAATACAGGTTACCGTGTATTATGACAAGACGTATAAAAGTTGTCTTCGGGTCTGAGTCAATCTGTTTCGCATAGGTACGCTGTGTAAGATCAAATGCCTTCTACATGTGACGTCACATCACACGACGTTGATCATTGGCTCGACAGCGCGTGCATTGTTTACATATGGTGTAGTAGCTAAACCTGTCTGTGCAGAATGGTGCCTTTTACTCATTTTATATACCTTTTTACACTAAATAGGAAATATTTTTTATCCAGATATTCTTCAAACACCATTATTTATTTTTCTAATGCTTCAAAAATATGTTCTAGAATTTAATATGAATATGGAAAAAATTAATTGAGCTAATTAATCCGCACCGATGTCACCCCTCTCAGTGATTATAGTTGCCTAGCGAATATTCACTGCTGATCAGTGTGGTAAAGGCAAAATCACATTCCTGAAGCAATTGCCCAAGAAATCCCTCTCTGGTGATGGCTGGATGATTTCTGATTTAAGGTATTAAAAACGGTATTGTTTACATTGTAGCCGTTTTGACAGCCTCGTTTGTCACACAATTAGTTTTTCTGCATTATTCTGCTATGCACTGGTTGGGCATAATAAATTTCGTGAGTCATGACGTAACGTTATGTAAACATATTTGGAGCTCTGTTTAAACCCGAATGATATTGTTACGTTTGTTGGGTCTTCCCTAAAACTTTGGACAGTGATTTAAGGTATTAAAAATAGTGAAAGTATTGTTGGTCTCCAAACAGTATTGTTTACATTGTAGTCAGTTTTAATAGCCTTGTTTGTCACGCAATTAGTTTTTCTGCAATATTCTATTTTCTGCGACCATGTAACTCCTGTTTTATATAATTTACACTGGTTAACCACCTGTTAAATATCGAATTAATTTTAAGATTTTATTAATCAGATAAAGTACTTTTAAAGTCCAAAGCTGTTCAACTAGTCTCTTGTGGTCAGCACTCTTTTAGTCCTGTTTCTCGAAATCTTAACTCAAGATAAAATCCAAATTTCAATAGATACTTCAATTTTGATTGGCTAAGCACTAAAATCAATCTAATATTATCCAGTCAAATTTCTAAAATTTGGATTTTATCGTTGTTAAAATTTCGTGAAACAGGCCCCAGGTTTTTAACTGACTCTGTATACACTCGTTAACATGTCCATAATCTTGTTGTTTATGATTACATTGTCACTTTGTAAAGTGACCCTGAACATGTTATATGAAAGGGCGCACTATAAATATGCTGTAATAATAATAATACTTGGGCGTAATAAATTTCGTGAGTTATGTGAAAATATTTTGAGCTCAGTTTAAACCCGAGGGGGGTGGACACCGAATGGTTAGCGTGTGCGCACTGTTTCATAAGGTCTGTCATTGAGTCAACTGGCGTGGTTTCGATTCGGTTGTACGTGACAAGGAATTGGGTCGCCTGTCCAACCTCGTGGGTTTTCTCTCCTTCTGTTAAACCCAAATGATATTTTTACGCAGTTAGGTATTGGTTGTTAATCGCAGCAGTCATAATTTGGAACAGAAATTTGCTTTCAATACGACAGTGCTTGAGTGGGATTGAGTCTAATCAAACGAAACACTGGGATGAGTATGACGCAAAATAGTGTACTGATATAAATTTTAATTGAGTTATTTGAAACTAATTGGTGTGGCACATTGTGGTTAAGGGAGGACAAACCGTATAGATTCAGGGACGAACCCTATTCACAATCAGCATTCTCCTACAGTTCTAGAGTTACCCTTGCTCAAGTACATAGCCAAAAACCCATGATCACAATAGAGACTACTGTTTTAACGAATGCATTTCAAATTTGTTGTGAAGTAAAGGTATGTAGAAACATGCGTTGGCGGTTAGATGTGAAAAGCAGTAACTCATAAAAAACTCCCCACATCCAACGTGTGACGCATACTCTCTTCTTGCTTAGTATTGTCTCTGGTTATATTTGTAATTCTCTCCTTCACGCTATGTGTTTTTTTCTTTTAATATCTCAGTAGTTAAGACATTTATCTGTCAGGAACAACAATGCAACAGTTCGTTTTAACATTGTATATCAAGCACTGTATACATAGGTTACAAGCATAGATTACATTAAAAGTCATTATCTACTCTCTCAACGAGTTTACATACGGGCTCTTCCACGACCTAACAGGGCATTCTGAATCCAGATGGTGTCTCTTCAACCTCAACGGTATCTCTCTCAATGCGTGTCTCCTCTCTAAGAATCTACATGGTGTCTAAAAATCGCCCACGGCTCAAGTGTTTTAATCATTGGCAGTGGCCTCGAGACAGCTCCGTAAATTATTTAATTGGACAAATGTTACGTAATTAATTACAATGATTGGTAACTTAGCCTAATGACGTCGATAAACACCCTTATATGGACAGTAGAAACTTTCCACCAGGAGTGTCAGACGTGTTATTTTGATATTAACCCAGAATTAAGTGTTTATGAAATTATAACTGTTTTTTATATATAAACCTATCACTCATTCAATTTGAGTAGGTGAGATATGACTTTTCTACAATATGAAACCAATTAGTCAAGGCCATAGTTATTATTAATTTAAAGAGCAAAAATTCTACCAATCTTACTATATTCCTACCTTTCTTAAGATATTTTGCTCAGTATTATTCATATGCAACACAAATTTTCACCATCGATATTGGAAATGTGGGCGTATCTTGCATGGCAACTGCTAGTATTTATTTTTCTTTTTATTGTCCACTGTGTATAAATTGCGATAAAAAAGTCAACATAATAGTAATAATAATAAATATTTCTTTTATTTCATCATGCTACATACAGTACATGTACATTGTAAATATTATTGGTGAAAGCAATACCGTTAATGGCTGATATCTATTTGATCATGTTCATAACATTAATAGCTTAACACAATAGACCGGGAGCCCAGGGGGTCAACCTAGCTGAAAAGGGTACCAATTTTCTCCTATATGGTATCAATGTATGTATATCTGGTATCATCAGAATGTAAGTCTGTCGGGTTTCTGGTGGTGGGTGTGGTATTCCACGCCCTAATTGCCAAGATCCCTCAGTAGGCTAGATTAGCTCAAAAGTGTACCACACGAAAATCTTACTGCAGTGAACCGTACATTTTCAGGTATTACAAAAACACTCTGACAGACATTTCTAGTGGTGGAGTACCCCTGACAGAGCTATGTAATTGCCAGACATTTGTAGTAGTGGAGTATCCCTGACAAGAGTTATCTAATATTTAGACCAAAGCTAGGCTAGATTAGCTGAAATCTGTACCACCTAAAACAGCCACCACAGGAGTCATGAATGACCACTGCCAGACAGTTTGTGCGGTGGGTTACCCCTAACAGACACGCCCCAAAATGCTACGCCCCCAACTAGGCTAGCTTCGCAGGCACTGTTCCCCGGTTCTAAAAAATTAGATTTTTAGCCAGGATGCGTAGGATACTAATACCTAGCACGTATGGAAGAGGCGATAAACTGTGATTGCAGAAAATTGAATGTTGGGCATAAAACATCTTATGGGGCTAAAAATGCATTTTTGAAAAATAAAATTATTCCTACAACCGCAGTTTATCGCATCTTCCATATGTGCTAGGTATTAGTATTCTACGCATTCTGGCATAAGTTTTAATTTTTTGGACCACAGGAACAGTGCCGACTAATCTATCCTAGTTGGGGGTCGTGTTATTTTGGGCGTGTCTGTTAGGGGCAACCCACCGCAAAACCTGTCTGCCAGTGGTCATTCATGATTCCTGTGGTGGTACTGAAAAACTCCAAAGCTGTTTTAGGTGGTACAGATTTCAGCTAATCTAGCCTAGCTTTGGTCTAAATATTAGATAACTCTTGTCAGGGATACTCCACTACTACAAATGTCTGGCAATTACATAGCTCTGTCAGGGGTACTCCACCACTAGAAATGTCTGTCAGAGTGTTTTTGTAATATCTGAAAATGTACGGTATACTGCAGTAAGATTTTCGTGTGGTACACTTTTGAGCTAATCTAGCCTAGTCGGGGATCATGGCAATTAGAGCGTGGAATACCACACCCACCACCAGAAACCCGGCAGACTTACATTCTGATGATACCAGATATACATACATTGATACCATATAGGGGAAAATTGGTACACTATTCAGCTAGGTTAACCCCCTGGGCTCCTGCTCTACAAATTTAAGAACTCCAAACATAATAAACTAAAGTTCTTTCACTGGAAGGCAAAAGACCATTTAATTTCTGTAATACAGCAACCAAAGCACCTGGCTGGTGGTAATGTGTCAGAATGACAATTGCCCTTTGGATTTAAGAATTGTTAAAATTAAGATTCAGGTTTTGGGAATACTTTTAATTCCATACCAATACTCTGACAGGCGTTACATTCCTGTGAAAATATGATTTACTATGGCGGAAACATACCCAAAATCTATTTTATATTAGAGAAATTAGCCTATAAAAGATGTCTATTATTACAATATTCACCAATTTTTGTACAATTTAAATGATCAACACACCAGTCCCACTCTGTAATGGTTAGTTTGTGTATAAAAGACTGCAGACTGGTAAATGATATTAGGTGACAGCAACTTAACATGCAATGATTTAGATTTACATTAATATACATATCACATTATATTCTAATATAGCCAGTAGTTTATTTTATAACTATCTTAATAATATGTAACCAAATAAATTGAAAAATACCAAAAATTTGTTAAATAAAATCATTATTACAGTCCTTATATGGAATAATTATTACAATCCCCATGTCTAACACACAAAAAAAATTGTTACAATCTCTTTGTTTAATATGAAATAATTATTACAATACCCATATAATTAAGTATGTCTAATCGAATAGCTACTTCAGATTTAAATGCCTACTTCAAAAACTAAAGTTTATGAAAAAAACTTGGATTCTACTTGTAAATAAAATAATAATAAAAAAGTATTGTCAGGCAATTAATGCATAAGCCCACAAGCAGCATTTTGAACGGTAGCTCTTAATTTTTCAGGGGCAATAGCTATGCAAAAAAATTAATTGGAAGTCTGAATATTGATATAATAGGTTTCCTTCTTATTGTTAGCCAAACAATCTCAGCAAGTTTGAAAAAGAAAAACTAATAAATTCCCACCTGTAGACTGAATTTTGGTAGTGTTCCTGTTAAGATTAGCTGGACAATCCCAGGAAGTTTGGAAGAAACCAACACTCAAAAACTCTGATCTATAGTGTTGACAAGAATTGTGGACAGACCTACAGCCAAAGTTGACACCAATTTCTACTTTTAAATATCAAATTTTATGTTAGAATTTTCTAAATTCAATCAAACCAAACATTTGACTAAAATGTTACTAAGAAAACATTCCAAGAATTTGGATAAAAAATGATTTGGAAAAATGTAAGCCAAGCAAGGGTGGATGTTAAGTTGTATATTGGTAGATATAAATGTATGCTACCTAGTTATACTGATTTCTATACAATATATTTCTGTCTTTATTATATATAATAATGGATGGCAATATAGGTTTATTCATACTGAAATACATGTATATCACATCATTGCACCACTTAATTACGACACAAATATTATAGAAATGTGAAAAGCCGATTAAATATGAATATGAAAAATATATGCTGAAAATATAAACACCCATATTTACACAAAAATATCAACACAAACTTAACCCTTTAAACTCTTATGCTAACACAATACTCAACAAAACAAATGAAATATTATAACATAATGAGAGAAATACATGCTACTCTTCTAATATATTCAATAATTTAAAAACAATTAATAATTTTAGTAACAGGGAAAGAAAAGAAAGGAATTATGAATTAAATAACATTTTTAACAGTAATTTAAATTAGTTTAATAAAATACATTGCTGTGTTCATACATTTTTTAATTTCTGTCGGTTAATTTCAGTTTTCCATCCAAAGCAAAGATATAAAATTCTGTAAAAACAAAATTCAATATAGTAGGCATACACACAGTAGATCCCATCTGCATGCCTTTGCTCAGTTTACTGTCTGGGAAAATGAGTCAATTATAAAGGGGAATTGAATACAAAATTATGAAACCCAAAATATTATTGTAGTATAAATGTTTTGCTATTCCATGTGGTTGTTTATGCTTTTCTACATCATGAGTTGTAAACTGCATTGTGTACATATCACAGTTTCAATAAAGAAACCATCTCTATTGTAAGAACGCAATGATATACCATATACATATGTTGGAATGTTGCATCATGCTTAGCTATGAATCTTTATAATTTATAAGAAATGGGTTGCTTTTATTGTAAATTATGTCAGAATCTACATCAGAAATAGTTGCCCAAATAAATTAGAAGCTTTTTTTCCATAAATATTATTTCAGAATAAAGTTTGACAAAAATATATGAACTAGCAGGAAAAGCAGAAAAGAAAAGAATGCACAAGTGTGTTAAGAAGAATGACTAATCTGAATATTAATTGATAATATATTAAATTCAATTTATAATTGATATATTAAGTAAACTATTTATACATTAGATATTTAAAGTAGTATATCTAGATAAATTTGTATATAGAACATATTTACATGTATTATGATACATTATGTTGGTTATTTTATTTTATCCAAGTTCTCTTATTGCCACCATTCTGATCCCTTCGCTGAAATACCTTATAATACCAATCACTATAATACTCTTACATCAACCTTTTATAAATTTAGGCTCTATAATATAATCATACAGTTTTCCATTGAAACCCTTATTGTAATATACAATACTATTCTTATTCTTTAATATTAACACCCCGGATTAAAAATCATATTATACATTCCCAAATTACATATAAAACAGGTACATAGGAATGGGTGATTCTATAGGATACGCTGCAAACAATCTTTTATCGATTTCGATTCATAATTAACTGCGATATTTCCAACTGAAAGATCCAATTTTGTATTTTGATGAACACAAATTAACATACCTTAAAAAAAGCCCTGGTTGAAATACCATGTGTTTCGTAGTGGTAAATATAAAATTTGGACATAAAAATTTAATTTTCCATGTGTATTTCTTTATGTTTTTACAAGTTTCTAAAATTATATAACACTACTGCATCAAAATCGTTATTAACAAGACATGATATAAATTTAGGGACAAATAATTTTGTTTTCGAATCAACACTTTTCTGAATATCAGTGTTATTTCTGAATAAGATATACAAACAAGAATAATATAATTATATGACATAATTAAATATATGAAATAAATAAATGTATACTGTAGGACTTTAACAACAGGATACGATGTTAAATGTTGGACCAACGCGCAGTAAAAATTTCTTCAATATGGATCTCATCTCTAATTTTAGATCAAACATAACAGTTTCACAAAGTAGTGGATAATACACAGCTGCATGAACTCGGAACTAAAACAAATATAAAGACATGAAATTAGACAAATATGTGATGATTATGGTACAATACATAGATATTTTCCTCATCTTCACATTGGGGGATGGGGGGTCGAGTGGTCTAATATGTGAACTTTAGACCATAAGGTCTGTCACAGAGTCAAATGGTGTGGTATCAAGCTCAAGCTTGAATGTGACATGGAGCAGGGTCATCTGCACAACCTCATGTGTTTTTTCCAGGTCCTCCAGTTTCCTCCCACTGCTAAAGATAAATTATTGAAATAAACTTGTACCATATATTAGTCCTGAGATGACCTAGTTTGTGTCAAGTGGACATTACACCCATTTCTCTCTCGCTTTCATCTTCAATAATGGGGGCCTCTCTATGCACCTATTACTGCTAAAGACCAGTTTCATTGAATATTACAAAATGAAACCTTAAATCCTTTGAAAAACCTAGATTTACTGTTCATGAAAGGCTCTACTAAAGTCAAGATTGAGGAACCTATTATTTATGTAAAAATCATAACCAATCTACAGGGAAAAATACATATTTGATTTTTCTTGGTCATTATAAATACCACATTTTCTGATAAAAAATCAGTTTAAAGGATCCAATGATGACCTAATTATTCTTGACTAAATATATCTTTCATAACGTTATTTTCTAGAGACATCTATTTCTGGTACAAAAGGAAGATCTGCATTGCTACAAAGTGTTTTCATTCAACTTACTCTTTGATCAGACATTTTAAGTAAACGTGTTAATAGTAATAACATTAAGCTACTCCATGCTTCCCGATGACTGTCTGATTGTAATGATAGAAAGTATTCTAATGCATCTTGACACACACTGAAATAAATTAATATTAATATTGTTTTATTAATATAAACAATGATATATTTAATATGTGGGAATTTCAATAAAAAGGAGAAATTTGACTAAGATATACTCTCCACAACTTTATCAATTCACAGACATGTTATCATGGATTGCTCTATCCAGTTACTAAATGCCTCCAAAGGGTTATCATCCTTTTCTTCAACCTAACAAAACTGACCTTTCTTACAAGTATATAATCTTAATCAACCTACCCAAGTAATTTTTTCTCGACATCTGGCCAAGCATCTCTTCTAGACTCATCATTATACATACGGAATAAAATACGAAACAAGCATGCTAAACTCTGGGTTTCTTGTTTCAATAGATTTGGTTTGGCTTTACCCTTAAAACCTGTTCACAAATAAAATAGTAGAAAACTGTCAAGCAGATTTGGGGAATTATTTATTTATTTATTATTCTACGTAAAGATCACATTATACATTGAATTCATTAGCATAAAGCTTGCTAAGCCACTGCAGGCTACTTCTGCCCAATCATACATTTCCAAAATATAGTTCGTTTGAACTGGTCAAATGACTACCGGTACTTGTAAATATACATAAATCGTTCTCCATTTAATCCCTACTTTGCATTTGGATAGCGATAAATAAAAAATAAAAATGACATGAATAACTCTTTTACCTGCTTTCCACAGAACATTTCTTTGTTCATGATTTGAGTTAAATTGTTTAGCGAATCTGTGTGATTCTAATAAACAATCTACAAGATGTATTAACTGAGCTGAGTTGAGGAATTGATACATTCCTTGATCTTCGTGTTGTTGACCTGCGTCATAATACGGTGAATCTTCGCTTTCTGCCTATAATAATATAAACAATGTCTTAAACAAAATAAACAGAACAGTCAATTAATGCTTTAATGGATTTTTCCAAATTCATATTAAAGCAATTTGACAATTTTTAGTCAAGAAAAACCCCCCCCAACAAATACCTATTGTTCACAACTTGCTTTCATAAGTTAGGTATGTGATATCATTGGATTGTGACTTTTACAGGGATCATAGTATCCAAATGAGATAAACATTTAAGTAGATTAACCAAGCTAGAATACAAAATTAACATACCTGTGCCAGAGCTAAATTTTCAGCATCTTCTTTTTTACTTGTAGCAGGGAAAAATACGATATTATCTATGGTCTGTATTAATTCTAACTGTACTACACACTTTATTAATAACCCTTGAAATAACTTTACATCAGTAGAGATCTCTATAAATACAAATATCTAATTATTACTATACTAAATTATTAAAGATACATTAGTTAAGAGTTTAATGAAGAGTTGGTCATTCTTGCTATAATAATTCAAAAATAGATGATAAAAAAAGAAAATATTGAAAATTTCATTCAAATTACTTCATTCTCAGCCAAGTTATCATTGTTTGTAGTTTTGACAAGATGTGTGCACAGTGGTAACCAGGGCACTGGTATAATCGGGACTTAGCCTCCAATTCCCATTTTTAAATTAAATTTTTAAATGGCGAACCGTTTTAATCTAGTTAAAAACTTGAGTATCCGAGTCTTGTTTTTTAAATGAATGTCTAATTAATAGTTTATATAACATTTCAGGCCTAAGGAAAAACCTGCAATAGGCAGATTTAGCTCTTGCCAATATGTTGCCAATATTACATGGTCTCCGCAAAACATTCAGGATACTTACTTGAACGAGGTATTTTTGTGTCTCTAGAATCAAGAGATATGATACTATTAACACTAACAATACTATCAGCACGTTTTAATTTATTACTATCCATACTAGAATCCATTGAATTAACTGATCTTGCATCCTACAAGTATATTACAATAAGAAATATTAAATATCAAAAGTTTCAGACAGATCATTGAAGTAAGACAACAACACACTTAACATGTTTGATTTGAATGAAATAAAAGTTTCTAGGAAGGCACAATAATTGTGTTGATTTCAATGTTGTTGTTTTCTAATTTAGAAGTTGTTAACTGTCATCTAAAACAGTGGTGTTCCAAACATTATTTCATCCGCAGACCCCTTGTGAAACTTTACAAATCTGCTGAGGACAACCGCCCCCACTATCTGCATGGGCGAGCCCCAAAGCTATTCGCATTTATCTTAAGGCCCCAATATATTTTCACAGACCCCAGAATGTGAAACACTGATGTAACAGACTGTCAGAAGAAATACATATTGATTTCTAATAACTTTTCAAACGTATATTTGAATATGACAATTTGTGATTAGCTCCATCAAATATATTCTTCTAAAATAAGATTATTAGTTTTTCAGAGATTTTTCTAAACCAACTGAATGGCTCACTTTAAACCTACCCCATTCTCGTGATTATATGTTGCATCATTTTCCATCAGAGTATCTTGTTTTACCAGGTTGGGAGATTCATTAGACTCAGATTCTTGGTGCCATGTTAATAAACTATAAATAAAGCAAAATAATTTTACATAAAACACCATAAGTTAATTCAGAAGTGAAGATTTTACTCTGTTGATTCTGTAAACCAAATAAATTTTAGGTTAGTTTAGGGTCAATTACATTCCTCTGATTACCAACTGTTTTCATTAGGCTACAGGAAGATTTGATGTCACTCATTTCTAACTAGTACTAGTATCATCTACAGCTTGTCTTCATGTAAACTGGCTCAATGATGTGATGTAATTACTGTATAGCTAATCAATTGGACATTTCCTTAACTTCAATCCAACCAGTCAATATAATAATCTATGTGTAATAAATGTACTCTTACCTGTGAGGAATGGTTGATTTAAAGATATCTAACATACAAGAGCATGTTTTATCCCAAACTTCGGATGAAAATTTATTACCATTAGATATGACTAAATTCTCCAAACAGTTGGTTCCTGATCTGGCTAACTGTTCATTATCTAAAATCAGATATAAATCATAAAAGACATGTAGATACCCGTATTGTTTTATATATATCATTTTTTTGCCCCATCCAAATTACTACATATACTGTCATATATCAATATACTGTTTACTATGGTTTCAACCTTATAAGAAAGTAGATATATGTTAACATATATGTTGTAGTTCTTCTGCCTTTTTGAGGAATAGATATTGGACTTCCAACATGGAGATTGTTTTTTCCTTTTGCCTTTCGCCCACATGTGACTGTGTAAACCCCAAGGATACGAATATAGCAATACTTTGCTTATCAATCCCACAGGAATTACTCCTGCCTAGTAAATAAGTGAGAATTCTAAGTAAATTGCTGTAAATTGTAAGTGTCTAATAAGTGTCATAAAGTAGACATACCTTGTTGTACACACCAATGTAACATCTGGTATAATTCTAGTAATAGTATATCATGTAAACTATCATAATACTGGGTAAAAACATCTACTATAGCATATAGAGCATGGTTACATGTTGTTGTCATCCATTCAGATTTCTGAAATAACAAATATATGTTCAATTAACTTCACTTCATATAAAGACCTTGATAGAACTAATATGTTGAGGTAATTTGTTTTACAGCTTTGGTGCAGCATCATGAAAACTATCTCCTACATGTTTTAATTTTGATGATAGAATGCACAGAGTGTTTTGATAATGGGGTCTCAAAGTACGAGTTGGTCAGTATATATACAGTTAGTGAAAGATGAAAGGGTGCACTACCTGTCGACACTGGTATGTTAAAAAAGCCAGTGAAAGGATTTCAAGACAGATGTAATGTGTGATGACTGGATATAATCCTGGCAGCTGATATCTGGAGCTTATACAGTATATGATATAATTAGAAGCAGGTCTATTTGTGTTTTCTAAATATTTAATAATATTTCAATCAGCTGATTTTTGTTGTATGAGGTTCATTGTGTTTATCCATTTATTTAAAACAACCAAATCTACTCATAACTTACCTCACTTTGTTGTTCTGGTAATTTCATATTATCAAATATTCTAAATATAATACGGAATAGATCACGCCACCAATGTTGTTGAAACGTATCACCATAGGTTTTCATTATTTCAAACATCACAGTCAAACCTCTGTATTAAAAAAATTCATATAAAAAACACTAAAGATTTGATAAAATTTTTTAATTTGTAACAAAATAAAAAGTTGAAACAGATTATTACAAAAGAAAAATACATACTGAAAAAAATATACATTTCTATTTAATTCAGATGCCTAAAAACAGAAAGCTGTAGATAATGGGTGGTCTTCTCAGGGAATGTAAAACATATCTCTTTATATTGCCTTAATTACGAAAATTAATGCAAAAATCAATAAAAGTTCAACCTTTCGGTACAACTTTAATGAAAATTTACAATACCACTACATATGATCTATATTTAGATCGTCAATTCATCCATTGGATTTTTGTTTCTCACTACATAATGTCAGCATTTTTTTTTTTTTAAAACAATATTTTTATTCAGGTTGTCTGAATGGGATTGGGGAACAGGCTTTGCCTATGTAAAACCCCTCTCACTACATGTCAGTAGTGAATGTACTGCTATACTAATTCTGTTCAGATGTATTTATAAGAAATGATAGTTACCTTGTTCTAACATCTAATTTACATCTATTTATAACACAGGACAGTTCAAATAGGACGGGGAACCAGCCTTTAACCCAAACTCGATCATCTTCTGGTACATTCATCTCTTCACCAGCATGTTCTCTAAACATCTAATAAAATATGTGTATCATGAATTATTTATATTTAGCGGCAGCACTCAAAGGACTTTAAAAATTCCACACTTAATGTACATACTTTTGATTTGAAGCTAGCCATATCCAAGCTCCATGAGCCAATTTTCCAATTTTTCAATGGATGCTAAGATTGTGTTCCTTATATATACTCCATATTATGTAAATTGGAAAATTATATACTGTACTTACATTGGGTTTTTCAGCCACATATTTAGCACAGTTTCTGATTAATCTAATGGCTTCCATACTAGTATCAGGAAAAGCAGCATTACATGCAAACTCTGATAAACATTTTACAGCATCTTGGAATGAATCAATTATAGCAGTAAAATGCTTTTCAAATATGCTCGCTGAAATATAAAAAAAAACAATCACAAAATTACACATTATCCAAACCTACATGAGATTGTGATGTCTTGAATTACATTTTAGATTTTTGTACAGGCCATTAAAAAATACAAGAAATGTCTGACTTGGAATAAAAAAAAATCTTGATTCAAAAGTAATTTTTCTATCCAAAACCAAAGTGACAGTGCCAGTTTAGTGGCAGAGCCATCTACATCTCAATTTCACAATAAAATATTCTTATATACAAGTTTTCTTTTCTCACATTCATAATTTTCCTCACTGCCTGAGTGAATGCAAACAACAGTGATCATATAAATTGGATTTACAGTAAGGTAGTGGCATTACTGCTTTAATGGTAAGGATTTTAAAATTTTATGAAAGAAAACTTACAGATTATTTTTCCAGTTGTTTGGAAAGCAAGTTCTACGATTCCTTCATCATGATCGGAGGCGGCCAGATGAAAAACACTAAAAATATTTTTCCATCCAGATTTAATATTAGCTGCTTGTGAGTTGACCATCTGAGCAACACAACGTACAACCATATCACGAATAGTTGGAGACCTAAACAATAAAAGATGTATTATGAAAAAGTCTTACATGGAATATTTAAAAATGGTCCAAGTATAAAATACTAAACATACTGATGTATGTGAATTTATTTTTGTTTTGATGGGGTTTTTTGATAATCTTATAACCCATTTGAATAACTGTGAACTATTTCAGGCAGTTTTGAAAATGAGGTGTAAAACTCAATGTAAAAAAGACCACTTTTCTCTAATTTAAAATATCAAGTACCATAGTTTGTTTCCATTTTTGGAGCCACAGTGGCTAAGTGAGTAAAACACTGGCTTGCTAGCCTGGAGGTCGCGGGTTCGATCCCGGTGTTGGCCAAGAAAGTTCATTGGGGTTTTCCGGCGTGGTTTCCCCTTATCAGTGGTGCAGGACGGAGGGCCTGACAAGGAAAGCTGTCTAGTCGTTCAGATGGGACGAAAAACCAAGGTCCTGTGTACACATTGCCATGCACGTAAAATATCCTGTGACAGTAGTAATTAGATATAAAAGTAGGCCGTAGCGCCGCTATCTGGGCCAAATTTCCCTCATAGTACACTGTCTTCATTAGCTCAGTCGGATCAGAACAGTATGACGTTAAACCCCATTTCATTTCATTTCATTTTCATTTTGTTTCCATTTTTGTATAAATAAAAACAAAATTATTTTTAGTATGTAACTTAATGTAAACAGTAAAAATACATACCTGTTTCTCTTCATAATATGTTCAAAAGGTCGTAAAAAGTCTTTCTGAAATCTAAAGTTAGAAAATTCTCCTTTCTCAATGAACTTCATTGATAACTGTCTAATAGAATCCACCGCAAAGAAGGCAATGTCTTCATTAGGATTACAGCCTACCTGTAAATTACAAATACATTATGAAAACTTTAAATTCTTTTTTAAATCAAAGATTGAAAGCAGAAGTTGAACAATAGTACAGGTACCAAACAGAGGTCCATCCATGGATACATTGGCATGTATGTGAAAGAACCTGTCACAGATGGAAATCGAAGAGTACAGGTAGGCAGAAAACGGTTGTCCAGGCAAAATTATCCCACTCACATTGAACACAGTGAAATGAAATTCCTATATTTTAGCCTCTAAATGATTTGAGTATTTTGATGATGAGGTGATAAATTCATACCCATTATAAGCCAGGGTTTTGGGCATTGCTCTTTTTAATATTTTCTCCATTAGCTCTTTATTTTGAAATTGTGACTAGTAATACTCTTTTCTACATAATGTGGTAAATGAATGACAAACTTACTTTGTTGAAATGATCTCCAAGATATTGCCATATACGAGACCACTGTAGCCTGATACGTCCCATATTATAATAGGAGATCTCTACTATCTTCTGTAGACTGAACATTCTAGGATGTGATGAACTGGCTAATTCATCTATTGATACTTGACATAACGCTTTTGTAAACTCAACTACAAAAAGGAAAAGTTACATTACAACACGTCAAAATTGTAGTCCAAAATATTTTACTCATCTTTTTTTATTGTTTTGGTTTTATATGTGGGAGTTAAAATTTTTTTTATACATACTGTGGGATGTGGGGGAGGTAGACAGAAATGCATATAAAAATTAACTTGACTAGTGAAGATCCTTAGACAAAATCAAGTAATATTGCAACACAATCATCTGACAAAAAAAAACCCCACCAAAATAATAATTTGCCTCCCACATCAGATTTTTGGGAAGGATTGTCCAAGAACCAGATATTTTTTTTGCACTGGGGCGTTATTCACCAAAAATTAAACTAAGTATACATAATACAGCCTTGGCTCAGTGTTAAAATCCCAGTACAAATGTTAGCACTTGGCCAATGAAAAGCTGCATTCTTAAAATATTCGCATTTAAGATTTTGTGAATAAGGTCCAGAATATCTTCCTTGCATTTCTTTCCTTTTATTCTTCAATGTAGGCTGTTTTAAATTTGTTATATGTTTTTGACTCCAAGATGCAATATAGGTGCATAGAACTTTACTAAATTCACTTGTACAGTAGAATCTGTATTAAGCAGTAACTCAAGGGAATTTTCATGACTGTTTGCTTAATGGGAACGATCTCTTAACAAAATCTCAGTGCTGATTTCCAGAAAAATTTTACGCACATAAAAATGGAGAAAACATTGATACATCAGTAAATTTGTCCGTTGCTGAAACTCGATAAAGGAATGAAAATTCTATAACTCAAATCACCAATATAAATTCTGTAAACGTGTCATTTTGTACCAATATTATAGTTAGTGCCTACCTTTGTTATTTATTCAATAATATTTATCCATTTTAGTGAAAAAAATCGATGAATTATTTTTATTTTATCAAAAAAGCACATATTGCTGAATTTGTCACTGATTTCCAGGCTGTGTAACTCCTTATGTAATTACAGGGGGTGTTAAAACTTCCGTTTAGCAAAATAGATACTAGATGATTGTGACAAAACTCGGTTTAGACGATACATTTCGTTTATTCAATCAGTATCAAATAATGTTTTGTCACGTGTGAAAACAATCTTCAGGATTTGTCATTTAGAGGAGTGACCGTTTATTAAGGACATGAAAGCAAAGAATTTCTATGGCCACTTACAAGATGCCGCTTACAAGGAGTGGCTGCTTGTACCGATTCTACTGTATCTGCAATAACAGAACAAACTGAACAATAGATATCAATTTGAACTTAGGAAACACAATATTAACTACATACCAATAGCATCACCATCCAGTTTAACTGAACCAGTAAATATTCTATCAACTGCAACAACTACACTCTGTGAACTTGTTTCACCTACTGTTTCATGAAAATGAGCCAATCTTTGACGATCTAGATTCTGTATACCTCCTCTAGCTATAACTGTAAAAGTTATGTAATAATTAAATCTTAGAGTAATGTATACGATAATCTGTAGAAATATACACACATTCACCAATCATAGAAAATTTGACATCATTAAGAAAGCTGCTGAATCCTATATAATTTTAACAAAGAATTTAGAAAACCTGCATCTGTAAAACAATCATCAATTAGGAACACATCCGAATAGTAATCATGATTTTAAATATAAAGTCATTTATTATCATCCAAAATATGTTATATTCGTATACACTGTTATTATTATAATTTTACAGGTGTATAATAAGATAATTTCTTGAAAGGATAAATTCTTTTTGACTCTCAAAAGCCAATATCCGTTTAGTTGAAGTGGCTACTGGATGGCTCTATGGAACCAATTTCTTTAACTTACCTTCTGGATCAAAGGCCTCTATTGGATGTCCTGCTGATGTCTGGCTGGCTTGATTAGATATATATTTAGTCTTAACTCCTGTTCCAATTAACTGAGCCAGTTCCAGTTGTGATATACATCGCAAAATCTGTAAAAAAAAAAAAAAAATATGCAAATCAGCAAAATTAATGCAATTGCAATTTATAGTATCTACCTCAAATTAATTGTCATAGCTGGATGATTAACATAAATATTTAATTGAACATTAATTCTGTAAAAAAAACATTTATTAATTACCTCTAACCAAGATTTTCCCAGATAATTGCCATCTGTATGAGCAACAGATATAAGAGTTTTAATGGTATCTATATTTTTAGATTTCATCTCTGTAATTGGTGTAGCACATGTGAGTAATGTAAATCTTGCTAGGGCTTGTACATAAGCATCTCTCTCTAACTGTAAAACATAAATATACACAACATTATACACATTTTTCTAATTCATAGTTCATGTACAAAATTTATCTGTTTCAGCATATCACTAACCTAGTATAGAATGTTGTATATCATACATTAAATAAAATAAGTTTTTGTTTCATTAGATCTAATAACTATTTAGTACTGTAAGAATTACATTAACTCAACGGTTTTTATTTTTCAGTTTTAACACACTGACTATCTGTCAATTTTAATATTTTAGAAATAATAATGACACACACTCAGATTTTATCTACTATTGTCGTATTCAATTGTAATACTTCAAGGCCTCCCAGGTTCGAATCTTGAGATTTTTCAAACCTGGTTTCGACTTATCAGAAGGCTGAAAAGTAACTTGTTGTCTAGTTGTTCAGATGGTACAAAAAAACTGAGGTCCAGTTGGAATTCAGTGAAGACTGAAGAGTAGGTATCAACATCATCCTCATTAGAACTGCACATAAGACCATAGAAACAAAAATATATGCATGCTAGTCTCAAAATGACAAAAGTATTGTATTGACAAGACGTTCAACTCCATTCATTTTTCCTCTTTTTCCAAATTGGCCAATATAAGTATTAAGACCAAAAAAAACCTTGATCTCAATAATAACTTTACTACAATATGTATCCTTTCAAAAGTAATTCAACAATAATTAGTATAATATATCCTTTCAAAATCAATTCAACAATAATTAGTATAATATACCTCCGCATGAAATATACAAGCTATTCTGATGGCACATCTAATACCATCCAAACAATAAGTAGCTATGTATGAATCATCACTATCCTGTAGACCAATACTGAATGCTGCTAAAAATGGTGTCCATGCCATCTGAAACAATCATAATAATTAATGGTGACTTAAGTAAAAGATAGGTTGCCAGGCAACGAAACATACGCCCACAGCAGCTAAATCGTCCGGGCAGTCAACAAGAGTTGTCGCATATTTTTACTTTCTTCGGTAATGAAACATTTATAATACACTAAAATCTGATTAAGAGCAACAACTCAGAAAACCATTAGAATTTGTTTGGTTTTATAAAGTTCTGCCCCATGCTAACGTTTTGTATACAAAACTTTTAATATCATGGATTTAGCTGTTCCAAGTCATAAAAATTCATTGAAAATCAATATACAGTAGAACTTGTATTAAGCAAGCACCCAAGGGAAATTTAAAAATGCTTGCTTAATGGAGGTGCTCTTTGACTAGAGGTATCTAATATTGCCCCAACCCCTACCACAAAAAATAAAGATATAGATTGCATATATTTTTTTTTATTCATGTAGTATAACAATAACAATACATCTAGTTGTGAATTCAAAGTAGTCGCGTATACATGTTTGTTTAGTAATACTGGATCTCTGGCCCCCCAATATTTCTTTTACTTTCATCATACTGAATCATAGCGTTTCAAAATGCCGTGAATTTGAGTATTTCCCACCCCAACTATTTTAACGATTACGCGACCATTTAATAAAATCTCGGTGCTTTTTGTGCTGACATAAATTAATTACGCTTGGGTGCATTGGGAGCGAACATCAATACTTGCATCGATAAATTTGACCGTCGCTGAATCTTGCACCAAACGAAAATTCTTTACTCAAATCTCGAACATAACTTCTGTAAACTTGTCATTTTGTAGCAACCTTCGATACTACTGTCTACCATTGTAATGCATTCGATAATATTTATCCATTTTTGTGAAGAAAATCGATGAATTAATTTTATTTTATCAAAAAAAGCACATGAACAAAAAAAACATCGCTGATTTTATCACTGATTTACAGGGGATGTAACTCTGTATGTAATATTATAGGGGGCGCTAAAACGTCTGTTTAATAAAAAAAAAAGTGGCAATGGAAAAGAGATACTAGATGATCGTATAAAATAATGTGTCATGACTCGGAAAACAATGACCAGGTTAGACGTTTAATAAAACAAAAGATTAATAAACAGATAATCCCGGGTTGATTGTTATTTTTACATTTCTTTTTACCTGATCAGTGGGGGTCCAGTTAATTAACTACTACTCACTGGATTAGCGGGAGTGTTAAAAAGAAAGAATGACAAGATTCTATCATTCAACAATGGCCGTTGAATGGGCGATGTTTTGTTGAATTTATTAATAAAATAGTGACCGCTAACCGCATTAGAGGAGTGCCCGTTGAAACAGTAGAACTTTTACGGGGGGAATTAATCGTGATGCCCGTTGCACGCGTTGAACAGGTGCGTGTTTAGTAGAGGTTAAATTACTTAAAAATCGCTCGGGGGGATTTTTTGGTGCTCATTGAAGCAAGTGTTCGCTGATTAGGAGTGCACGCCAGAGCAAGTTCTACTGTACTTGTTCGTCTCAAGATCTTAAACTCTGTGTATCAATTTGAAGTCAATCGGACGATAACTTTAGCCTTTAGAGCGTCACAAGATTTTGCAAAGTGACCATGGGCCATAACTTTGGCAGTAATTATCTGAAATCGTTGAAAATCAATAGGATTCTTCTTCTCATGACCTTAAACACTGTGTTATAAATATAAGGTCAATCGGATATTAACTTTGGCCTCTAGAGCATCCACAAGATTTTTTGAATCAAGGACCATAACTCTGGCAGTAATTATAGGAAATCGTTGAAAATCAATAGACTTCTTCGTCTCATGACCTTAAACACTGTGTATAAATTTAAAGTCAATCGGATATTAACTTTGGCCTCTAGAGCGTCCACAAGATTTTTCAAAGTGATCAAGGGCCATAACTCTTGCAGTAATTATCGGAAATCGCTGAAAATCAAAAGGCTTCTTCGTCTCATGACCTTAAACACTGTGTATAAATTTAAAGTCAATCGGATATTAACTTTGGCCTTAAGAGCGTCCACAAGTTTTTTCAAAGTGATCAAAGGCCATAACTCTGGCATTAATTATTGTAAATCGCTGAAAATCAATAGGCTTCTTCGTCTCATGACCTTAAACACTGTGTATAAATTTAAAGTCAATCGGATATTAACTTTAGCCTCTAGAGCGTCCACAAGATTTTTTGAAGTGATCAAGGGTCATAACTCTGGCAGTTTTTATCGGAAATCGCTGAAAATCAATAGGCTTCTTCGTCTTATGACCTTAAACACTGTGTATAAATTTAAAATCAATCGGATATTAACTTTGGCCTCTAGAGCGTCCACAAGATTTTTTTAAGTGATCAAGGGCCATAACTCTGGCAGTAGTTATCGGAAATCGCTGAAAATCAATAGGCTTCTTCATCTCATGACCTTAAACACTGTAAATAAATCTAAAGTCAATTGGATATTAACTTTAGCCTCTAGAGCGTCCACAAGCAATTGTGGACGCCGGACGGACAGGGGCGACGACAATATACGACCACATTTCAATGTGGGCGTATAAAAATTATATGGCTGTATTTCACAAAATTTCACATCTCAATTAAGACCACTCTGCATCCTCCCCCCCACCCCTACTCACACCCCCCCCCCCCAACAACCCATAAATCCTTCAAACCCCAGTGGCTCTATTATATTTTGCATATGATAAAAGCAAAAGGGAACAAACAAATTGCATATATCTACTATCAAAGAATCTAGATTGTTTTGTCTTGAAATCAAATATACTCTGATATACTCACTCTAAACATAGGTCGTACGTGTTCTAAATGCATAGCAATTGTAAAATTCGATTTGACATGACTGACACTCTCCATTAAAGCTTTTGCTGCCTGGGCCATACTCTCCATTTCCATGTTGTATAATAATCGTCTCTGTTTATCACTGGTTATATCTTCTACAAGTAAACAATTATCAGCAATTATAACAAAATAGAAAGATAATTTAAACCTTGTTTTTGATATACGAGGTACTCGATTGAAGCACATAAATCAAAATAGTAAAAATAGATTACAGAGATCTATCATTTTTTTATCTATTTACAAAGCTGAAAGCTTTGGAGGAACTATATTTCTACTAGATATCTCTACTTTAAATATCTGACGAATAATAATACTTTATCATGACACAGGTTACTTCTTGTGTTATGTAAATAATATTTTAAAATCATTTTATGTTCTTGTGAAGGGTTTGGTCATTCTCTTTGATTGTGAGAATTGTTCTGTGCTTTCAGTGGTCAGTTAGTGCTGCACTGCCTATATTAATAGCACTATTATAAATCTTGAACAATAAAACTGAAGAAATGAAATGAAATAGGGTTTAACGTCCTACTGTTCTGCTCCTATGTTGGGCTAATGAAGACGGGCATACGCCATACAGTGTGTTATGAGGAAAATTTTGCCCGGGCAGCGGCACTATTGCCTACTCTTATATCGAATTCCAACTGCCAAGGGATCTTTTACGTGCATTCCAATGTATACACGGGACCTCAGTTTTTCGTCTCATCCAAAGGACTAGACAGCTGTCCTTGTCAGGCCCTCCATCCTGCATCACTGACAAGGGGGAAACACGCCGGAAAATCTGGATGAATTTTCTCGTAAAACTGAAGAGCTAAACAAACCTGCGCCATGAGCATACTATTAGGATGGAATGCGTGCAATATAAATATTCATTATTATTATAATACTTACTGGTTACTTTACTCGGTTTTTGGCCACCAGTTTTCATTTTGATCTCATTACCAGATATTTCATCATAGATAGCAACAAGATAGTCTTCTGGTAAATCTTTACTATCATTTATACCACGATTCATTCTGATATACTGTTCTTTTGTCATCTTATGTTCACGTTTAATCTATAATAAAAATAGGAAGATATGTGAATTCTTGTTAAAACACAACTAAGTAATTTCGAGACAAGCATATGGTAAAACAGAGTAAGAGAGAGAGAGAAATGGGGTGTAACGTCCACTCGACACAAACTGGGTCATTTCGGGACTAACATGTGGTTTTAATTTTATTTCAATAATTCGTTTGCGCGTAGGGGTCTTTAGCAGTGGGAGGAAACTGGAAGACCTGGAGAAAACCCACGAGGTTGGACAGGCGACCCGACTCCTTGTCACGTACAACCGCGGATTCGATACCACGCCAGTTGACTCAATGACAGGCTTTATGATACAGCGCGCAAGTGCTAACCATTCGGCCATCCAACCCCCCCATACAGAGTAAAGAAACCCAAAGAAAACCCAGTAGATCAGGTAGATAACCTTTATATACATACGGGTATACAGATAACCCAAATCAATTTTCGTTCTAGAAAATATAGAGAAGAGAGAGAGAAATGGGGTTTAACGTCCACTCGACACAAACTAGGTCATTTCGGGACTATCATATGGTTAATTTTATTTCATTAATTCACTTGCGCGTAGGGGTCTTTAGCAGTGGGAGGAAACCGGAGGACCCGGAGATAACCCACGAGGTTGGACAGGCGACCCTACTCCTTGTCACGTACAACTGGGGATTCGAAACCACGCCAGTTGACTCAATGACAGGCCGTATGATACAGCAAGCACGTGCTAACCATTCGGCCATCCAACCCCCCCAAATATAGACAATATTAAGGGTGTGTATGATTGAAATGGATACTATTCAATTTTAATTTTGCATTCATTCTTAATTCCACTGCAGTTCATTTTATTTGTGGTCAAAATAAAAATTAAGTTCACAATTCTTCACTACAAGAATAAAACATGAAGTTAACTCCAAGGTGAAAAATTCCAACACTCTAAATATAACAAAAATATTTTAAAGTAAATAAATAAATAAGTAAATAAATAAATGAATCCAGATAAGAATATTCATCTAACAAACATGCCCTTGGTATAAAATACAGGAATCTTAAGAAATCAATGATTAATAAAGATTATAATTTTACCTGTGTACTGTGGAGATCAGTTGTTAACATTATGATAGAATATGCTAACACATAAGCTGTATCAGCACTAGCAAATAACTCAGTACTGTAATATAGAATAATATATAATCAATAACAGTTATAAGTTAAAACATGGTCAATATTTTGAAATCCCGATAAAAATAATCACTGTTTAGGCCGAATTAGTAGATAGCTAACTAGAAATCTGGTGAAAAATATGCATGTACTTTGTATTCTATTTGATTTGATTAGTTACTCTGTTCAAGGGGTTTTTCCCCCCATGTCAGTAATGCAGGACGGAGCAACTGACAAGGACAGCTGTCTAGTCGTTCGGATGGGATGGAAAACCGAGGTCCTGTGTACACATTGGCAGTTGGAATTCAATATAAGAGTTGGTCGTAGTGCCGCTGTCCGGGCAAAATTTCCTTCATAGCACAAAGTATGGTGTATGCCCGTCTTCATTAGCCCAGTTCGGAGCAGAACAGTAGGACGTTAAAACTCCATCTCATTTCATTTCTGTTCAAGGGTTTTAAACATCTTTTAAACCAAACTTTTCCACTTAAAGTATTCAGGGAATGTGGCTGTAATTGATTCAATTCCCTTCGGTTATCTTTTCTCCATAATAAATCATAATATTAAAGCGATCAATAATTAGTAGAAGTATGTAAAGTATATGCCAGAAGTAGCCACATCAAACAGGTCACTGATATGGTTTTTAATAATCAGAAAGTAATACATGCTGAACAGATGTCAGCTTATTGCATGCAACAATTAAACATACATTATGCAAGAGCTAAATCTGCCAATTGCAGGTCTTTCTTTAGGCCTGAAATGTTATCTATATTATTAATTAGACATAAATTAACATATCCAGACCATAATCAACTCTAGATGGTTATGCTAGCCTGCGATCTTTAGTGGATTATGAGCCGATTTACTGCATAACTTTCCTTCACGATTTAACGATTAAATGGATAATCGAGACTATGCTGTTTATCATACTGACTTTAGTAATGATGATCAAGGCTAGGCGGAAATTCAATCGCTTTGTTCTCGGTTCATAGTGAATCAATTTGAACGAAATTTTCAGCAAATTGCCTTTACATTATCTAGTTTTAAACTATTATAGTGAGAGCCGCCAACTCGTTATCGTATCTCTCATACGATTCTAATTCTTATTCAGAAAATGATGCCATAGATTTCTTGTTATTAATGATGGCAAAACACACTGTTCCTCTCAAAACGTCAAAATCTGTTAATAAAAAAAAGTTTAAAACAGTACATTTATTCAATAGCTATCTGAATGGAATCAGAGAATATGCTGTCTTAAAGAAGTCTTAATTAAACTTACTTTTGGTTACATTCACAATAACGTGAAGCAAATTTTTCCATCAATCGATCAATTTTCTGAGCCTCTCCAGGTAATCGGAACCCTTCCAGGAATTTCCTCAAACCAGATACAAAGTCCATCTCACAGAAGTTGATTTGATCAACATAAGCATACATAACTTCTTTATTAAATCTGAAATAAGGATTTAAAATTACCCATTAAATGTCAGTTTTTTAATTTATATTTCACTACAAAGTTGTTTCTAAGCAGATAAAATGTAGTACAAGCTATTTTCACTGTTTCACACAATAGGAATCATTTGATCTGACTCAAAATTCATTTTGAAATGAATTCCTATTTCATATACTTGCAATAATAAAGTTGTTCTTACTTTTCATTTTCTCCAAGGAAATCTCCAATGGCAGTCTGAAAATAAAGGGATATTGATTTAACACTGCACTCTCTGCTGTATTTAAACATTTAAAACAGTGCATTTCTATTATAAGAATATTGGCTGTGGAAACAATATTGCTACTCCACACTACTCTTCTCTCCGTTACCTGCATCAATTTTTTTCCATACTGTTCAACCTTGTAGTGACCCACTTCGGCCCAAATGGAAAGAAAACTAATAAAACTATAGGGCAATTTTAATTACCTAAAACAATATCAAGAATATGTAATTTTAATGTTGGGCTAATCTCAACTTTGCTACTAATACCAACCTTATCTAATCTCTCTTCAGAGTGAAATAACTCTGCAATGTCGTCTGGTGATTTCCCCAGCATGCCTTGTTCTTGTAAATAGGCTAAACCTTTCAAAGGTTTTTTGTGAAATCTAACAAAAGAAACACATGAATTTTAACATAATTTTTAAATGTTCGCTTCATGAAATAAGCCAGAGAAGTTGTTACAAAGCAATAAGTTTCTGAACACACTTGTCTCTTCTTACTGCTGGCCTCAAATAAATAAATCAGAGAAACAAAGAGAGAGAAATCAAACTTACATTTCTATTCCATTCTCCATGATTTCTTTCTGTTGTTTAATCACTTCAAATTGTTCTGGGTTGTCAGTGACATGTACAGCTGTAGATGGTGTACTATTATTAGAACTAAGAGAATTAGAACTACCATAACTAGTCATAGTACCTTTACCAGAATCACTGTCTGTTTCTGTATATGGTTTATTGTCTTGTCCTGAAAATAAAATAAAATACAAATATATCTGTGGTGCACTCTAGAGTCTCGACTAAGCTCATGGCATATAAAGGTGAACAAATGATCTGTTTTTGTCATTATAATCTTATTTTCTGTGCCACAGGACCTGAGATCACTTGATTATAACATAAACAAAAAATGATGCATACGATTTACTTAATACTAGTATTACTATTTGAATATTCTAAGTCATTATTCAAAAACTATTGGAGGTTTGATTAAATTTAAACGATCAAAATAAGCTTGGAACTTACCAAGATTGGATTGTGAATGAGGATTAATATAAAGATCTTTACTCCATTCTACCATACATTTTAATATCGATACCAAACATTCTAATCCTTTTATTCTCATACTCTTTTCTTGGTTTGGTGTAGCTCCTGGAATTTTTTAATTAAATACTTGTATAAGGCAATCAGCATACTTTACTACATCCAGTTAAATGCAATCGATTCATTATTTGGTGTATATTTGTAAACGAAGAGAGAGACTTTATTCAATTTATTGAATTTCTCTGTCTGTGAAAACTCAGATGTTCGTTCAATAGCTGAATTTGGTATTCTTTGATAAATACTTACCAAGTTCCATGGCATGTCTACCTTGCGCTATTTTGGACAGATCATTTACCAGTCGTTCAAATATATTAGCTAATGCTAAATCACAATCATAGTTCAAATATATATCTACAACACACTGGGCATCTAAAAAGAATACAAAAATATATTTCAGTATTCCATAATCAGAGATTATTATATATTTATTATTACATGCTATGCTAAAATCAAATAATAGGTTTTTCCCCAAATATACAATGTGTACTCACCAGCACATATTCTTGTTAGTGCCTGAATAACCATCCATTTATGTTCAAAAGAGCTGCTAGGAGTTTCTAATATATACAAAAATATCTCCTTGAAAAATACCTGAAATAATATCAAATTTGAATATGAATTTATACTAAATTTAAGATAAATTCAATCAAAATATTAATATAAATCTATTGTACACTGTAATACAAATTTATTGTAAACTTTAATACAAATTTATTTGAAACTGTAATACAAATTTATTGTAAACGTTAATACAAATTTATTGTAAACTGTAATACAAATTTATTGTAAACTTTAATACAAATGTATTCTAAACTTTAATACAAATTTATTCTAAATTTTAATACCAATTCATTCTAAACTGTAATACAAATTTATTCTAAACTGTAATACAAATTTATTCTAAATTTTAATACAAATTTATTCTAAACTGTAATATAAATTTATTCTAAACTTTAAAAACCTTTAGTCTAAGTAAGTATACATGAATTATTCTTTATGAATACTTAAACAGAGTGATCTATCATACCTCAATCTGCATTTTCAAGTGTTGTTTAAAGTTGGAGAGAAGAGTTAAGAAAATGGCTAATGACAGCTCAAAAACATCTGGAACAGCACTGACACCATTTTTAGACAATGCTACACAAAGATATTGTTTTATGGCATTAATAAACATCTCATTAGTACGGAACACTGGACCAGCATTCTGCAGTATTGATAACAGAAGCTGTAGTGACAGAATCTTTGAGCGCAATTCATGAGATCTGAAATAAAGGAAAATGGTAACTATATTCAGTTTAAGTTTTTTGAATGTAGAAACAAAGCTAGAAGAGATGTACATGTACATGTATGCACTAGCTAAAGGTTATCACTTAGGGCATACATGAAAATATTTGAAACTACAGTAATGGAGATAAAACCCAAATCTGGACATAGGATGTATATGATACTTAATGCTCATAATGCTGAATGGCTAACATCCTTGGTAATCTTATTGAGTACTGAATCAAATACCACCCCTGCCTTTATTATCTTTATTTTCAAGGAACTTGAAGGAAGTACAACAAAACAATCTCAAAAACTAAATCACAATCTGTATCACAATTTTTTACATTAACATTTAATGGTAGACATTTAGTTAAAGAAACACAACTGCAATAAATTCTTACTTTGGATCAGGTGGGCCATCTGCTAATGGTTTCATGGATAATTTACACAGACTTCGGAACACAAGAAAAGCATCTTTTTGTAAAATATGACTAAATGCTCCATGCATTTGATCTGGACCTTCAGAGACCTCTACATCAATATTATCATCTGATGTCATCCTCGCTAACCCTGTAATCAGAATTTAGGAAATATGATACAAATTAAGGAATATCGGCATAGATTCTTTTAGGATTACTAGAAAAATTAATAATCTCATATTTTTCAATTCAGATCAATGCAAACATTTCTAGTGCATGCTTATTAGTTTCCTGCCTTCATTTCTATATCAAAATACAACAACAGTATGAGCACTTTTAAAAATGAAAAATGAAAATATTTTCAAGAGTCTATAGTATAACTAGAAAAAATGAAACCTAAAACAAGGCTCAAAAGGTATTATTTCTATTTCAATTAAACTTAAACAAGATACTACTATGTAACTATTATTCAAACATTTTATTGTAATCTGTTGAATAAAATACATGTGTGCACATAGAAGCAACAGAAATAGAAATTGAACATCTAACTATTGCTATCTCCACTTAAAGCAATACATATACTAATCCAGCATCAAAGCCTAGCAGTTAGTCTAAATAATGAACATATATCACAATTAATTCTAGAAAAATTTTAAATATATTAATAACAATTATCATAATCTACAGATTTCTAATCTAATTAAAACAGTTTCATTTCATTTATTTTCACCCTACATTTATTCACTTCCAAATCAAGTTTGTCCAGTGACAGTGCACACTCACACTTACAATGTGGGTTTTAAAATTCCCATAATTCCCCACATATCAAAGCTCCATATATCAATACAGACAATTTGATTGGTTAAGAAATTTACATGATCAGAAGACTGTGTTCCCAGAAGGTATTTCAGATGTACGTAAAAAATAAAACGAAATGTAACTGATTAACCTGACGTTCTTATAAAACCATAGTCATGCAAAATATACACAATCAATATACACATTTACTACACAAAAACATTTACTTTGAAACAATGAGGGAATTTTGATTTTAAGATCTCAAATTTTCTTAATACCTTGATCGGTATAAGCTTGAAGATGTTTTAGCATAGAAGAACGAGTTGAAACTAAACACATGATACATAGGAGATAGTAGATGTACAAATTTGAAGATACATGTAGTCAGAAATAAAAACGCAGTAAGTTTAAGTAAGTTATAACTAGATGTAATTTAACTAGATCAAATGTAATGAAGATATTCAAACTAGGCTATTTAAAAAATCAGGAACTTTCTGCACTAACACCAATAAAATCATATTGTCCAAATATTATTAAAGACAGTAATATCATCTGATGACTCCATACATATATATATATATATAGATAGTTCCAAATGAAGAATTGAATAAGATATAAGTAGAGATGAAACAATACATTCCAAGTTGAATTAAATGAAAAAATATCATCTTTCGTCTGTATGTAATTATGATGTCTGCATTGCAACAAGTCCTATATATATGATTAAACATACATTATGCAGGAGCTAAATCTGTCTATTGCAGGTCTTTCTTTAGGCCTGACATGTTAACTAAATTATTAATTAGACATTAATTAACCTATCCAGACCACAATCAACTCTAGATGGCATCGCTAGCCTGCGATCTTTAGTGGATTATTGGTCGATTTACTGCATAACTTTCCTTCACGATTTAACGATTAAATGGATAATTGAGACTATGCTGTTTATCGTACTGACTTTAGTAATGATGATCGGGGCTAGGTGGAAATTTCAATCGCTTAGTTCTTGGTTCATAGAGAATCAATTTGAATGAAATTTTCAGCAAATTGCCTTAACATTATCTAGTTTTTAACTATTATAGTGAGAACTGCCAACTCATTATCGAATCTACTAATATCTTTAATATTAGTAATGAATGACATTGTTAGCCCAAATTTTGACTGAATAATATTATAGACACAGCTAAAGTTAGATACAATTTAAGAAGACACAGAAGGCAATAGCAGGCCCGTAGCTACCGAAAACCCCCTTCAATTGGACACAATATGAAGCCAACGACCACCATGTCCATATCAGTATGGGGCTGGGCACCTTATATAGCTGGGTGACAATGGTTGGGCTGCCCCCCCTTGCCCCCACGCTAGCTACGGGTCTGAATAGTAGGGCGTCAATTACATCTATTTACTGTCAGATACTTTTTTTTAAATAGATAATTAATCAAGAGACAACCTCGGAATAGCTATTTGGAAATAACTTGACTCACTAGAAAGATAAACATTACGCGGTTGTCATTCCCCTGCCAGTAATTACCACACATTGCCAAACCAATCCCAAAAAGTCTACTTCCTTACAAAGTGTATTCCTTTTATTCACTTCCATCATATATAAAACTGATAAAATCTATTTTTCTTTGGTGGATGTTAATAACAGTGATAGGTTAAAAAAAATTATGACTTCCCAGATCTATATGAAATGGAGGCCATTGAAAGTAAAAAAAGATCACATTGATATCTGTACGTATATTCAAAAGCATTTGGCTATGTGCAATATATTAGTTAGGTTATATTGTAAAACAAGAAATTATGAGTTAAATTTTGAACATAAGGAAATCACATGAAGTTCAATATGCATTTATGTTCTGTATATAAGAAAATTATGCCTGAATAGTTACTCCCTAAATCAAACCGTTTCAATTGGAAATTTTTTTTAACACAAATAAATTTGTTGTTTTACATTATAGTATAGATTAGACAGAATGGTAACACATATCTATTATGTAAGCAATAACACAAGACAAGCAAGCAACAGGACAAGCTACTAGGACAAGAAATGTCTTTCATCAATATTACCTCCACCTCTTGTTGGGTCTGAAGGAAGAGGGGTAGTTGGGGTCACAGGGGTTGTTGCCTTTGGGCTTTCTTGTGATGTTTCCTCAGAACTTTTACCCTCTGGAGAGACATTTGAATCTTTAGAAGAAACCTCCTCAGTTTTGGCTAAATAAAAGGGATAAAATGGGACCCATCAATCAATCCAAAAAAAACCAAAAACCAACAGTGGGGCCGATGTTCCCCGCCGTAATCCCAAAATAAATAGATGGTACATATTAATTAATTGCCCATTTATCTTTTTGAAAAGTATCGAGCTATCAAACTGATTAGCTATACTTAGTCTGAACAAAAAATGTTCACAATCGAACTCGGTTAAGGTTTTGAAGTACCTGGTAGAGAAACTATACACTAAGTTTACATCACTCTCCATAAGTTAGAATCAAAGTTGTATTGTCCCAAAGCATCGACCAATGAAATTGCTTAGCTCCGCTTAGCTTTAGTGGAAAATGTTAATCATTTAACTCAGTCAAGACATTCACCTAATAAACATCTACACCAAGTTTAAACATTCTACCTCAAAAGCAGAGTTGTTACGTTCCGAAGTCTTGACTAATCAAATTTCTTATCACTACTTAGCCAAAGCAGAAATTCTCATCATCAAACTTAGTCAAGGTATTGATTTTTAATGAATCTATATGAGTTTCATCACTCTCACCAAAGTTGTCATGTTCCAAAGTCTCAACCAATCAAATTGGTTATCTCTGCTTAGCCTTAGTGGAAAATGCACATGATCGAACACTGTCAAGGCATTCACCTAATAGAGACCTACACAAGAGTTTGAACATTTTACCCTAATCAGAAGGATAGTTATTAATGTTCCAAAGTCTTGACTAACCAGACTGAAGTCTCTACTTACCCACTTAGCCAGCGTGGCTCCTCATTATCGAACTTAGTCAAGGTATTGAAACCATATACCAAGTTCCATCACTCTCACTTAATTAGAACCAAATTTATCGTGTCCCAAAGCATCAACCTATCAAATTGCTTAACCTAATCAGAAAATGCTTATCTCCGAACGGCGAACACCATCAAGACATTCACCTAATAAACAACTATATTCTAGCTCAATTAGAAGGAGAGTTATTGTGTCTCAAAAGTGTGACGGACAGACTCATTTTAACAGTCCCCTGCTTTCTACGAAAGGCAGGGGGCAATAAAGAAATTAAATTAATAAAAAGGAGGATAAGTTTTCTACACTGAATTTCATAAAACTCATTCAATCAAGTGTGGTTAATTTGAATTAAAATGCTTTAATGCTGCAAGGAAATGGTTTTACATGTGCTCACTACATGCTTATTATCAAAATCATCTATATCAATAAATTATTAGTTATCAAAACATAGGTTGCCAAGCAGCAAAACATACGCCCACTAGGACTCATCATGTACATAGGGCCTCTGTGTGCAAATCATTTCAATAATTAGACATTGTTCCTTGCCAGGCTCTCTGTCCAGCACCAGAAATGTCCTGCCCCAAAAAGTTCAAACCAGATTTAAAATGATGGCAGTGATTATTGAAAATCAATAGAGAACCCATATCAATTTCAGACAGATATGAATTATTGTAGCCTTGAGATAAACAGACATGTAACAACAGATGGACGGACAGTGTGACAGCAATATAAGACCACATCAAAATGCAGGCATATAAAAATCATCACAGTGAAAATCATTCTATCACTTTAAAAAAAGAACAAAGATAGGTTGCCAGGCAACGAAACATACGCCCAAAGCAGCTAAATCGTCCGGTAATGAAACATTTATCATACATTAAAATCTGATTAAGAGTAACAACTCATGAAGTAAGTATCAAAAAACCATTAGAATTTGTTTGGTTTTTATAAAGTTCTGTCCCATGCTAACATTTAGTATACGAAACATTTAATATCATGGATTTAGCTGTTCAAGTTATCAAAGTTCACTGAAAATCAACATACTTGTTCATCTCAAGACCTTAAACTCTGTGTATCAATCTGAAGTTAATCGGATGATAACTTTAGCCTCTAGACATCGCAAGATCTTTCAAAGTGATCAAAAGCAATAACTTTGGTTATCGGAAATCGCTAAAAATCAATGATTCTTTGTCTCATGACCTCAAACACTGTGTATAAATTTAAAGTCAATCGGATATTAACTTTAGCCTCTAGAGCATTTACAAGATTTTTTGAAGTGATCAAGGGCCATAACTCTGGCAGTAATTATCAGAAATCGCTGAAAATCAATAGGCTTCTTCGTCTCATGACCTTAAACACTGTATATAAATTTAAATCAATCGGATATTAACTTTAGCCTCTAGAGCATCCACAAGCAATTGTGGACGCCGGACCGCCGGACGGGGGCGACAACAATATACGACAACATTTCAATGTGGGCGTATAAAAACAAAGCCAGATTCACAAGATAACATAGTAATAATATAAATTGTAAAAAAACCTAAAAAAATTACAAAACTGGAATAAATCAAGTGATTAGTTTGTAAATGTGTAATAGTGTAATATATAACTTACCATCTGTCACTTGATCTATTATATCATCTAATATACAGCGTACTATATCTTCACTACTTTCTTCTTCTTCTAAAATATATAATATTATTATAGTAAGAGTATGAGTAGATACCTATATCTGTTGCTCAAATGATAGAAAATATATTCTCGACCTTACAACTGAATACCCTAGTATATTGTTTACAAACACAATGTAACTAAAATCTTCAATTTGAAACTAATAATGGAAACAGAACCAACTACAATAGCAAATTACTATTATTACATGCATTGAAGTAACTATATAAGCACCAGCTTTACGAGATAAGTAGTTAGAATTATGTTGTGCATTCCGATCCATATCCAGACAACCACTTTAAGTTTAATCAAATATTTTTGATGAAGTGATTTCTATATTAATTGTTGTAATGACAACAGGCTCATATTTATTGTAAATAAGAGGCCTACCTTCACCATTCTCAGTTTTTTCTTCACTCTCTCCTTTGTCCTCTTCATCTCCTGTTTTATTGCCATCATCTTCAGTTGTCTGGAATAATTAATCAAAATTTATACACTAAGAATTATATCATATAGAGTTTTTGATAATAATATAGATGATAATTTGTGGTCCATTCTCATATCTTCAATGATATTTTACTCTTAAACATACCTAACAAGAGGCGTCATTAAGTTTGAAAGTATATATAACCTCCAATTTGATCTATATTCCTTAGTATTTATTTTGAGAAATTTTTGTATAATAATGACTCACGAAAAGAAATGTGAATGACAAATGGAGGGACAGACAGGGGGTGACATCAATATAAACTGTGGGTATGTAAAAACTAAAATTGTTCCTGTCAAACTATGTAAATATAACATGTTTAAATTCCTGTTATATTGTCAGACAAACCCATCTACCTTTATTTCATTAGAATCTGGTTCTTTTTCAATATTGATTATAGGTATTTCTGATGTGTCTTTCTCACTTACACTATTTGTCTTCTCTTCTTCCTTTTTATCATTTTCCTTTAAAAAAATATATAGAGAAATCATTACTGAAAAAAATATTTGTAGCTAACCCCTATAGATTTCTAAAGCGCACACGTTATGACCACCCTCCACGCCTGTTCTTGTATGAACTTTCTTAAAAATTACAACAAAATACAATGCCTACTAATTTACATTTCATTTGAACAATTCCTTGAATAGTCGGTGTTCGATCCCTGCATTGGCCGAGAAAGTTCATTCAGATTTTCCGGCGTGGTTTCCCCTGTCAGTGATGCGGAATGGAGGGCCTGCCAAGGACAGCTGTCTAGTCGTTCGGATGGTACAAAAAAACAAGGTCCCGTGTACACATTGACATGCACGTAAAAGATCCCTTGGCAGTTGGAATTCGATATAAGAGTAGGCCGTAGCACCGCTCCCCGAGCAAAATTTCCCTCATAGCACACTGTATGGCGTAAGCCCGCCTTCATTAGCCCAGGTTAGGAGCAGAACAGTAGGACGTTAAACCCCATTTCATTTCATTTCCTTGAATAGTGACTTCTTTTTCACACACAGTAAGCTCAAATATAGTTTCAACCTTCAGTTAATGAAGGTCTAATAGAGAGAGAGAGAAATGGGGTTTAACGTCCACTCGACATAAACTAGGTCTTTACGGGACTAACATATGGTTCAATTTTATTTCCATAATTCGCTTGCGTGTAGGGGTCTTTAGCAGTGGGAGGGCACCAGAGGACCCAGAGAAAACCCACGAGGTTGGACAGGCGACCCTACTCCTTGCCACGTACAACCGGGGAATCGAAACCATGCCAGTTGACTCAATGACAGACTTTATGATACAGCGCGCACATGCTAACCATTCAGCAATCCAACCCCCCTGAAGGTCTAATAATTATCCAGATGTGGCATTTATTTCAAATACACTGATTTCCTTTACTGTACTAATAAATTATAATTTATAAAGAAAAACTGAATTAAAGCATAACTTACAGCTTGTGATTCCATACGAATAAATATTACACTTAACATCTGAGTTAGAGTCGCTTTAGCCGTGGTCTGGTTAACCAGGTTTTTACTAGCAAGATATATATTATAACATGTTCTAACGGTCTGGAGAACAGTGCCTTCATGTATCTCACAATTATTGGATGTTACAACTGTCAACAATGCCTGAGGAGGAAAAACAAAAACAATGAATATTATTAGAAACTAATAAACAATCCATCATGCTGGCAGTTCTGCTGTTTGTAAAAAAATCCCTTACCGTTGGTGATTTTTATTTAAATAACAATTTTTTTTATTATCAATGTTCAATTGTTCATGGTAATGTTTTATGCTTAGACTGTGGTTAATTAATTGTTTGTTTCTCATGACCTGTGTTTGTGAACTATACATGCTACATGAGGTAATTATTCATTATTAATTGAGATGGAATTTAAAATTTTTGAGTTTAATGCTGTTTCTATTTCAGCAATAACTTATGTTGGTTACTTGGTCATTGAAAACCCAACGGTAACCGGCGTTCGCGATTTATTCACATTTAATAAAAATTTCATAAATTAAAATATATGTTGCACAATAGCCGGGGCATCGGAAGACTTGATCATAATAATAGGTCTAAATTATTAGTGATACGCTTCTAAGTTAAATGTTCGTTAATTCATTCATTCTTGGCATTTCATTTCTTTATCTTCCTCTACTTTGACAGGTTACAAAATGACCTGTTCCAATCAGGTTGATAATTTGTTCTGACATAAATGTTTAAAAGCATACCTTTGGATTTTTGAATACAACATAAGTTAGATTATTTAACATGTCAGTCCAAAGAATTTATTACACACGTTTTCGTTTCTCTAACCGTGAAGTAAGATAGTACCAATAACCCGTATGTTAATTGTCTTCAACTTTGACCCCATCGGCACAAGGCATTGTGATAATATAAATACTTATCTTCATCAAAGTATTCACATTTATTAGTATCTTTGTGTCCTTTTGAGACTGTGTTTATAAAGTGTTGTGTTTAATAAAATACCGTGAAGTAGTGTCAATCAGTCGGTAGACTTACCTCGTGATCGAGGCTATCTCATGGCAGCAGTTTTGGAACCGTTGGTCACAGAGTGCTAGTCACGTAAACAAAATATTTTAGCACTAATTTAAAAGACATTTATATCTTTAAGTGAATTTTATTACAATTGACAAGTGCCTTATGAAGTATGTATGTCGTCTTTGGTGAAAGAAAATGCTGCAGGATGACAGATATGATGCAGCTTTTTTTAACTTCCTGTTTCACATATGGACCTGTATATTTTTTTCACATTCTAGCCTACTAGACTTTACTTATCACCTACAATGTCATGTTTATCAATAAATAGTCGATTTTAAAGCGTCAGTTCATTGTTAATATTTGAAGGCAAACAAATATAGTTTTACAAATTTTACAGGACGAATTTGTGACTTCCCTAAATTTAACCAAATAATTATGGGAAGTACGTAATTATTACGGATGAAAATGGACATGCAGGCGGGTCATGCAATACAAACAATTAATTAACTGCGGCCTTATGTAAGAGTAAGTCTGTGTTATAGATAATGTATTACTAATGATGCTGCTAATTTCATACAGACTAAGAGCACAATTTATCTCATTGCAAAAACAAACACAGTTATTTTTTGTTTCTATTTTACTTAATATATTCACTATCACATGTGATCGTTTGTTGTTATGTTGTAAGTTTAGACTTCGATGTAAGGAGAAATTCATTTCCATTCATACTACCTTTATTATCTGCAACTGAACACCTTCATCTGTCTGTGGACCGTTAAAACAACCACATATTGTCTCTACAATCCTATCTATCAACCTTTTATTTGGAGAAGTACTGTCAGGAACATTTCCAGTCAGATGTCCATATGCTATTAATTTCTACAAGATAAAAAACATCTACATTTATTAATCAGCCAATTCATTCACAATGCATTCTTTCAGAAAAAATACAGATAGAAAATGAGTTTTATGGCACTAACTCGAAATCAATGATAGACAATAAATGTAAATTTCAAAAAGATAGGTTAGTAATTGCAACCTATAAAATCATACAGGATGTCATAAAAAAGTGGTATATATTTGAAGGTCATTTCAATGAGATGACAACCCCTTGGGCTTATTAATTTCAACAACAAACTGAGGCTAATATCTCCTGTCTTAATCTCAAATAAATAGATGACACTTATTAATTACTTGCACATCTACACCAAGTTTGTACATTCTATCTCAATTAGAAGCAGAGTGATAGTTTGCATTTTTCTATCTCAATTAGATGTAGAAGGCAGAGCTATTGTGTCCCAAAAAGTATGATGGACAGACACTTGTCAGGCACAAATTCAGGGTTTGTCAGACATAATCCTTATAATGTCTATAATTTGCCTGGCACAGAAATTTCTCTTCTTTCTGCTTTGATTGATATTTGTATGTGAGTGAGAGACAGAGAGGGAGAGAGGAGGAGTGTTTACCTCCCACAAAATGATAATCAATAAAATGTTTCCTAATAAATATGGAATATAATTTGGTAACATAATAATTTAGCAGGAAGCTTCTGTGTAATCACAGCACCCAAACATATAAGTCTAGGCCTATTCTTTTAATAAATCTAAATACATGTACATGTATAAGCATACCTGAAGGCAATCCAAGGCTGTATTTACAATACGAGAACATTTTGATTGACATGCTAATTCAAATGGTAGGAAATATTTATCTGCAGCTACAACTCCCGGACGTTTTGGCTGAGGAAGAGCAGAAGATGATTCAACTTCCGGACTGAAATAAACACTATAATAGTTGTATAATTAGAAATCAATGAAAGCATGCATTATGTAAAAAAAAAATCAATTACAGGGTAGCAAGAGGGGTGGATGGGGTCTAACAAAACTACATGTAAATCATTTCAAGACTTACACATGGTACAATTCTATTTAAATAATTTGCTTGCTCATAGCATAGGGGTCTTTAGCAGTGAGAGGAAAAATGAAGGACACAGAGAAAACCCACAAGGTTAGGCAAGAGAGACCCCACTCCTTGTCATGTACATGTACAAGCTTGGGAATAACCATGCCACTTGTATCAATTAAAGGGAAGCAGTAGTAGATGTATTTTGGTGGATAACACTGGTTAATTTAGAGTGAAAGGCTCTTGCCAACCTTTAACCTAGCCTTGTGCTATTATTGAAGCTCTGTGATACTTTTTCAAACTTTCCGTTTCCATAACCTGTAAGTGCCTGGATAACCCTGTCTATATATTTGCCAATGCTTTATATAGGCTCTGCCTGTTCCCCAATCCCCTCAGTTTCTGAATAAATATGGTTTATATATAAAAAAATGCTTTAGTGCTAAGTAACTGTCACAATTATCAAGTCACTCATACACAACTGAAGATTGTGTGAAGACAGAAATTCCTTGGAGGAATTACCTAACTCATTAAAGCAAATCTAGCGATTTATTCTCCTACATGGGTAAAGTGGTTATATCTTCACATTTGATTAAATATTAAAGTAATGGTAGCTAAGTGTTTAACTCAATATCATTCACAGTCTTCGACATTGAAAACACGAATTATTTGTCAATTTAAATCAACATTGATGTTGTGATCTTACCGGGAAAAGATGGGCTTCTGATATCCAAAATTTATGACAAAATATACATTTTACCATGGTACACAAATCGAGTACCAGAATGTGTTTCAACATCATTTGTTACAAGGGACTCAAAGAACGAGGTTAGCCATATTCCACAAGACATGTCAAGCGGTCATGCCATATTCGTATCTAGAGAGCATGCGCAATAAATACCACCAGTGTAGACTGGAAAAAACAGATACTAGAGATTGCCATTCGATTGATACTTCTCGCGTATTTCGCCGAACACAACTGATTTGAAATTAAAGTAAAAACGGAAATGGTTGAATGTAAATCAGTTTATATACATTCATATCACATTATTATATGTGTCACGACCCATTTGTGTCAATTTCTAGGTCCCAGATATTAGCGATATAGCTCCTATAAACCCCCTTCTATTTGCATATCCTTTGAAATCTGGAACAGCCCTGTTAAACAAACTAGTTAATACAATTCTGTGATGGTAAGTGTGACAAATTGGAACTATAAGCTTCAATATCACAATTCACTGTAGGCATTAAATATCATTGTCTTGATTAACACATCACAAATTTGAGTACCTGTAGCATATATATTGTAATTTGTTACTTCAACAGAATGGTTTAAAATTAATGCACACAAGACGTGTATTTACTTTCTGATATTAGCCAGTTATCTGACAAAGATATATCATTAACATATTTGATTTAACTTTTGGGACAGGTCTAGGGTCTAACTATTCTAAATGTATCAGAGTAATGACTTTTTAATTTGAAATTTACTTACTTTTGTACTTTAGAATCATTCTTCACTTCATCTGAAAATAAATTGTATTTCTAGAAATGAGACATGTATTGACAGTTGACACACAATAATAATTAAAAATCAGAATAAGAAATTTATTGGGATAAATAATACAGTATCCTTAGAAAGTCAAAGTACTATCATTCATTACCTTTTAAATCATGACACTATTATTAATCAGCTTATTAACCAATCAATACTGATGTTGTGGTTTGAAACAGAACATGATTTGGATCAATTTCTTGTGCATGAGATTCAAGTGAAAAAGTACCGTAACACGAAAGTAGGCTATCTATTTTGTTCCCTGTCTCCATATAGAAACCATTCTAGAACAGCCAAGAATTGATTTATCAGGTCGCATCATTATTGTTTTCATTGTAGTTAAGGTTTTAAACGATCCAAATGTTTATTATTATTAGCCCTTTGGAATGATGCTTTTCAACATCCCTCTCATGTAGATTACAGGACTCCATGGTAAAAGGATTCAATACCATGAAACAATGTAAAAATAATTAGATATAGGACTAACTACCTAATAAACGTTCAGTTCTGTAGAGCAATCTTGAAATATTTCAATGACTACAATTTATGGATAGACTATTTGTGCATACACTGAGGATAACGATCGTTAAAACACCGAAATAAATCTGATCATATCAATTGGAGCACTTTTATACACCTCTTTGCAAACTCAAAAACTAGTCACAATAAGTAGTGTAATGTGATTAACTCACTCAAATTGATGTTTGTTACTCGTAAAGTCATTCAAATTACAGGCAATATAGTGTATTATGTCATGTAAGGTCTACCATACTTACCAAGTGCCACCTCACAAGCCTTTTTCAACTGGGAATGATGTGCCTTCTTTATTTCTTTATCAGATAAAATCTTTTCTAAAGCTCTGGTCAAAAACATTTTCTTTCAAGAATTAATTTCACGCTAAACATAAGAAATTGGGTTACATTTTAGCCTAAACGATGTATGTCACACCTCCAATTATTTATTTGTCCACCGCAACATCCGCCATGCTGGAGGTCACGTGACATTTATGTGCATTTTGCAATGGCAATGCAGCATCTTCCCACAATCTAGACCCGTGGACACGATGAACCGTTACATTTACAAGTATAAGTTCAAACCAACTAAAGAGTATTGGTGATTTTCAATCAGTGTAATACATAAATAAAAGACAAGTTCCAAGTTGAAATGTTTTTATTTGCATGTAAAGCTACTAGCAACCGATTCCCAGGTGGCGTTCTGAGATACCAATTTCGTCCCGCGAAGCAGTAATGGGTCGTACGCCATGTGCATTGGGCTAATTTTTGTGCAACTGTTACATAATATAACCCATAGCAAATCCCACATCGTCCTCTGTGATTTAAATAGAAATTCAATAAAATAATATACCGGTAATCAAAACTGAATAGTATGTTTACCTTTGTTTGAAAGGAAAGAGAATACAGCACAAAAATAGGGGTGGGGTGGGGAGTATAAACCAGGATTAATCACATGTAACCAAAATGTTTAATAATATTTTACTGCTTTCAGCTTGTTTTGGTTTTTTTTTTCTTTCTTTCTTTTTTCCTTCTTTCATTCTTCGCACTATTAAATTTCTTCTTTGTCAACCCTTGGGCATATAAATGGCGGTTTACTATTTCAGAGCTGTAACTTTCACGTCGAGAAATAAATGCGGGAATAGTGACTAAGTGAGGAGTTTATTAACGACTGACAGTTTTACTTCCGGTTGTTGACAAGATGGATGCAAGGAATGCACAAAAGTCATGGGAATTGGCAAATAATGTCGAAATTGATGACATTTACCGTTACGATAAGAGACAGCATCAAGATATTCTGACTGCTAAACCATGGGAGAAAGAGTAAGAAATTGTTATGTTAATAATAATAATCAAAACGGCCATCAGATAGGGCAGTTACAATTTACTCAAGAGTCAAGTCAAATCACCGTTATTCTTCCTTATTAACTTACAGTAGACTACTACTATAATAAGTAGAGATGAAAACAAAAAATTCAACTATCCCGTATGGCTTCAATTCTTTTATTTCTGGATAGGGCTTTCCCTAAGCTTTACAATGACACCAAAATGAGCTTGAAAGGCCCTATATTAATGAGGTTAGTTATGCCGAATTAATTGTTGCTAATTAAAGGAGCTAAATCGCTAACATTTGGGACCTAGAAATTGACAAAAGTGGGTCGCAACGCATATGATACTGTAATATGAATGTATATAAACTGATTTACATTCAATGGTTTCCGTTTTTACTCCAATTTCAAATCAGTTATGTTCGGCAAAATAAGCCAGCAGTCTCAAGCGAGTGCAAATTTCTAGCGTCTGGTTATTCCAGTCTACATACGCCGTTTGATTTGGTGCAATGTGTCTAGCCTCGTCCCTCGAGTCTGGGGCTGAAGCGCATTATGGTACACGATTCGTGTACCAATGGTAAAATGTTTATTTTGCAATAAATATTGGATATCAAAAGCCCATCTTTTTCCGGTAAGATCACAACATGAATGTTGATTTAATTTGACAAATAAATCGTGTTTTCAATATTGAAGATTTTGGATGATACTGAGTTAGAGATTTAGCTACTTTAACGCCCTTTTTTGTCTAAAGTAAAGTGAAGAACAAAGTAGGAAAAGTGAGGCCATCACGCGCAGTCGCTAGCGGTAAAATTCCACTAATTTTCTTACATGGCGGTCACGTCGAAACTGGATCAAAAATTTTCCACACTACATATTTTGGCTCCGCACCTACCGATTTCATTGGAAACTTGCAGAATTAAAGTTTAATATATTATGTATTTTCAAATCAATATACTGTATTATTAACCCTATCCGTCCCAAAAATCATGTTTTCTACTTTCATTTTGAAGTTAAGATTTCTCTGCACTCGGAGCAGCTAGAGTAAAGTAAAAATTCGAAAATGAGGCGAAAAGCTAGTCTTTTATTTACGAAAATAACCACATTCGAAGCCACAGTTTCGCACCAATGGACAATCCGATGAGGAAGAAAAGCCAATACGCAAATTGCACTGGCGTATCTGTTGCGTGACTCGCGAAGACGAAATTACGCCAGCGGTTCACCGCTTCATTGGCGTACCTACTATAAGTATAAGCACTGCAGTGCAAATCGGCTATAAGTTTATGGATTGTGTTTAATCATTTAATGTAACAGCACTTATCAGTCAAATACTTTGACAGCTACAGGGCTTGCCACGAGACGCGAGTAATTACTCGCGCGCACGCTACGCTCGCGTAAAACCAAATTTACGTGAGTGATTAAGTACTCGCGCAAATATAAAAAATAATTTAATCAGAAATAATTGAATATCGTAATATAAAAAGCCGTAAACAATTTGTATGCCTTCATATCGATGCACTATTGCGCACGCGGCGTGTCTTTCCAGTGCCAACTGTTGTTACTAAAGGGCAGGTCTTTTCATCCCAAATCCATTTTACCCTAGACTGTTTCATCCCAAATTTACATGAGTCGTTTCATCTCACTAATATATAAGGTTGTTCCATCCCATAAATTAAAAAAAAGAGTATTAAGAGTTAACTGACATTTGCCCTACGTATAGTTTATTTTGTGATATAACTATAACCAATAAACACAATTTATTTAATATTTTTGCTTTCACATTGCACTTTTGTCATCTACCTTTTGTCATTCAACATTTCACATTAGACATTTTAAAATTTCAACAACATGCCTAACATAAGTCATTAAGTGACCCAGAACTTTAAACTTCGAACTCTGACATCTTCTCATTTGACACATGCACAGTGTATTTTTTTCCATCAACATTTGTCTTTTGCAACATAACTTTTTACATAGAAGATGAAATCAAGCCACATATAATAATAGTTATATACATATCAAGGCGTAATATATATACTCTTCAAAAGAAGAAACGCATAGTGACATTTCGTTGTCGGTATACCCTTGCTTCGTTGCAACAGGAACCGTGACTCGTCGTCGCTGAACCAAACTGTTCCCCAGCGTTGATGTGGCCATACCCTGTGGCTGTGTGTCTGAACTCATTGATGTCAGATTTGCGAGTGTCAGTGTATTTCAAAACAGCATCTCTAACGGGACTTCTGGCTCGTAATCAGGTTTCACATAGGCATTTACGAACTGCTTGGTCTGAGATCCTACGACATCCAAGAATTGCTGCTGCAGTAGAGGTCGCTGTTGTGATCAGTTTCTGCGAATGACGTAACCCAGATGTGACAATTCAGGCCTGAGTTTGGGTGGTTACATGTTGAACTTCGCTGTCGGTAACTATCCCAAAAGTGAGAAATTGTACTCTGGGAAACATTCAGCAGCCTGGCTACATCTGTCTGGGATTCACCTGCTTGTAACCGACCGATAGCATTGTTGTGTTAGTCCCCGTTAGTACCTTATCAAGAGATGAATAGTAATATCTATAAGCTAGAGGTCAGATTTCTGTAGTCAAAACAGCCCCCTAGAGTAGTCTAGGCAATAATACAAAACTAAAATAAGAAAAATATAATTGTCTATTTTTCATTTCAGTAACCATCATTTCAAGCACATTAAAATTTCAGCTCTGGCACTTCTAAAAATGGTGATGCATGCTAGATCTGGAGGTAATCTTGAAGTGATGGGTTTGTTGCTAGGCAAAGTTGATGGTAATACAATGATTGTAATGGATGGTGTGGCTCTACCAGTGGAAGGGACAGAAACAAGAGTTAATGCCCAAGCACAAGCATATGAATACATGGCTGCCTATACCGAGTCGGCTAAACAGGTTTGAAAATTTTACTATTAAACTTTACTAGCTTTTCCTTAGTTGTGACAGATTAAACTATTTTGCCCAACGCTCTAATGGCATTCTCACCAATATTCTGTCATCTATTTTACTTGATTTCAATCAGATAATTGTCCCCCGCCTTTCGAAGAAAGCAGGGGACTATTAAAATGGGTTCGTCCGTCTGTCTGTCTGTCCGTCTGTCTGTCCGTCACACTTTTTGGGACACAATAACTCTCTTCCTATTTGAGCTAGAATGTTCAAACTTGGTGTATGTGTTTATTAGGTCAATGCCTTGATGGAGTTCGAAGATGAGCATTTTCCGCTTAGGGTAAGCAGAGATAAGCAATTTGATTGGTTGATGCTTTGGGACACGATAACTCTCTTCCTAATTGGGCTAGAATGTTCAAACTTGGTGTATGTGTTGATTAGGTCAATGCCTTGATGGAGTTCGAAGATGAGCATTTTCCGCTTAGGGTAAGCAGAGATAAGCAATTTGATTGGTTGATGCTTTGGGACACGATAACTTTTAATTGAGCTAGAATGTTCAAACTTGGTGTATGTGTTTATTAGGTCAATGCCTTGATGGAGTTCGAAGATGAGCATTTTCCGCTTAGGGTAAGCAGAGATAAGCAATTTGATTGGTTGATACTTTGGGGCACGATAACTCTCTTCCTAATTGAGCTAGAATGTTCAAACTTGGTGTATGTGTTGATTAGGTCAATGCCTTGATGGAGTTCGAAGATGAGCATTTTCCGCTTAGGGTAAGCAGAGATAAGCAATTTGATTGGTTGATGCTTTGGGACACGATAACTTTAGTTCTAATTAAGTGAGATTGATGAAACTTGGTGTATAGTTTCATTACAGTAATACCTTGACTAAGTTTGATAATGAGCATTTTCTGCTCAGGGTAAGCAGAGCGATACGCAATTTGATTGGTCGAGACTTTGGAAAACAATAACTCTCCTACTTTGATTGTCCCCCGCCTTTCGAAGAAAGCAGGGAACTATTAAAATGGGTTCGTCCGTCTGTCTGTTTGTCTGTCTGTCCGTTCCGCTTATGGTAAGCAGAGATAAACAATTTGATTGGTTGATCTTCGAATTGAGTAAATGTTCATGCTTCATTGTCCCCCGCCTTTCGAAGAAAGCAGGGAACTATTAAAATGGGTTCGTCCGTCTGTCTGTTTGTCTGTCCGTTCCGCTTAGGGTAAGCAGAGATAAACAATTTGATTGGTTGATGCTTTGGGACACTATAACTTTAGTTCTAATTAAGTAGATAAACAATTTGATTGGTTGATGCTTTGGGACACTATAACTTTAGTTCTAATTAAGTGAGAGTGATGAAACTTGGTGTATAGTTTCATTACAGTAATACCTTGACTAAGATCGATAATGAGCATTTTCTGCTCAGATTAAGCAGAGCGATAAGCAATTTGATTTGCTGAGACTTTGGAACACAATAACTCTCCTTCGAATTGAGTTAAAATGTTCAAAATTGGTGTGTATGCTTATTGTCCCCCGCCTTTCGAAGAAAGCAGGGGACTATTAAAATGGGTTCGTCCGTCGTCTGTTTGTCTGTCTGTCCGTCACACTCCTTCGAATTGAGTTAAAATGTTCAAAATTATTATAACCAGGTATTGATAAAAGCATCAATTGAGCAATTCCAATACAATCCAATACAATGAATATAGGCAAGGTAAATAAACAAATAAATGGAAAAAACAAATTGAAAAAGAAACTATTATAAATTAATTAAATATGTAGTATGCAATAATGAATTGACATTTAATGACAGAAAGAAAACAGTGAACTTTGCACAACTTGCAGCAAGATGGAAAATAGACCCGTTGATACAACCAAACTCTAGATCTGTAGGCATAGAGCATGTTTTCCCCTTAATATGCTATAATTATTCCATCAAAAACATTGTATGCTTAGACTATAAGTAAAGATATACTGTTTGATTGTTCAATACTTTGTAAAAGATAATTTGTGATAAATTTATATGTGTCCTCTAATTATTTTCCTATTTCGGCGGGGGACATCAGCCTCACTGTTGGCTTGTTTGTATATAACAAATAGTAAGGTCATATGCTGGACTTCATAAGTATTCATGTTTTCTTAAACTGAAAAAGAACTGGTGCTCCAGTGAACAAATAAAATAAAGATTTATTCCAATATTTCTTCCAAAAGAGCTGGATTCCATTTATTAAACCCTATTTACTTTACTCCCATATTTATGTAAACTGGCAATATGCAATTTTTTATTTGACTAGGTTGGAAGATTAGAAAATGCTATAGGCTGGTATCACAGTCATCCTGGTTATGGTTGTTGGTTATCTGGTATTGATGTCAACACACAGATGTTAAATCAACAGTTTCAAGAACCCTTTGTTGCTATTGTGGTTAGGAACCATTTTATCAATGCATTTTTATATTCATGCCAGTTCTATCTTTCAGATTTTCACTTTATTCTATAAATAGTGAAAATAATAACATATAATATACCCTGCACGGTAACAGCATCGAGAACTCAATCTCCCAAATTTTTTTTTTTTTTTTTCTAAAATTAGGATTATTAGCAAAGCGAACATTCAGACATACCGTTTGCCATTCAGGGTAAAAGCATCAAGAATTCAAAATTCTCTCATGCTGCATATCTTGAACATGATTTTAATGGGCATTTCATTTAATTTGTATGGTTTTATTTTAGATTGATCCAGTTAGAACTATATCTGCTGGTAAAGTTAACATTGGTGCTTTTAGAACATACCCTAAGGTAAGATTTCTGTCCCAGAGAAAGTAGGGAATTATTAAACTGGGTTCATCTGTCTGTCTTTCACACCTTTTGAAACATAATAACTCTGCTTCTAATTGAGTTAGAACGATCATTAGGTGAATGTCTTTGACAAATTTCCATAGTGAGCACTTTTCACTTAGGCAAAGCAGAAATTAGCAATTTGATCTATCGATGCTTTGGTAGATGATACAGTCATCTATTTATTTTAAGACTGAGTTCTATGTTCCAGTTGGTCACTCTTTGATGTAGTAGTAGCAGAGTTGTGTAATGCAATTCACCCTCCTAATTAGACTAGTTTTAACTAAAGATTTAAGTGCTCCATATTAGAATGTTTGATTTTCCTAGAATATTTGCTTTGAGTATCAGAATATTTTGATATGTCAAAATACATTTATTTACCGGCACATTTGATTGGTTTGAATATTTCTCTTACATATCAGAAAATTTATTTTAAAATCTCAGATTTATTCTATACATCTCAAAATATTTGGTTTATTATAGAATAGTTCTCATTAATATTTTAATAATCATATATCATATTGTATTTTTAGGGTTATAAACCACCAGATGAAGGACCATCAGAATATCAATCAATTCCTTTAAGTAAAATAGAAGATTTTGGTGTACATTGTAAACAGTAAGTATAAACTGCTATGATCATTCATAAATTATTTGTTTTAAATCAGTTATATGTACAATAACTAGTCTTAAAACCTGGTTCCTTATTGTATATTAGATTAGAATATAAAAAGATACTTCCTAATTGTATCGTATGTTCACAAACTTTAAGAGGAGATAACTAGATAAAAATATCTGAATCTGTAGAGCATTAAAACAAGAAATTGCAGGTGACAACAATATATGACCACATTAAATGTGGGGATATAAAAACAGCATCTGTAGTCTTTTTCGAGATAACTGTACAAGTCCTTCAAACTGGTACTTTGTGGAGTTTGTTTTTCTGTCAGAAAAGTGTTTTATTGACAAAGGTTATAAAAGAGAGACTATAAAATTGTCTTTAACATAATCCTTATAAGACATATAGAAATAGATTTCACAAAATAAAACACTTGTATCGATATACTACTGAATTTTTCAATACACATACAGGTATCATTATAAAGCACTTGAAACGTAGCATGTTATTAAAATTCAGATGTAGTATATTCATACAAGTGTTTTATTTTATAAAATTGTCTCGTAAAAATTTTACTCGTTTTGATTGATAAATGTTTTATATTTCAGATATTATTCATTAGATATATCATATTTTAAATCGGCATTGGATAGGAAATTATTAGATTCTTTATGGAATAAATATTGGGTGAACACATTGAGTTCCTCTAGTTTACTTACAGTAAGTTGTTTCATATTTCATTTTCATCAAATTGTTATACATTTACACAGAATGTTGAATGTTAATACTGTCGTCCACAGTTCTTAGTTATTAACACTTCATTTTTATACGCCCACATGGAAATGTGATATAAAATAATTAATAGAATACAGTATCAAAAAAACATCGTTTTATCCAACGTTTCATCAGTAAAAATAGTGTATTCTATTAATTATTTTATATCAACTTATCTGAATATCAAATGCATCATTTTGACTTAGTCAAAATTGATCCCATCAAACCGTCTGTATTTGGTTTGTGTTTCTACTGATTGGAAGTTTCACATGGAAATGTGGACATATATTGCCATCACCCCTGTCCGTCCGTCGGTCTGTCCAAAAGTTATTATCCGATTGTTTTAAAATTGATATATGTGGTTTAAATTAGTGAGATGAAAAAGCCTATTTAATTTCAATAATTTCTGTTCATTACGTCTAGAGTTATGGCCCTTGTTTCACTTTGTTGAACCTTGTGAATGCTATTACGCCAAAAGTTATCATCCAATCTTTCTGAAATTTAAATGCATTATTTAAATTAGTAAAACAAAGAAGCCTATTAAATTTCAGCAATTTCCATTTATTATGTCTAGAGTTATGGCCCTTGTTTCACTTTGTTAATGCTCTAACCTCTAAAGTTATCTGCCGATCTGTATGAAATTTATATGTGCCATTTAAGTTAGCAAAAAGAACAATCCTGTACGTCTAAAATTATGGCTCGTTTCACTTTAATGAACCTTGTGAACTCCAACGCCGAAAGTTATTATCCGATCTTTGTGAAATTTATATGCATTATTTGAATTAGTGAAACCACGAAGCTATTGAATTTCATCAATTTACAATAATTACTTCTAGAGTTATGTCCCTTGTTTCACTTTGTTCAACCTTGTTAATGCTCGATTGATGAAAGTAATCATCCGTTATGTTCGAAATTTATATGCATCATTTAAATTTCTAGAGTTATGGCCCTTGTTTTACATTGTGAACGTTCGAATGAAAAAAGTGATCATCCGATTTGTACGAAATTTACATGCATTATTTAAATTAGTAAAACGAAAAAGCCTGTCAAATTTCAACAATTTTTGTAGACTACTTCCAAAGTTGAGGCCTTTGTTTCAGTTTGTAGAACCTTGTGAACCCTCAAGACAAACGACCAAAATTATAATCTGATCTGTATGAAACTGTCTTATAAAGGTCCCCAATTACCTACAAAGGAATAAATATGCGACAACCCTTGTCAACCGCTCGGACGATTTAGCTGCTGTGGGTGTATGTTTCGTTGCCTGGCAACCTATCTTTTTTAAATTGCATTTATTTTTATTTCTCACTTAACTATATTACAGTACTTTATGCATAGTGATCGGATTAGCATCTGGATATTGTCAAAATTATGCTTTATGTTGATTTTTTATTTATCACTGACCGAAGGCTCACCTCTGTTGCTAATGTAAGGAAAGTGGTCTCTTTTCACTGGCTTGAATCGACTAGTCACCGCACAAGGTGATAGTGTGTGTATCCAGAGATAAATAAATAATTAGTAGTGTATATAAAATGGTGCCATTCTAAAGAATATAGTAGCTAGTAAATAGATGTTTTGGATAGTTTCAGTGTTAGATATTTGAAATTTCAGCTGATTTATCTAATCTATTTTTAGAATGCTGAGTATACTACCCATCAGATCTTTGATTTATCAGATAAGTTAGAACAAGCTGAAGTACAGCTTGGTCGAGGTAGTTTTATGGGAATTGATTCACATGAAAAGAAAACAGAAGATAAATTAATGAAAGCTAAAAAGGATGGGTATGTAATTCGAATATATGTGGATTTTGTGCACTTTAGCACCTTTAGTGATTCTTAAAAAAAAAAAACCCAAAAAACCCTGATTATTTTCTCTTTAAATATAAAACATAATTTTAATGCTAAATGTAATTTTTTTTATATGCATTCCAGATGTAAAACAACAATTGAAGCCATCCATGGATTGATGTCACAAGTTATTAAAGACAGACTCTTTAATCAAGTACATTTGAATACATAGATAAATTAATTATTGTGTAAAATTTCTTTTCCCTGTGACTTATTTTCATCTGGCGTTTTTTTTTTATATATGATTATTAATTTATGTTAAAAGTCATCAAAAAGAATGTAAGATGCTACTTGATATAGCTTAAAGTATTTTTTAACTATTATACAGACACCCAGAGATAGATAATATTCAGATGAAATAATACCGTAAAATAAGAAATTAATGCATCATTAAATAAAAGTAACCTAAAGTGAGCCATATCATTAATTTCTTATTTTACAGTATTTATACATCTCTTCTTATTTCGAAACATAAGACTTATTTTCACCCATGTTAAAAAATAAAGATTGTTGTCTAAAATAGAAGTTGCTGTAAATGTATGTAAGATTGATGGAAGTGCTATTTGTTTATCATCATATTAAAACATTGTATTCTTGTCATATTTTTTTTTTATGTTCTGAAATTTAGTTTTTAATTAGTAACCATTGCTCTAATATTCAAACAGTGAAAGTAATGCACTGAAGAATTTATTCACCAAGGTATTATAGTAGAAACAACCAGATGCTATTGATTAAGCGGGAGACACACCATATAATCAATCACAGCCGAGAAAGTTCATCAGGATTTTCGGGCGCAGTGTCCCCTTGTCAGTGGTGAAGGATAAAGGGCCCAACAGGGACAGCTGTCTAGTCTTTGGGATGGTACAAAAAACCAAGTCTGCCATGTACACATTGGCGTGCACGTAAAAGATCCCTTGGCAGTTGGAATTCGATATAAGTGTAGGCTGTAGCGCCGCTGTCTGTGGAAAATTTCCGTCATTGCACCCTGCATGGTGTATGACCGTCTCCATTAGCCCAGTCGGAGCAGAACAGAAGGACGTTAAACCCAGTTTCATTTCATTTTTATACCCCCACATTTTCATGTGGACGTATATTGTCATTGCTCCTGTCCATCTACAATTTGTGGACACTCTACAGGTCACAACTTTTATCTGATTTTGACAAAACTTGAAATATAGGTCTATCTCCCAAAGATCTCGGTTCCTTTCGATATTGGCATGTATCGGACCATAACTTCATGTGTGTGAAAAATCACGTTATTGGCTTGTGGACACTCTCGAGGTCACAACTATCATCTGATTTTGACGAAACTTGAAATGCATGATTATAACCCAAAGATCCTGGTTCCTTACAATATTCCCGCATATCGGATCGTAACTTCCTGAATTATGGCCCTTGATTGTACGAAAAATCACGTTTTTCGCTTTCGATATTCACGCATATCGAACCGTAACTTCCTGAACTCAAATAGTGTAAACATATGGTATATCAAGGTTGTGGACTCTCTAGAGGTCCCATTTTTGATCTGATTTTGACGAAACTTGAAATACATGTTTATAACCCAAAGATCCTGGTTCCTTTCATTATTCGCGCATATCAGATCATAACTTCCTGAATTATGGCCCTTGATTGTACGAAAAATCACGTGAATATATCACCGTTACACTCTGATGATGATTGAGTTCGAAAGGAACTGCTCGACAAAAATGGTCGTTCTTTGTGCGCAAAGTGTGTAAAAGTATGTAAGATTTTGATGAAACTTAAAATATATCTTTATATCCCAAAGATCTCGGTCCCTTTCGATATTTGCGCATTTCAGAACATAACTTTCTGGATTATGACCCCTGATTGTACAAAAAATCGCTTTTGTTTTTAGCTTGTTCTCTATCCATCTCTTGCAAAATGAGGGCATATATTCGCCTAATGTGTCCAGTTCACTGAAGACAATGCCCAATTGTAGAATTCATTAGCCAATTACTGATGTTAAGAAAGTCACATCTTTTTCTGAAGACAAATCGGTGACTATCACGGCTTCATAACCGGAAACGTCTTCCTTGGCCAACTTTCGACTGAGATTGTTAAAAAAATTACTGCATGTCTTGGCGACGGATTCAGGTTTTCGCCGAGTCACACCTATTCTCCCACCTCTTTCTACAACCAATGCATACAGCGAAACTTTTTTTTAAAACCCCACCGCTACAGTTATTTTTTTTGCTATAATAGTTTAAAAAGACATAATGCAAGATAAACATGTGCCCTCAGCAACTAAGTGGTCCGGGGTGTCAACAAGGGTTGTCACATATTTTTTTCTTTTGTCAGAAATGAAAAAATTTACAACACACTAAAATCTCATTACAAGTAACAACCCATTTGGCTTCTATTTCTGCCCTATTCTAACATTTAGCATAAAAAAGCATTTAATATCAATTTCCATAATCATCAGAAATAGTTGAAAATCAATAGGCTTCTTCGTCTCATGACCTTAAATACTGTGTATAAATTTAAAGTCAACTGAATATTAATTTTAGCATCTTGAGCTTCCACAAGATATTTCAAAATGATCAAGGGCCATAATTCTGGCATTAATCATCTGAAATAGTTCAAAATCAATAGGCTTCTTCGTCTCATGACCTTAAACACTGTGTATAAATTTAAAGTCAATTGGATATTAAATTTAGCCTCGAGAGCATCCACAAGATTTTACATAATCATTGGAAATAGTTGAAAATCAATAGGCTTCTTCGTTTCATGTATAAATTTAAAGTTAATCAGGTATTAACTTTAGCCTCTAGAGAATTCACAAGATTTTTCAAAGTGATCAAGGGCCATAACTCTGGCAGTAATTATAGGAAATCGTTGAAAATCAATAGGATTCTTCGCCTGTGTCCTTTAACACTGTATATAAATTTAAAGTCAATAAGATGTTAACTTCAGCCTGTATTATTCATGACCTTATGACCTTAAATACTGTGTATAAATTTAAAGTCATTTAGATATTAACTTAAGACTCTAGAGCATCCACAAGCAATTGTGGATGCCAGACGACGGGGGCAACAACAATATGCAACCACATTTCAATGTGGGCGTATAAAAATGAATATATTGAAAATTTCAAATTACTTTATATTGAGTTATAAGCGTTTGAAGTCTGGCAAGAAATAGCAAATTGTCAAATACCATTGCCATGATAATAAAACTAAAGTATTTACTGTCGTTTCTTTTTATTATCAACATCCTAATTAATGTTAAAGATACTTTCCCAGAAAAGTATTTATCGAGTGTTTATTTACAATAAAAGTATGGCAATTTTGGTATGGAAAGTAGAAACATCCAATCTTACTAGAAAAATACTGGATTCCATGAAAAAAATCCATGGAGTGCATACAGGGCAAAAATGTAAGGGTTTCCCTAACCGGCAACCCGACAATTAGTGATGTCTGCTCGAGTAACGCCAAAGGTAGCACAAAAAGATTGCCTAATCTCCCAGCGTTAGTGAGCACTTGATGTATATGTTGATAAACTTGATGGTGCAACAGTTTCTGAGTTAAAAAAACATGGAAAAAAAATTTGTTATAAATAGTCAGCGATTAAAGACAACATCGTCTTGTGTATATGCAATGAATTCTCCTACGGCTTCGCATCCGTTGCTAGGTATCGAGAGAGGTAAGTTACGTGACACAAACATGACCTCTTTTGATCGATTTTTTATAGCAGGGTTATTCCCTGACAATTACATTGTTTTGCGAAGGATTTGAAGCAAAATTATTAATTAGTTTGAATATGTTTTTAGTCCAAATATATCATCAAATCACCCAGTTTGTACGCGTGAATGTTTCTTTAACAGATCTGGAATACATGTTACTTAAACATACATTATGCAAGAGCTAAATCTGCCTATTGCAGGTCTTTCTTTAGGCCTGAAATGTTATCTAAATTATTAATTAGACATTAATTAACTTATCCAGACCATAGTCAACTCTCGATGTCATCGCTAGCCTGCGACATTTACTAATTTAAATACATTTTGTAATGGATAATTTATCGTCAAAATGGTTAATCGAGACTTTGTTTTTTATTGTACCGACTTTAGTAATAATGATCGAGGCTAGGTCTAAAATTCAATCGCTAATATCTTGGTTCAGAGTGGAGCAATTTGACTAGAATTTTCAGCATATTCTATTTACGTTATCTTTTTTTAAACTACAGAATCAAACTGTATTAAAAATCAAAGTATTATAACTTTTAAACCAACACAGAAATATTAGTTTTTAAAACAATTTGCATGTTGATTTAAACAGCATAAAATATCAATATGAGAAACTATATTTTGGAGAGGGGTGCAGTTCTGCTTATAAGAATAGTCACCAACAATCCGGATTGATGAAATTACTGAAGACATTTGTTAGAAAATTTTATTTTAGCAAATGTCAGTGTGGTTCTTTAAAAGACAAGGATATACATTATTCATTAGATAAAAATAATGTACACTGAGAACCTTGTAATGTTTAGTAAAGAATGAAACTATAAATATATAATTGTTATATTATTATTTTGGGTGAATATTGAACTGAGGTAATATAATAGGCATATATACAATATTAAAAGGCACTAAGCTTCATACTTAAAATAAAGGACTAGATAGAATCAAAGCAAAATGCACACAAAAAAAAAAACAGCAGTTACCAGGCATGATACGCCCACATTTTGCAAGTTTGGGTCATATTTTTACGAAATTCGGACTCAACCTTCATTGATGAGTAATGGTGATATATTTAAGCGTTTTTTAAAATTGAATACAAATTGTGGCTTCTAGCTGGTCTGCAAGCTAAAAATGCGATTTTGCGAACAATCAGGGGACAAAATCCAGGAAGTAGTGTTTGGATATGCACGATTATTGAAAGGAACCAAGATCTTTGTGATATAAACATAAATATATAGTTTCGTCAAAAACGGATCAAAATTGTGGCCTCTAGAGAGTTCACAACCTTCATATACCATATATTTACACTATTTGCATACGAGAATCGGCCATTTTGTCAGGCAGTTTTTGTCCGATTTTCATGAAATTCAAACTCAACCGACAATATGGCGCAACGTCGATACATTCAAACGCTTTCATAAATCAGACAATAATTGTGGCCTCTAGAGGGACCATAAGCTAAAAACCTGATTTTTCGTACAATCAGGGGCCATAATTCATGAAGTTATGCAAATATTGAAAGGATTAAAAGGAACCAAGAAATTTGGGTTATAAACATGCATTTCAAGTCTCATAAAAATTAGATGAAAATTGTGACCTCTAGAGTGTCCACAATCTAAAAACTTGATTTTTCAAATAATCAGGGGCCATAATCCATGAAGTTATGGTCCGATATATGCCAATATTGAAAGGAACCGAGATCTTTGAGAGATAGACCTGTATTTCAAGTTTCGTCAAAATCGGATAAAAATTGCGACCTGTGGAGTGTCCACAAACAAATTGTGGACAGACAGACAGGGGCGATGGCATAATATGTCCACATGAAAATGTGGGCGTATAAAAAACAAAACAATTAAGAACACCCTGCTAATATCTAATAATATAGTAAAACAAAATTATAAATTAAAACAAAATTATTAATTAACAGTTGACTCTTGTGTCTGGTATTTAAAAATTGATTAGAATAAATCTAAAGTGTATGTACTAATAATGAAAAAGAGCTTTCTTCAAACGGTGAGAGACAAAACAAATAGAATACACTCTTCAAAAGGTGAGAGACAATAACAAACAGAATACACACTATGGATAAGTCAAGTAAACCAACTTGTAAATCATGACTTGCATAAAATGAATTATAAATAACATATTTTTTTTAAAATGTATAAATAAACCAATGAGCAGTATTAAATAATATAAAATATGAATGAGCATATAAATAAAAGACAAAAATTAAGTCGTTGCTATTATAAACAAAATTTAAAATCAGAGAATTATATATGGGAATTACTTTGGGCACTAATTTAACCAGGAGAACAATTAATGAAGGTAAATAACATAATATCTGATTTGTTTCCAATTCTAACCAGTTGGACTAAAATCGCTGATATTTATAAACTAATAATGAGATAATAGGTATTTAAAGATGCATTATGTAAGATTTATATAAAGAGCTAGGCATTCTAACTATAATAGTTCAAAATAAATAATGAAAAATGAATATATTGAAAATTTCATTCAAATTTCTTTATTCTGAGTGAAGTTATGACTGTTTAAAAATGTAGCATATATTGTTTATTATTGTAGCAACAGTACTTGACAACCAAGACTAAGTCTCAATCATCCATTTTATTGTTAAATTTGTTCTAATCCATGTAAATCACGGCCATCCGATCTGATGGTCTAGCGAGTTGATGATAAGCTTGTCATGTGATTAAATCTCTAAATAATAGTTTATACAACATTTGAACCGAAAATAAAAACCTGCAATAGGCAGATTTAGCTCTTACATAATGCATCTTTCATAACTGTAAAACACATATTCCCAATACAAGTTAAGAACAAATTATTGCTATTATGTAATGTCTTGGAAACAATAACTTATACTGTAAGATCTATGTTTGAATGCCAAATATATTTAAAAACTATCCGGAATAATATTCCAGTATTAAACTATAGTGTCTAATGGTCAATTTTGACAAATCCTCTGGTGTGACCCTTTACATAACAAAAATCAACAATAACAAATAATAAAAAAAGCTAATATATAAACAAATAATACATAAATATTTATCACTTCAAGAAGAACTCCAGTCATTGCCATTTGTTTACTGGTATATATAGTTTATTCATTATCTAATGTTAAAATAGTTTCAACACTTGTTTGCCATTCAAAATATGCCTACATTCTGTAAGAGAGGGACAGAGAACAAGCTATAAAAGCGATTACGTACAATAAGGTGCCATAATACAGGATGTTACAGTTCGACATGTGTTAATATACAAAGGAACTGAGATATTTTAAGTTTCATTAAAATCAGATAAAAATTGTGACCTCCAGATGATCCACAAGCTAAAAATGCAATTTTACATACAAACAGGGGCCATATAATGCAGCAAGTTATGGTCCGATACATACCAATATCAAAACTCGAAAGTAACCAAGATATTTGGGATATAAACCAATATTTCAAGCTTCGTCAAAATTGGATAAAAATTGTTACCTGTAGTGTGTCTACAAACAAAATGTGAATGGAGAGACGGGCAGGGGCAATGACAATATACATTTACATAAAAATTGGGGCATATAAATATGCTTCAACCAAGAATACAAATGATTTTGACTTTAAGTAGCAAATTAAAACACCAGTTGTGACAATATGAAACAGACAAAGTCTTGCAAGTTGTGATAATATCCTCAGTTTATAATTCAGCACATCCTAATTTAGTCAAAGACTTCCGTATACTCACACAGGGCAGTGTTTACAATTTACAATGTGTGCAGAGATAGCAGCTATTATATCAAGAACACATGGATTTGTTTACAAATAGTGATCAACATTAAATACTAATTTAAATTGAAATAATTTGTTTTTCTAAAAAAATATTTTAATGCAACAAAATGAATAAAATGAAAACAAATGGCAATGGTTGGAGTTCTCAATTAACTATAGTCAACAGTCTATAAACATGCATGAATATGAAACATTATTGTTTTTCTACAAGTATAAATTTTAATAATTTTAGCGCTAAATTGGTCTACAATTATAAATCTGGACTGTTTTGATAATTTTAACACAAGTATAAATCTGGACAGTTTGGATAATCGTAGTACAAAATTGGTCTACACATTCTAAATATATACAATGAATATTAGAGGTAGAAGTAAGTAACCTGAAGAAATCTGGAATTTATTCGCTAATTATAATCTTTTATTATATTGTAGTACCCTATTCAATAAGTATTGCTGTCTAATATTGAAAACTAGCTAAGATTTGTGGTTGCTTGTTGTTATCAACAAATATATCATTATTGCCATAATTCACCTGTGTACACGTTTTCTTTTATCCTGAATGTGAGGCAACCATTGAAAAGGTTAGGCAGGCACTCTATACCCTTTCACATACAAATGTGGGATAGAAACCACAACACAACACTTAAATCGATGACAGACCTTCTGACCTAAGACCACTCATGATTGAGTTGGTCAGTAGAAAAACACAGGATGTACAAATATACTTGTTGCAAGCAAAGTTAATTATTGCACCACATATATAGTTACTTCATTTCATTTAGCTCTTGTGCACTGAAAATGCATTAATATCTATAGACTTTGATCAGGAATTTAGGTTTAGACATGATCAGACATATTTTTAAAATTAATTTAGATTTTATATGTTAGCAGTTTAGTTCATGATCTGTTTCTGTGACTTAACTAGTTTTCAAAATCAGAGAGCTATACATTTTAAATATGGTTGTACCTTTGTGGTTTAACATAACATGAACATGTTTAAATCTATCACATACATAATCAGTCAGTCAGTAACTGATTGAGACATATTTTGATAATACAAATATAACAACAACATTATATACATTTTATAATATATAGCCTTCTATACATATTAATAATCCATTCCCTGAAACCCTGCAATTTTTTTTAATACAAATATAATTTACATTTTGATCAAATATACAGCTTATATATTATAAATCAATTCAAATAAATCATTTTAAAATTCAAGTGGGCAATAACTTAACAATAAATAAACAAATACAAAACAAATTAATTTGACTTCATACTGATACACAGCCCAAATACCGAAAATTTTAAAAATCTATAGTTAGCAAATTAAAGTTTCTATTAATTATCCCACTAATTACTTTAGATTTAGTCATGTGATATGATATACCTGACAAAATACATTTTGACTTAATATAAACCATAGAAGTAAATCTTAAAGATTAACGGTAAAAAATATATAATTACATGCTGCATAGCATGAACATGGTGTATATAACCATTAATTAGAAATATAAAAATCAATTTTCAATATTTTTTTTTTTTAGCAAAGTTTTTGTAACATCATCTTCTTTGGTATCCTGATCATCTGTGATCTCATTGTTAGCGATATCTGTTGAAATATTTTCAGCGTTTGTTAAACTATCATTGGATTTTGAAGGGGTCACTGCTAGCTTATCTGAGTCACCTTTTTTAGTCTGTTCCATAAATTTGTCAAAATCTTTCAAGTGTTGTAAATCGTTCGCTGAATTAAATTTTTGGTCTGTTTCTAGCGATTGTTCTGGTTCTTCTATTTTATTGTCTTCTTCAATTACTTCAGTTTTAGTCGACTCATCTTTGTATGTGGACACTTCATATTTACGTTGCTGGATAGGTTTTTCAGGACCAGATGTTCTTCTAGCTGGTACAAACATATCAACTTGTGACGATATAGGTTCTAATGTAGGTTTAAATCTGACTTTGCCTCTCAAATCTTTATGTATATAATTATCTGCTATATTCCTCTGAAAATAAGTAAGGAATATAATATGACCTTAAAATTCTCAAAAATATAGTTGTATGTAAGTGTTATTAACACTGCATGGAGGTAGAATCAAGGTAGTTCAACCCGCCACACAATATATAATTGACCACATTATTACTTGACCTCTGGTCATGTCTGCCCAAGATCGACTCAGCAGAGGTTCAGAAGTTCACTGTGAATATGATCTCATACCAAAATGATACAATAAACACACCCTTTCTACTACATATGATGTACAGCATGTGTAACAAAATGGCCACATGCAACAAAACAGTATTTTGTTGAAGTGACAGAAATATCGAACTTTGCCATCCTTGTCACTGAACATAATTTTTTATGACAATGTTAATAATTCTTTAATTGGGAAGAATGTTAAGTCTTTTCAATTTATCTGATATTGTTAAATGGCCTTCTTACCCTGCTGCTATTTGTAAAAGTTATAAAGTCTTGTACATCAGGACTTTCACATACATCCTAAAATATTTGAAGAAAAGACCATATAAAGATAAAGCTGTACATTAAAAAAAATATTTTGGTTTTCAGATACTGGTTGCATCACTTAAAAAAGATTTTTTAGATTTTCAACACTATGACATGCTGAGAAAGAAACAATTAAATATTATACTCCACGGTGACAGAGAGAAGAAGCAGCATTCTGTGCCTTGTCAATAGACTGAGACAACAATTAGTTAACATATAACCTATTAAAAACATTTTGCATGTCATGATATGGGTGTTAGCTGTCAGACTTATTTTTTTTATTAAGGTTTGTTTGAGAAGGATATTTTTGTATTGCTCAATATCCAAAAGCATTCGCATAAGGTAGATAACTCTTCTATATCCTATTACCTCCTCTTATACCACAAATCTTCTTGAATTTGACTATTAATTATGTGTAAACATAAATCTATCTGCTATTTTATTTGTTTATGGCTATGAAATGGTCCATTGTATTCCAGGACAAAAGATATATAGATATGGGACTACTTACACGAATTGTTTCTGTAACAGTTCTATATACCCTGTCTTCTTCAGCATCTTCATCATCTGATGTTTCTCCTTCCTTCTCTTTTTTTCTCTTTACTATTTTTGCTTTCTCATGTTTCTATAAATAAAGAAATGACAGCACATCAATAATCTTGGAATTAATCATGGTATCTCTTTTACCTAAATCAAAGAGATTTATCTCCTTGAAACACCATACAGAATTTGTCAAAAGATTTCATGAGCAAGGGCAATCAAAATTGCAATTCTGAATTACATTTTCTTCTTTACTGTAACAAGACAAAAGATTTCAACCCTTTAGAAAGAGTATTTAAAACATTATGTTCCGGTATTAAGTCAAGTATCATGTTTAAATTATGTGTATACTAGATATAGTTGAACAAAATAAACTGTAATTTTACCATTCTTTCTTGCATTAACTGTTGACATAATTCCCTTGATTCATTTGTGTTCTTCTTATGAGTCATATAAGACTTTCTAGCTATCTAAAACAGAAAATAAAAACAAAATATTTAAACAAGATAAAAAAATATTTTGTAATGTAACCAGAGATGCCAGGCAAGATACACCCACATTTTGCAAGAAATGGATAGAGAACAAGCTAAAACAAAAAGCCGTAATCCAGGAAGTTATGGTCTGAAATGGGATATAAAGATAAATTTTGGGTTTCATCAAAATCTGATGAAAATTGTGACCTCTAGAGTGTCCACAATCGAAAGGAACCAAGATCTTTTGGAGATAAACCTATATTTCAAGTTTTGTCGAAATTGGATCAGAATTGTGACCTGTAGAGTGTCCACAAACAAATTGTGGACGGACGGACTGGGGCGACAACAATACACGTCCACATGAAAATGTGGGCATATAATAAAAACATTACTGAATCCTACATGATGTGCTGCTGGGGTGTACAGGTGCATTTGTAGGGTTAGACATTCATGTAAAGTACTGGAACATCAGAATTATAGTTTGTTAAAGTTACAATTTCATATTTTTAAATTATATTTTAAAATGTATTAAATTAAAGCCCTAAAAAAGATGGTATCTATAAACAGCCCTACCTTGTTAAAGAATAATCCTATCAATCCTATAATTCACTATTGCCAGTTGAGAAATTGGCAAAAATATCATTTTCAACTTCAAATTCAAACGTTTGAAGATAGCTATTCCATGGTGGGGAATAGGAAAACAAGGGTGGTAAATGTGTTATTATTTCCGGTGTGAAGATTTTTAAGTGTGAGAAAGATAACCTATGATCGCATAATAGTGAGTTGACAACCTATTGAGCAAAAGACATAGAGAAATAATTATGTTTTGACTTTCTTAGAAAATATGAAATTGTAACTTTAATGTTTTTGTCTCCAAAGCAAAGATTACGCTGGGTTAACTTTGATCTCAATCACGCCTGCCAATTCATCAACTAATAATTAATTCTATATTTCAGTAAAAATCTATAATGTGTTCGAATGAACAACAGCAACTTCTAAATTCAATTCCGAGTTAATATGTATAGAAGGGTATGAGCAAAACTAGGTAATATTATTTATATGACAATTAAGGAAAATTGAAAAAATCTAGGAACTATGGTTTATTGTCATCTCCAGTTTACACATATACTAGATTAAATGATAATAAACCTACTGTTATGTCTGTGTGGAAGAAATTTTTCAATGATGGTGGAGTTGCAGGCATAGGAGCCACTTCTTTAAGCTGAAAAGAGAGAGTGCAACAAGTATTGATAGAAGTTTGGTTCACTGCCATCATGAATAATTATAAAGATTCCATGACAGTCAAAAACCAAAAAAGACTATAGAACATCACTGCAGTATTTGTTTCCCTGTTTAGGCTCAGAATGAACTAAATATGCACTAGAATGAAACAAAAAGAACTAATTGTGTTCCAAATTTATCAATAACTGCATATGAATGCCCAACAAAAAAGTCTGTATCACTTATGCCCAATCAGAGAGTCGTCGCTTGAAATGATGAAAGTACTCTTTGGACACAATTCTATATAGTATAATTTATAGAGCAATGACCAAAAATTAAACACAATCCCATTTCAATATGAATTTGTAGACCAGTAATGATAATATCCATTAAAGTAAATATTGAACTTGTAATAACTTGTGTCTTCCAGAATACTGAATTTGTGATAACTAAGTTGAACTGTAGCTATTATTCACCTTTAAAACGCCTACACCCATCAATATTATACATAGTATATTGAGAATAGCCAAAATGAGACTTATTAATCCTAAAATAGCTGCTTCTTTCCACATCTCACAATAAAAGGTTGGAATGTAAGTATTATCTACAAACTCTGGACACATACGTTGAGCAACCAATAATGTGTTTGTTGTGTTAATCATATCTGTAGCATTCATAGATGTAGCATTTGCTGTAATATTGACATTCTGAAATAATAAGAACAATTTTTTTTTCCTCATTTTTAAATAATAATACAAAACTACATGTTTTCTATAAAGCATTACCTAAAAGAAATTTGGTATACAAACTCTGATCATTGCTTTTGGCAGTGATGTTTATGGAGAAATAATGCCTCAATGAAATTAAAATGCACAAAGATATGCCTGATTAATTGATGCAAAATAGACAAAAATGATAAATATTTGCTAGTTTACAAATCTTCATAATGTAAATGAATAAAACTACAGGACATTTTGGAATATGAATATTTAATATTGCTTTCAACCAAATAAAAAAAAAATGAAGGGAGCCGAGAACTTACCACTTCTACAAATTTATTTGGTATTGTTTGAAGAGGATGTATTAAAGATAAAAAACTTAAAGCCCAGAAAACACCCTGAAAAAAATAACAACAATAAATTTAACAGGTGGAGAACAACAATGTGCGAATGCTATAATAGCTAACCATAAACGTGGCCATTATTGGATCAAAGATTATGACACTCCCTTGTGTATGGACAGTCAATGACATCACAACACATGTTATTTGTTATTTAAAGATGAAACGATTTGTAATTAGGGCTAAGCATGGTTAAGTTATTTCAACACTACATAATGAATAAAATATAAACAATCTGCAATGGCTGGATTTTCTTTTACATGATGGGTAAAGACCTAGAACATACATTTAGTTTTCCACACATTTTGTATATCTATGTTAGACATAAAATCAGCATACTTACAGCATTAACAATAGGTGGTAGAAGAGAAGCAGATATAGCTACACCAACCAATGATCCCATATTACCACCTAATACAGACAATGCTACCCCAGCACCCGATGGTAATGCTATTAACAAACCAATACCTAAACTACGTGGCACACCCCTGTCAATTATATACAAAACATATTTAAAGATACATATTTCATAAAGATATTGCTACAACTCTATTATGTTCTCGTGGTAACTGGGGTTGTGCATGATTTAAAAACAGCTGATAACACTTATAAAATTTAACTGAGACAGATGTTGTGAAGTAGGCAATTCACTTTATCAGGCATTTTTTTGGTTTATTACACTGCAACATTTCAACAAGATTTCACAAATTGTTATCAAGCATATCAACATTTGCTAAAAAAATGTTCATGATTACCAAATTTTATTTTACTAAAGTTAGGTAATGGAAGACTATGGAAACTGTTCATTACATTTTTTATGCTGTATATAATTTTTAAGAAAAATGAAAACCAACTTACCTGGAAGACATTTCTATGGTTGGAAAATCATCAGTACTACCCCAGTTAGCACCATTTAATGACATTCCACCTGGAACAAGACCAAATACAAAACCTGAAATAGAGAAACGTAAAAATGATGGATTTTGTGTACACAAAAGTTAATAATCAATACCATTATTCCAACCACATCCATCACAATATTTAAGCTGGCGACGAGTCCATTGCTATTGAGCGGTAAAGGGCACTAGACTTTGACTGGTATGTTCTGTGTTATTCCGAATCACAGTTCAAGTCCCATTCCTACTTGTATGTGGTAGCGCCACTGAGGTCCAGTTGTGTATACACTGACGTGCTCGTAATAGAATCTATTTTGAAAAAAAGGCACAAATCCTTCTGTTAGGGCAAAATCCACTTCCTGAGTATTGCACATGACCACATGTTAGTCTCAAAATAACCAAAGTATTGTGCTGAAAAAATGGTAAACTTCATCAAACATTCCGTCTTATAACTGACCCAAAATAGGATTTTATTAAAGATACATTATGGGAGATTTTAATAGAGAGTTGGTCATTCTTGCTATAACAGTTCAAAAATAGATGATGAAAGAAGAATATATTGAAAATTTCAGTCAAATTACTTTATTCTGAACAAAGTTATCCCTATTGTAATTTTTGACTAGAAATGGGAGTCAATTCTCTCTTCACCGTCTCCGAGAATAGACGATCGTTTGATTGACAAGCGTTAACTCCACCTACATAATCTCGATTATCAAGTAACGTTTTCAATGGCTGTGGTTTGAGACGGGGTTGCAATTCAATACGTATCACATTTATTTTTACTACAAATTAAAAATAAGACTTTTAATATATAGATAAGAATGGACCAAACCAATGAGGCATAATTATAGCCGACTTCTTGTTAGCCTGCGTGTACTCTTGTACTGTAACTGGTAGGCCTGCGTAACTCCCGAACAGTGATCCAATGGAGTTGCAATTCAACTGGGGTGATGTTAGCTGCGACGTTTATCAATTTCTATAATTTTTCTGTAAACGCAAGTAACAAAAGAGCGTAGCCTATAATACCGACATCCAAACTCTCATTTTAACAACAACTAACCATAATATCAAGGCCGTATACATGTATATCGAACTTTCAATCAAATTGACTGACATGCGGCCTCGCTCAACAGCGGTCTCGCTTCGTACAATCTATCATTTAGCCTCGATCTAAAATTATTTCCGGGAGTATGACGTCAACGTAACGGTTAATCTCCGCTTACGACGCCATTTAAAAATTTAATCAATCAACGAAATCCCGTTTAAATCCAAGCCGAATCCAAGCCATCCGTGGGTCTACAGAGTTGATTTTGTGCTTGTTGTGTAAATAAAGATCTAATTTATCATTTCTATGACATCCAAAGCCTAAATAAAGACTTGCAATAATCAGATTTAGCTCTTGCATAATGTATGTTTAAGTTTCAAAATGAACTAAATAATTATTTCATACCAATTATAATACACATGAGAAGACCAATCAGTTCAGTTCTTAAACCAAGCTTCCATAATGATCCATTTCTAATTACAATTCCAAATACTATAGCTAATATTGGACCCTGTAATGCAAAATAAATTCATGTAGCAACTTAAAAACAAAGATTCTTAATAGACCTACTCCATTATGACGTAAAATGGATCTTGACATACGGAAAGTCACATGATGGGGTACAGACAACTACATCCATCATGTGCAGTAAATTTGGTTGAAATACAGGGCACATCATATAATTAAATTCATTTAGTATTTTAGAATGCTTTCAAATATTTTTTAAATAATTAATCTTATTAGGTATATGATGCACATTTTTTTAAATATATCTGATTGAAACTGGTCTATGTGATCTGCAACATACATTACAAGATGAAGAAACACAATGTCAAAGGTGAATGAACAGATTTTCGTGGGAACTGTTATCTTACAAGCTATAAAACACTAATAATTATAAACATTTCTTAAGAGGCAGTAAATATTATAATGACCATGAAATCGATTTAACAACCTTTGAACTGTTAAATCTGTGTGGTTTGATGGTTGACACCATTAAGTAATATATTGCTACCGAACAAGGACACTATCCTGCACGTGCATTTTAATCAATTCGTCACACAAGTCCAATATTTCATCTAGTATAAATAAATGTTGCCCGTACTATTATTTGAATAAATGGCATGCCAACTTCAAAGGATGACATCACATCTGAATTTTACTTACCATTAATGGTGAAATAAGCATACTAGCTACTATAACTACAGAACTGTTCTCCACTAAACCAGTAGCAGCAATAAGACTAAAATATAAAAGTATAGATTTTTAAATATTAAAAGTAATAGTGAATCTTACTGATCATAATAAATGAATAAGATAGCCATGTAAATCGTTGAAAGAAAAACTAAAGATGTTGACAAAATTTGATATTTCTGCAAAGGGGGGATAACTCTGGATGTTAGTCTTGTCATGACCACAATGCTTCACACCAAGTTTGCAAAAGAATCTGTTAAAAACTATAGCCTATATTTCATTTACAAAGTTTGTCCTCCCATGACCCATATTATTCCCACCAAATGAATAATGATAGGGTCTGTTCTCTCATGACCACAATGCTTCACACAAGCCAATTGTTGATATAGAGAGAGAGAGAGAGAGAGAGAGAGAGAGAGAGTGAGTTTAACGTCCACTCGACACAAACAAGGTCATTTTGGGACTAACACATGGTTTAATTTTATTTCAATAATTTGCTTGCATGTAGGGGTTTATAGCAGTGGGAGGTAACTGGAGGATCCGGAGAAAACCCACGAGCTTCGACAATCGACAGCGTGACGATATACTACAGCCACACTGAAATGTGGGCATATAAAAATATCAATGACGCAATCAAAAACAGAAGTTTTCCTTGATAACAGAATGAAATGGGTTTAACATCTCGCTGATATTTTATCTAGGTCATTTTGAGACTAGTATGACTATTTTATACACAATGCAGGGTAGATTAATATTGCCCAGGCAGTATTGCCCAGGCAGATGCATGTTTGTCTAACGGTTGTCTTCTTCAAATCCGAAATGTCAGGATTTTAACAAACATTCTTGAACCTCAGTTTACTCATCTTAATTAACAAATTATTTCAAGCATTTTTAAATAAAATTTAATTTTTCATAATAAATGTACTTACCTGGCAAGAAGTACTAATATCATATAATCAAACGTAAAGAGAGCATTGTTTCTTACTGACTGTACAACCTCAGTTTACTCATCTTAATTAACAAATTATTTCAAGCATTTTTAAATAAAATTTAATTTTTCATAATAAATGTACTTACCTGGCAAGAAGTACTAATATCATATAATCAAACGTAAAGAGAGCATTGTTTCTTACTGACTGTACAACCTAAAAATATACAGAAAATTACATAACTTATTAACTGTATCCAAATTCATTTGAATCGATTTGAATGAAACTGTTCTCACATTAATATGACTTAAGTTAAACAATTTCAATAGAAAATAAAAAAGTTGATCTTAATCAGCTTTATCCATTATATGGCATAATGCAACATACAGAGGAGAAAAACTATAATTTATCATTTATCAACTGCAAAATGTCACTCCCATGCAACTATGCAAGATCATTCATTCTGAATGAATCAATATTACTTCACTTTACCAGCGGCGTTATACGCCCACATTTTGCAAGAGACGGCCATTTTGTCTGGCAGTTTTGGTCAGATTTTATGAAATTTGAACTCAATCAAAATTATGGTGTAACGGTAATATATTTGAATGGTTTTTTAAATCGGATAATAATTGTGACCTTTAGAGGGACCACAAGCTAAAAATGCAGTTTTCCATACAATCAGGGGCCATAATTCAGGAAGTTATGATCCGATACGCGCGAATATCGAAAGGAACCAAGATCTTTGGGTTATAAACATGTATTTCAAGTTTCATCAAAATCAGATCAAAATTGTGACCTTTAGAGGATCCACAACGTTGATATACCAGATGTTATACACTATTTGCGTATGAGGGGCGGCCATTTTGTCCAGCAGTTTTGGTCCGATTTTAACGAAATTCACAGTCAACCAAAATTACGGTCTAACAGTGATATATTTGAACGTTTTTTTAAATCGGATAATAATTGTTACCTCTAGAAGGACCTCAAGCTAAAAACATGATTTTTCGTACTATCAGGGGCCATAATTCATGAATTTGCGATCTGTTGTGCACGAATATTGAAAGGAACCAAGATCTTTGGATTATAAACTTATATCTCAAGTTTCATCAAAATCAGAAGAAAATTGTGACCTCTAGAGGGTCCACAACCTTGATATACCATATTTTTATGCTATTGTCTGTCAGTTTTGGTCTGATTTTTACAAAATTCTAATTCAACCGTCTTTTTAAATCGGATAAAAATTATGACCTCTATTGGGTCCACAAGCTAAAAACGTGATTTTTCGAACAATCAGGGACCATAATTCAGGAAGTTAGGGTCTGATATGCGCGAATATCGAAAGGAACAGAGATCATTGGGTTATAAACTTACAATTCAAGTTTCAACAAAATCGGATAAAAATTGTGACCGCCAATATCGACAGGAACCGAGATCTTAGGGAGATAAACCTATATTTCAAGTTTCGTTGAAATCGGATAAAAATTGTGACCTGTAGAGTGTCCACAAACAATTGTGGACGGACGGACGGACGGACGAACAAACAGGGGCAACGACAAAATACGTCCACATGAAAATGTGGGCGTATAAAAATTCAACAATTTTGTTTGGCAATCGCTTACACATGTGATTGATATTTCAGAATCCAAGCCTCAACAAACCTACCTGATCTACAACTAATCGTGATTTAATGGACTTTTTAAATTCCTTGTTAAATTCACTCTCTTTTTCCTTCTTATCTTTCTCTTCTTTCTCTTTGTTCTTTTCTTCTGTTCCCTTGCCAGAACTTAAAGAGACATAAAGCCAAAACACTACTACAACAGATTTTTCACTTAGTTGTGGATCTGACAAATAATTATCTATGCAGAAATTAATAAATGAAGGGGGAAACCTAAAAAGCATTACACGGTTTATTAAAATATCCATGTGCACGTAACTAAGGACCTAGTAACATCAAAGGCAGCAATGCACCTTAGTATAAAATGTATTCTTCTCAGCAACTACTGAACCAATTTAGATAATTTAAATTTTAAAATTCATTAATAAAACATTTTGAGTGATTACTTGTTAAAAACATAAAGATACATGATTGTTGATAAAAGATTAAGTTTTTATTTTACATAGCTCTATCCTCAAACTCCATGAGAAAAAAAGGTCATTTTATCATCAAAATAAATATATATACCCTTCATTTTCATCAAATGAAACTTTCTTTTCTCTCTGGCCATCATCCTCACTTTCATCCTTATCCTTATCATTCTCTTCATCATTACATAAAGATTTTAGTGTGTGCTTGTTAATGAGGATGCTAAGTGGGATGACACTTTAATACAACAAAATTTAAATAGTGTTATAAAACAAATTGTGAACATTTGAACTTCTATTCAATTTTAAAAGGTATTTACCCATAATTTCAATATGATCAACATACAAGATAACATGCTAGTAATAAAAATATCCTGTTAATCCCACTCTTAATACAAGAAAGGGCAATACAAGCTGTAGCCCCAAACTTGTGACACAATAGGATGTCAAACAGACAAGTCATTTATCATACAGTATTAGAGTTTTGAAAGAATAGTTCTAAATTATTAAATTTTTTTATCTATTTTGAAATAGGCACAAGCCAGATTGTTCATATATATTTCATAGTCAAAATTTGTACTATTTAGAAGATAAATACTTTCTATTAGAAATTCAGAGGATTATTATTGTTCATTTGATACCGCCTCTAATGAAACATTTACCATAAACACGCCACCATATATAACATGCAACCCCTCTCAGATCCTGGGAATTCACTAAAAACTGATATTCCCTATATAAAATGCAGGTAAAATTTACCGTCAAGTACAGCACATGGATTATGCACTTTATAGACCCATCGGAAAGGAAATATTCCCGATGTATTTATCCCGTGCAGTGTTGGTCGTAAAAATAATCAATCATCTAATAAATTATCAATGCATTTAAAAGGGGCAGCAGTGCTATCTATATGTGAAAAGAAATCTTACGGTTCTTCGATGTTTCAATCATTGGCATGTTGATTGTAATTATTAACTATTGAAACCATTTCACACAAAAGACATCATTAATAGGTTAACTTGTTGTCTCTTGTTAACTTGTTTATTGGTAAATATTATTAATTGTTCTATAATGACAGTAAAGATGTCTCAATAAAAAGTCGTCTTCAAAGGCATGTTAAATGCGTGAAATCAGTGCACATGTGCAATCGGTAACCCCTGTTAACAATGTCAATAGAGTTTTCTCACACATGTTCAAAATGGATATTAATCACAGTGAATCTTCAAATTTGGATTTATGACCGGATAAGTAATATTTTTATAAACAAGCCAACAGTGAGGCTGATGTCCCCCGCCGAAATAGGAAAATAATTAGAGGACACATATAAATTTATCACAAATTATCTTTTACAAAGTATTGAACAATCAAACAGTTCAACCAATCAAATTGCTTATCTCTGCTTACCCTAAGCGGAAAATGCTCATCTTCGAACTCCATCAAGGCATTGACCTAATCAACACATACACCAAGTTTGAACATTCTAGCTCAATTAGGAAGAGAGTTATCGTGCCCCAAAGTATCAACCAATCAAATTGCTTATCTCTGCTTACCCTAAGCGGAAAATGCTCATCTTCGAACTCCATCAAGGCATTGACCTAATAAACACATACACCAAGTTTGAACATTCTAGCTCAATTAAAAGTTATCGTGTCCCAAAGCATCAACCAATCAAATTGCTTATCTCTGCTTACCCTAAGCGGAAAATGCTCATCTTCGAACTCCATCAAGGCATTGACCTAATCAACACATACACCAAGTTTGAACATTCTAGCCCAATTAGGAAGAGAGTTATCGTGTCCCAAAGCATCAACCAATCAAATTGCTTATCTCTGCTTACCCTAAGCGGAAAATGCTCATCTTCGAACTCCATCAAGGCATTGACCTAATAAACACATACACCAAGTTTGAACATTCTAGCTCAATTAGGAAGAGAGTTATTGTGTCCCAAAAAGTGTGACGGACAGACAGACGGACGGACAGACAGACGGACAGACAGACGGACGAACCCATTTTAATAGTCCCCTGCTTTCTTCGAAAGGCGGGGGACAATAATGGTAACTATATTTAGTATAATGTTATAGCTTGGATCATTATATGAGCTGTACTGATGTTAAATTGTAAAAAAAGGACATCAATCTTTTGTGCATTTTATTCCCCTAAATAGCATGCACCCCAAGTTCAGGGCGGACTGACCAAGGTAAAAGATAGACACCAAATGGAAAGAAAAAAACACTTCAGTAATCACTGCAATCATTGAAAATCTATAGGTTTTTTCATATCATAAACATAAACACTGTATATAAATTTCAAGTCATATCAACTTTAGCCAAAGTGATCAAGAACCATAACTCTGAGAGAAATCATCAAAACTCATTGAATAGCAAACCGCTTCATAAACATATACAGTGTATAAATAAACAATATAAAGTGATAGCCTACATATTGCAAAAAGTCGCTTGTACAGCGTATATTTTACTGGGTATAAGTCGATGTGGAGTTTTACTCGATCTGTATCTACAGATCAGTCAAAGCTGTGTATAGTATAAATGTTTTTAAACTTGGTAGCAATCTTTCATTGAGTTACGGGAGTGTTATCACAAAACAAGTTGAGGTACGCATTACTAATAATGAATACTGATGTAATACCTGATTGAAGAACCATCTAACTGTCCAACACCAGCTGTTTGTAAACGTCTTAATATATGTTCACATCTACTTCCTGATTCCTCTATAAATGTTATCTGAAATATCAATAGTTATCTGAACAAACTTAAAAAATTATCATAATCTAGCCTTGCCACAGCTAACATTTTTGTCCTGCCACAAAATTAACTTCTATGAAGTAGCTTCATCTTTTGAAACTTCAAACCATTGCACCTTTTATATATCTTTGTCTTTCTAGAGGAGCAACAGTGACGCAGTGGGGAGGGTGCTGGCTCACAAATTGGGAGGTCTCCCGTGTCAGAAGGTTTCCCTTGTTAGCAGAAAAGGACGGAGGCCTTGAAAAAGAGCCACAACCAATGTGGGACGACATACTGAGGTCCTGTACACTCTTTGTTGTGCACGTAAAAGATCCTATGATAGTTGGAATTCAATGAAGAGTAGGCAAAGATACTGTCGGAAGGGCCTGATTCTCCCCTTTTTTTTGGCACACAGTAAGGCCATCTTTTAGTAATGTAATCAATCACCTTGTAATATCTATTATCATCACTTTTTGTCCATGCACAATCTTCTATTTCTAAATCTTCTATTGCTCTTTTCACAAACTAAAGAATATAAAGGTTGAAAGAAACTATTATAGTTAAACATGCATTATGCAAGAGCTAAATCAGCCTATTGCAGGTTTTTCTTCAGGCCTGAAATGCTATCTAAATTATTAATTAGAAATTAATTAACTTATCCAGACCATAATCAGCTCTCGATGCCATCGTTAGCCTGCGATATTTAGTGGATCTGATTACATTTTGTGATGGATAATTTAACATAAAAATGGATAATCGAGACTTTGTTTATTATCGTACCAACGTAAGAATGACAATCAAAGCTAGCCTAAAACTGAATCGATAATATCTCAGTTCAGAGTGAAGCAATTTGACTGAAATTTTCAGCATATTCTGTTTTCATTATCTATCTTTTAACTATTATAGTGAAAACTGTCAGCTCTTTATCTAATCTTAATGCCCCTTTAAGGCTTGCATACATCATGGATTACAAAGTCTGACAGATTGTCTCTGGAGTTATGTGTGGGACATTGCTAAATGCACACTGGTTTTAAGAGATGTTAATGGAAGCCACTAAATCTAGTTTTGTGTAAACCAATCTTTGTATTGGTAAACACATAAAAAACATGTAACATGTGTGATGGGGAATTTTTGTGGACGACATACCATTGCAGACGAACCATCAGTGATTGGGAATCGGTGTGGTGTCTTCCCTGAAAAGTGAGTCAAATGGTGTGGTTTTGATTCCCCACTTGTATGTGACAAGGAGTAAACCCTACTCATGGGTTTTCTCTGAGTCCATAGGTTTCCTCCCACTGCTGAAGACCCCTACACACAAGCAAATTATTGAAATAAAATTTAACCATGTTAGTCCCAAAATGAGCTAGTTTATATCGAGTGGATATTAAACCCCATTTCTCTATCTCTTTCTTCACTGAAAAAGTGGCATTGGCGAGAAATCAAACTGTCAGCAATAAATGCTCTTTATTGTGCAAAGATATTGTAATTTTTATTAGAATTGTGATGTTTTATATTAGTTCAATTGTCAAAAAGTAAATGTCATTCAAAGATAAGGTTGTCATTGAAATTGGAATAGCAGCATTAAAGGACAATATTGGTGTCAGTCATAATTACATATGTGATAGAACTGGTTAAATACATTCCAAATATAATTTTAACACAGAGATCATTGTTACGGGAGATATGTAACAAGCAGGTGAAGAAACGGGATGTGACGCCAAACATGACAAACACAAGTTATCCTTCTATATATCTGACTGAAGTAACGAGCGATAACAGACAAACGATTGAATTTCATTTCACTGATAATTCCGTTGAAGTTGAAAAGTTATTATATGGGACGGTGAGAGGGTATCTCACAATTCAAAAATAGAATTGGCTGTCACTAGATAAGGGAAAACGAGAAAAATTTCTACACCTTGATCCTCTCACCTCTAATGCTGTGTATTTGGGTACAAGTACCACTAAACTTGATTGGGTTTCTAACGAAGGTCTCCTTTCATCTTTTGTCGCAGAAGAAATGTTTTCAGCTGCAGTAGTATAGCTTTCGACTAAAGAAGTATCATCTTCAGCTGCAGAAATATCGTCTTCAGCTGCAGTAGTATTGTCTTCAGCTCCAAAAGTATCATCGTTCGTGCCATCTGTTTGCTTATCATTAGTCACCTCTTCATTATCTCCGAGATCAAAATTCACATTTTTCTCTGAATCTGAATATACCATATAAACATAAGATATGTTGCCAGGCAAGGAAACATACGCCCACAGCAGCTAAATTGTCCGAGCAGTCAACAAGAGTTGTCGCATATTTTTACTTTTGTTGTTAATGAAACATTTATAATACACTAAAATCTGATTAAGAGTAACAACTCATTAAGTAATTATCAGAAAAACATTAGAATTTGTTTGGCACATGCTAACATTTAGTATACAAAACATTTAATGTCAAGACCTTAAACTCTGTATTAATTTAAAGTCAATCAAAACGATTATATATAGACATAAACCCAGTGTATAAATATAAAATTCAATATATATCTGGACACAGATCACCAAATATTCCTACGCCGTCACCCACGAAACAAGGGCCAAAGCTATTTTTAGTCTTCCTCTCCCTTTTCCTTTTTCCCCCTTTTGCATGGCGATTTTTGTTGACTTTTTGGTGTAGAATTGAGGAAAAGGGTTTGAAAATACATTTTCTGCCAGGTTTTGGTGAATATTCATAATTTTGATGTGGAAGGATACAAGAGTTGAGAGGTTGGTTACGTTGAAATGTAGGGCCTGAAATTGCATGTTTACTTGTCTCTACTTCCAGCTTGTGTATCTCAAGTTTTTCATGAAGAACCTCATACGTGCTTTTGGGCAAGTGGTTGCCACATGTTGCTCCATCTGTGGTAGAAAGCGTTCTACCCAACGAAAATTTGGGAAAAAGTTAGAGCCGGTCTAAGATACGAGAATTAACATTGGAGTCAATGGGGAAATCTTTAGTGATCTGTGTCCTGTCTGTGTGTGATAAGGCTGTCACTGATATGCCTTAGTTTTGAAAATATGAACATTAAATTCTCAGAAAATATGAATAAAATAGTTTGGCTACAGAAAAACTAAAAAAAGTTAATTAAAAAAAAAAAAATCAAAGTTTTGAAGAAAAATTGTGATTTTACTGCAAATTTCTCAATTTTCAATTTTTATTGAATTTTTAACAGTAAGTAAAATATTCTAATGCCCAATGTTGGCTTATTCAGTCTCAGAAAGCACAGATAAAATGAACAGTATTGAAATTTCACCAAATTTTCTCTAAAAATCAGGAATATTCACAAAAAATCTTGAGATTCCCCCCATTTGGATGTAGAAATTAATATTTTCATGACTACTAAAATGAGTCAAAATGTCTAAAAATGCCCATATTTTCTTTGCTAATATAACTTAGATGGGATCTACATGTTTGTCAGGTTTAGAAATAGCTCCAGCTTTCCTACAGAAAATTGAAAATTGGTGACACTGAGTTAATAATGTACAGCAGATGGGTTTGTACAAAATGTTCAAAACAGGGGTTGGCTCAATTTTGCCACTATTTTACCCAGAATAAGCATTTTTTTCTTCTTTGAAACATTCAATTCTTGCATTTCCTTCATGTAGGAAGCAATATCCCAGCCTTTCTAGACATTTTTTACTCCATCATTCTGTTTAGAGAGGCAATAAATGCCCCACCCCACCCTTTTCTATTAATGTGTTTTGAGGGATTTAAATGCACCTGTGTTGACATGTAAATGATCTTAATTGGAATTTGTGGTTGAATTACAGCTAAGAATGTTATTTTTCACCCAAAAATATTTTTTTTGTGCATTTCAAGGATTTCTAACCCTTATTTGTTCAGAGTCAAATGTAGAACCCTGAGGCATTTCAGGCCAATGAGACCAGACCCAGATATAAAACTGGTGTAGATGTGTAAATGTCAGTTTAATGTTCAATATTTTCTTATCAAAATCCAGCATTTGTGGTGTTTGCTGCATTTATGTTGCCTATAAAACAATAAAATGTTAATTTTTCTCCTTTTCAGGCCTCTTTTTATGTTGTCAAGTCTGTCATGACTACTTTTTTGACTTCATTTTTTCAGGAAATTAATGTAAAGTTCCAGACATCTTGCTTCAGCACAAGGATTGCAATACAAATTTGTAACATGCCTCTGAGGTTTGAGATGTTGGAAACATTGAAATATTCCCAAATTTGTGAAAATTGTGTATTCTGTGACCCTTCTGTTAGAGAGGGGTGATCATAGACCAAATATGGCATTTTTTTCATTCATCAAGGCCTATTTTTAACCATAATTCATATTTATTGCACCTATTTTAGTTTATATGTGCATATGTTAGCCAGGGATGGTAAAACATAGCTGTTAGACAGATTCCTTTGGTAATGTAAGTTCTGCAACCATAGATTAGATTAATTCAATCAGTGGCATGTTCAGGGGGTAGGCATACATGTTTCAGTATAGATCTCTAATATTACAATCATTGCAACTGGTTTGCATTTTTTCTGTTTGCATATTGTCCACAGATTCTAAAAATATATTTCTTGTCCGTCCGGATATTTAAAAAAGTGGAAAATTATTGGTATTTTGAGAGATGCTACATGTAAATTTTGTACATTTTTCATCACATGGCAGTAAAAAATTATATTTTTGAAAAAAATTCCAAATTATGAGTGTTTTCTATGTAGTTTCTTTGTTACTTGTCTAATTTTTTCACAGAACTCAGATACTGCCTTTAATAAGAAAGATTTTTAAATTTTAGCACAAAAGGCCTATGGACCTGAGATGCACCAGTGTACATAAAGCAGCATGTGTACTTAAAGGGCCATCATTTTTACAGTTATTCTTTGATTTTGATTTTCTTTCACCGGCATGTTGCCAGAACACATGGGAAGGAAATAAAAAAGGCCTTTTGGTGATCCCTGAAGTTTCACCCCTATATAGGACACAGATCACCAAATATTCCTACGCCGTCACCCACGAAACAAGGGCCAAAGCTATTTTTAGTCTTCCTCTCCCTTTTCCTTTTTCCCCCTTTTGCATGGCGATTTTTGTTGACTTTTTGGTGTAGAATTGAGGAAAAGGGTTTGAAAATACATTTTCTGCCAGGTTTTGGTGAATATTCATAATTTTGATGTGGAAGGATACAAGAGTTGAGAGGTTGGTTACGTTGAAATGTAGGGCCTGAAATTGCATGTTTACTTGTCTCTACTTCCAACTTGTGTATCTCAAGTTTTTCATGAAGAACCTCATACGTGCTTTTGGGCAAGTGGTTGCCACATGTTGCTCCATCTGTGGTAGAAAGCGTTCTACCCAACGAAAATTTGGGAAAAAGTTAGAGCCGGTCTAAGATACGAGAATTAACATTGGAGTCAATGGGGAAATCTTTAGTGATCTGTGTCCATCTATGATAACTATCGTCTCTAAAGCATCCACAAGAATTTTCCAAGTGATCAAGGGCCATAACTCTGGCAGTAATTATCTGAAACCATTGTATTTCAATAGGCTTCTTTGTCTGATGACCTTAAACACTGTGTATAAATTTAACTTTAGCCTCTAGAGCGTCCACAAGATATTTCAAAGTGATCAAGGGCCATAACTCTGGAAGTTATATATAGACATAAACCCAGTGTATAAATATAAAATTCAACATATATCTATGATAACTATCGTCTCTAAAGCATCCACAAGAATTTTCAAAGTGATCAAGGGCCATAACTCTGGCAGTAATTATCTGAAACCGTTGTATTTCAATAGGCTTCTTTGTCTGATGACCTTAAACACTGTGTATAAATTTAACTTTAGCCTCTAGAGCATCCACAAGATATTTCAAAGTGATCAAGGGCCATAACTCTGGAAGTTATCAGAAATTGGTGAAAATCAATAGGTTCTTCGTCTCATTACCTTAAAACACTGTATAAATTTAAAGTCAATCGGATATTAACTTTAGCCTCTACAGCATCCACAAGTTGATTTTTTGATAAATGAAAGGGTGGTAGAAGCAACGTTTAACAGAATATGTCCTTTCCAGTTGGTCTTCAACCTTGCAGGTCAAAAATTACTGAATCCATTCTTGAAATAGACTATGCATGTAAACACAATATCACACATAATACAAATAAAACAACACAACTAACCAATATCTGCATCTTGTTTTCCAGATGTCTCTTCTTCAAAATCCCATTCAACATCTTCATATTTCTTTTCATCTTTCTCCTTAACACTTTTTGCATCAGATTTGCTTTTACTTAGGGTGATTAGGTCTTCTTGGTCAACTGCACTTCCATTTTTAACTAATATTTTTGGGCTGTCGTTTCCCTTATCATTGTCTTCAATTTTCAATTCATCTTTTGATTTTTTTTTCTCAGAATCAATAAGATCAGCTAATCTAATGGTTTGCACATTTTCTTGTGATATATCAGTTTCATCTGTGGCTATAAATGAAAATACATACATTTTGTAATAATTAAAGGACTTGCCATCAACCAAGTTTACATAGGTTAAACAGATTTCAGATATAACTTAAAAGTCAAGATCTTTGCAATGGTTGATCCGTAATGTCTACAATCTACATGCAAGTATTGGATGTGATGCAAATAGTGCCAAATACAGGCGACTATTCATTAATTAGAAGTAGACAGTGGTTACACATATATAGCTGACTTTCAGCTGTCTAGTAGCTCCTTTGCAGATTTGTAAACTGAATCTGGGCTTACAAGACTGAGATGTCATTTTACAACTCATCAAATTAAAAGAGTACTAATGTCAACTGTGAACCTTTCCCCACACCCTACTTAAATCAGTATTGAATAACTGTGATTACTCAATAATTTGTGAAAATATAATTTATAAAACATTGCAGTGGACGCTTACGGCTGGCCCCCCGGATCCATTCACTTTATTTGATATTTGTTTATTCCTTGCATCTGTATTGTCCGCAGGTTTATCTTGTAGATTTTGTTTTGTGTGTAGTGCGGTCCTCCTGCACTTATTAGATTAGAGTTTTAGCTCATTGTAATGTAGAATGTTCCTGTTGCAGGGATTTGCTTCTGATTGCTCACTACACTTTATTATTTATTTTCTTAGCATTTTCCGAGATTCTATCGTTAAAATTGTTTGACATTCGAACTCATGGCATCAACTGGCAGACTATTCCCATTGAATGAAGAGACAACCACTGTTACATCTTTCTTGTATATAACTGTTTTCCAATTTGAGTGAAGCATGTACCATTACAGACCCGTGACTGTACAGCACAGTGGACACTAAGACTAAGGATGGCTTGCCCCTGGATCCATTCACTTGATTTGATATTTGTTTATTTCTTGCAAGTCAATGTAGTCTGTTTAGTCCACATACCGTTTTAATTGTAGATCCTGTTTTGCGTAGTAGGCCTACGGCAGTGCTCCGGCTGTTACCATACGAAGGGATACTGAATTCTATAACGGGTGGGGGGGCAAATTAAAACAGCAGGAAATCTTTACCAAGAATAAACAACATTAGAATAAATTTTAAAAATCCAAAGAAACAACTATCAGTTTATGAAGTCTTTTTTTTTCTCAATAAATCAATATAAACATTACTAAAATAACTAAATTTCATTTCGAACATTTCATCATATCTAATCCTCGGCCTATCACTGTGTGTCACCGTTACTTACTCACTCAGTCACTGTAAAAGTTTTAGTCGACTTCATAAATTTTAAGCTAAGAATTCAAAAGGCGTCTACCTTTTTTAAACTTAATTGATAATCTATCTTTGTTGTCAACTGATAAATCTGCAAGTACCGCTTTAGCTTGTTCCTTTTCAGTAGGAATCACCACTTCAAACAACACATAAGACATCACTTTGTCGGGTCCAATTTGATCACAGCCCACACGGCTCACCTCTCGACCTTTAATATATATGTGTATAGGCAAATAGACCCCCCCAAAATTTAGTCCATTTGACCATCAGTTCAGTATCAAGTTTTACAGAGAGAGAGAGAGAGATGGGGTTTTACGTCCACTCGACACAAACTAGGTCATTTCGGGACTAACACATGGTTCAATTCTATTTCAATAATTCTCTTGTACGTAGGTGTCTTTAGCAGTGGGAGGAAACCGGAGAAACCCACAAGGTTGGACAGGCAACCCTACTACTGGTCACATACAACCGGGGAATCAAAACCACGCCAGTTGACTCAATGAAAGACCTTATGATAATCAGATGTACAGGACTTTGACTTTTAAGCAAGCAAACAAATGGAAAAACAAAAACCGTGACCATCAGAGCACAAAATATCAAAGTGGACTGACCCAAGCCACTAATAGGTGACCACATTCAGAAAAGTCACAGGTTTTCTTCTACTTTACAATCAAGTGTATTTTTTTTTTATTAATTTATACCACCAAATTTTTTTAAAAAACAGTACTCTGCATACTACCGGGCCCTCTAGGCTTTGGGCCCCTGAGGAAGTGACCCAGTTGTCTCCCCACCCCCCTCTCACGGGCCCTGCTAATGGCCCTCTACGAAAACAAATTATAGAAATAAAATTGAATCATGTTAGTCCTGAAATTACCTAGTTTGTGTCGAATAGAAGTCATCCCACCATCTCTCTCTCTCTCTACAAGAAGCCAATTAATAGTTAGATCCGCGTGTAGATTTCAGAATCCACAACTACTACTCTCCCAGCAAACTAAATACTAGGCCTACCCACTGAATAAAATAAGCTCTTTAATAAAATGAGCTCAAATCTGAACAAATTAAGCTTTAATACACACATCTCATAGGACATGTAATAGTTTTGTTGATAGGAAATGAATATCAATAAAATATTTGATCATTAAAGATCTATGTGAAGATTATATTGTAATTCACATGATTTTATAATAATACACCAGGACCCTTATTCACGAAAACTTAAACTAAGTTACAACCGAAATTTTAAGAAATACTGCAACTTCATTGGATATATGCAAATTGATTTTACTGGTCAGCCAATCGAATTGCAGTATTTCTTAAAATTTCGATTGTATCTTAGTTTAAGTTTTCTTGAATAAGGGCCCAGAATAAATGTACTTGCCTGTGGTTAATACTAGTTCAATTATTTATATGTATCTGTGGTAGCACAAAATCCATAAAGTAGACAGGAACTTAAAGTATTACTGAATAAGCAGGAGAATTAAAATGTTTCTGTCTTGTTTAATTTGTAGGATATCTTTACTTTATATGGTAGATATGAGTACACCCTGTAGTTATTTTTTGTTTTAAAAAAAGAAAAAAATAGTATGACTTTATTTATAGAGCTACCAGAATAATATAACATCTATTCATCTACAAATAAATTTTCAATGAACTGAAATTTGTCTGTGTAGCTGTTACCACTCTCTAATTCAGTCTGAACGATAAATGATTCCGTTTTGTTTATGTCATTTTTAGAATATTTGAATCATCATGGTTACAGATGATTAAGTGGATGGTGATCGTCTGATAGTCTGCCAAATAATGTCTCTTGGCAGCGGTTGTCTGCCGGATGATGTCACTGAATTAGAACTTTAAAAAATGTTAGTTAACAACAATAAGGGCAATAATTTGGTTAGAATTTCAGATGAGCTTTAATGGTTATAATTTATAACTAAAGAATAAAATGAAATGACTCAGACCATGGCGGTGAAACAATACTCTTCTTTGATAATTATCAATTAATCTGGATAGTGTACTGTAAAGTATTTGTAAAGTAAAGTAGTGAGTGGTCTTCACAATAATTATATACATTGTATAATGCCATTTTCATCTAAATAAATGCACGTTTTTAGGTCTGTGTTTCAATCCCCAGGTACATCTCTTCATTTTATGGTGATGATTTTTGACAAACAACAATGTTATTGGCATTGTTTCCCTACTGTAATAGTTTTCCTCCATTTGGGGATATGCTTATTTAAAATATGGTATAGAACTGTTTTTAGTTGTCATTCATGAGAAAGAATATGCCTTTTCTTTGTGGACATTAATATCTTGAGAACATTTGTCTGAAATATGCAAGTGAAAAAGGCGGAAAGTGTGTAAATTAATCTGCCTTTTGATAAAAAAAAACAACCCTACTTAGTTGTAAAATGGTGACTCTTATTCAATAACCAGGAAGTATAAATTTCTCACATTTCATAAATTTCATTTCCCCACAGAATATATTTTGTGTGTTTATTTCTAAATGAAATGAGGTTTTTAACATCCTACTATTCTGCTTGTTCATTTCTAAAAGTATTGTGTATTTGTAACCTAGTATATAGGTTACTTCCATAAAACTGGAACAACTGTATAATCTGGATATGAATTTATTTAACTAGCAACACATTATAGTCTACTAACAACTAAAAAGGAATGCACAAGATGATGTGCATTCATTTGATAAAATAGATATATCTCATAATGAAACTTGAGTGTAATTTATAATTGGTTGTTAACACTAATCTCCAATAGTTTAAGTTTAGTTTGTTAGCCAATAAAAGATCATTAAAATGTTGCCACTAGTGACTCAAACTAAACCGTTTATTAAAATAGTAAATAATGCTAGATTTATAAATACAATAGAAATGGGTGTAGAAGGAGCACATGCAGTTCAATACTAAATCATCAAAAACACCGAGACATTGAATGCATTTAATTTATATAGAAGTGGGAAATTAGTGTCTGAATCTAGCTGTTACTTTTATGGTCTACATTTAATTTAGAATATAACTTTTAATGCAGACGACAATATTCAGTATATAATAAAATGATTATAATTTATGAATGGAAATCATATAAATATAATGTACAAGCATTACTTTGAAGTGCTTTATTATACATTCTTGAAGAGACATAAACAGTCATAAAGATTTATCAACTTAAATTACCCCATGCTAAAATATAATACTACCAATAAAGTGTAATAAAATATAATACTACCGGTAACGTGTAATAGATTAATCTGTATTGAACATGGTATCAAACATTATCCAGCATATTGCTTATGAAATGTCTTGGTTTTCGTATGTACTAGAAAATGACTTTTGCCTTTTCTTCAATACTTTATAATAATAAAAACAACAGAAATTTGAAATCTATAACATTTATTTCATTATTTATTAAAAGATTCTTCAAATACTATAGTGTGAAAGACATGTTCAATATATTTCCTAATATAAATTTTCAAAAACCAGAAGCAACCATTCAATCCCAATACATGTATACATGTAATATAAGTGAAAGATAAAAATAATATTTTTTTTAAGTTTCAAAAAATCTTGTTCTATTGATTTTGTTGGCACAAATTGGGTATTACTTAAAATTTTGATTCATTTCTTTATTTCAAACTTGAATTTTCTGTTTATTAAAAATTTATGTTTTCATATGTTTTTATATCGGTTATAAATAGATTATAAAACAGATAAACAAATATAGGCATTTTATGATTCATTAGGTGTTGTCCACATTACAGTCTATAGTGGTTTTTAAGAAGTTCCAAAATCATTTTTTGATTTTTGATAATTAGAAGCGTCTAGGGTTATTTTGGAAACAACATTTACATCTATTTTCATGTTGAAAGAGATGATGCCTCTTTAATATGCCCCGTTCAATGCATCTTCTGTCAAAAAAGAATACTGAGGGTCCAAGGAAATATTTGACCTGTATTGTATCACCTTAGATGTATCTATATTACCCAGTGGGTCACAAATTTTACAGATTTGGGGGCTAAAAATTCCATAGAACAAGGTTTTTTGGAGGTGTGGCCTCCATGTGAGGAATAATACTTTCTCAAAAAAAAGATAATATCCTTTAAATAAAAATGGGAATACACCTATTTAGTATTTGTATAATTTTATCATTTGGGGGCTAAAAATTCCATAGAACAAGGTTTTTTGGAGGTGTGGCCTCCATGTGAGGAATAATACTTTCTCATTAAAAGATAATATCCTTTAAATAAAAATGTGAATACACCTATTTAGTATTTGTATAATTTTATCATTACCTGACAATAGAAACAAAACAAAATGAAGAATAATTCAGACCAACAAATATTTTATTAACATAATAATATAAGAAACACAAGACCAAAAGTATACAATCAAAATATTTTGTATACAGCTGTTAATTATGACTGATCAATATAAATAAAACCATACACTCTAAATGACATATTAAAAGTTAATCATAAATAAAACCCTGCTATTAGAATAATTAGTAATAAAAAAAAATAAAAATACAACAATTTGTATAAAGAAAGACTGCCAAACAACATAACATTTGTCCAAAAATGCTGATAACTGGTAGAAATCAAAATGTTTCTCCATAATGAATAAGACAGCAAAATTTTATGAAAATAGGAAAGTCATCCCAGTTTATTAGATTTTGTTGAATTATCAAATGACAGAACTGGGGATATTTCCTCCACCAAGATATGCCAAATATGCATTAAGTTCAAAATGATCGAACTCTTTTGACAAAATGTAGATGCCAATGGAGACACAATATACAATCAAAATTTAATGCTAGAAAATAAAAACAGTTATTTCTTTTTAATATTTTATAATACATAAATCATAATCAGGAAGCTAAATGCTTATTCAATGTACATTGAACTGTCTAGTTTACATATATTCTGATAGATATAAAATTGTGAATTATTAGTTTACTAATACTAACCATTTACCAGTACAAAAAATCACATTACACAGAGCTCATGGGACTCATAACAAGAGTTGCACATCAGATCAGACTATGAATAATGCACATAGATTGTACACATAGCTCACGGCCAATTCAGATCAACATTTACATAATGCATTACGATGGAGCCAATGAACACAAGAGTAAAGATACAAAATAGCTTAATAGTGAAAGATATGGAGTTGAAGTCATCTTGAGACTAAAATGTGGTGTATTTTATTTGTTTTTAATTGGGATTACCTAGACAAAGCCCACAAAGTTAGGTACCATAACCTGGTTTAGTCTTTTGAATGGGACAAAATTCTGAGGTCCTGTGTACACATTGGAATGCATGTAAAAGAACTCTTGACAGCTGGAATAAGAGTAAGCCATAGAACCGCTGTCCAGGCAAAATTTCCTGCAGAGCAGACTGCATCACATATGCCCGCCTTCATTATTCCAGTTGGTGCAGAAAAGTAGGACATTAAACCCCATTTCATTTCATTTCTATTTGACATGACCAGCTTTTTTAAGACTAGATGTCTCGATCAAGGCATTGCATAATATATTGATACAACACTCAGGATTACGCCCTCATGCAGTACCAATATATTACTTAATGTCACACTCTCAACCATTTAACTACTATATCTCCATAGCAAGGCATTCCATAATATATTGATACAACACTAAGGCTTACATCCTTGTGCAGTACCAATATATTACTCAATGTCTGTCTCAACAATAAAGCCACACATACTATTTGAAATATCATACAGGTTCAATTAAATTCAACACTTTATATGGACCTAAATACAAGAGGTTTTGTGCCTTTAAAATAGCCCAATTACTTACTGAACCATAGGGTTTGTCAAAAAGATAGGCTAAAAAGCTGTCAAATCAATTATCCATAGCCAATTATCACATTTTATGACTAAATATAATAGCAACCAGCAGTTGCCGGGCAAGATAAACCTACATTTTGCAAGAGATGGATAGAGAACATGCTAAAAAAAGAAAAGGAAAAAAAAAAACAATTTTTCGTACAATCAGGGGCCATAATCTCAAAAGTTACGGTCTGAAATGCATGAATAGCAAAAGGAACTGAGATATTTGGGATATAAAGATATATTTTAAGTTTCATCAAAATTGTGCCTTCTAGAGGGTCCACAACCTTGGTACACTATTTGAGTACAAGGAGCGACCATTTTGTCAGCCATTTTCGGTCCGATTTTCATGAAATTCGAACTCAACTGTCATTAAGGTGCAATGGTGATACATTTCAATGTTTTTTAAAATCGGATACAAATTGTGACCTCTTATGGGTCCACAAGCTAAAAACGTGATTTTTCGTACAATCAGGGGCCATAATCCAGGACATTACGGTTCGACAGAAACCAAGCTTTATTTATGGTGGGGCACATACATACATTTTTAGTTCAATCAAAATTGTGACCTCTAGAGTGTCTGCAAGCTAAAAACTTGATTTTTAGTACAATCAGGAGCCATAATCCATGAAGTTACGGTCCGATATATGCCAATATCGAAAGGAACGGAGATCTTTAGGATATAAACCTATATTTCAAGTTTCGTCAAAAACGGATAAAAATTGTGACCTGTGTAGTGTCCACAAACAAATTGTGGATGGACGGACAGGGGCAACGACAATATACGTCCACATAAAAATGAGGGAGTATAAAAACAATATAGGTCAACATATACAATAACTGCAATAAAAGCATATAGTTTGATACCAGCAATATCTTTAGCTAGTAATTTGGATAGAATGGATGAGAGCTGTGCAATAATAATTTCCAGTTTTTGGGTGACCTGAACATTAACAGCAAATAAAAGGAAATGAAGTGGGGTTTAATACCCTACTTGTCTGCACCAACGGAGCTAAGTTTTTTTCGACAGTGGCGTTTCCACCTACTCTTCATCAAGTTCCAACTATCAATTCTTTTAAGTGCATTCCAACAAGTACACTGGACCTTGGTTTTGTGTACCATCCGAACAACTGGATGCTCCTTTGCTGGCCAACACCGGGATCAAACCCAGGACCTCCTGGTTAGTGAGCCAAAGCCTTACTCACTGAGTAACCATGGCTCCAACTTAAAAGGCCTACAGTATCTAAATAAATGCTATTGGCATAGTTCAATATCAAAATCTTCAGTTTATTCAGATCGTTTGCATGTTGAAACCTACTTACTGCACTTCTCATTTATCTTGCCTAATTAGTAAATTAATCAATGTAATAAAACATGTGGAAATTGTATTATTTATAAGCTGGTTGAAGGGATAATTACATTAAATTCAAGCTTTTTCTAAATCTATGACAAGTAAAGAAAACTTCAAACAAAGACTACTTGCAAATGGCCTTTTTTCACTGATGATCAAAATCAGAACATTTGCAATTCTCTTTCAGAATTTTTTTTGTTTTTTTTTATTTTCCCCAACTCTGCTTTGAATAACCAATCGTAGGTTTGAACAAGTGGTTAATTACATTCCAGGCTTTTTATTATTGTACTGTTTGAACCTGATTAATTCTGTTTGTTTCATACAGAAATCATTATACTGTACCATAATTATGGTGTAACAGCTTGAAAATCTTGCAAAGTTTGCAAAAGCTAATTACTAATCTGTAAATATAAATGAAGGGAGTAGAAGCTATTTCATGATACCATTAAATATTTCATTCTTTTACCTATCTATAGGCTGTCTGTAAATGGATACATGATATAAAAGAACTTTTATTATGTTGGATGGTAAAATATTTTGAGCTTACTAATTTATAATGTGTAGTTTAAGAGCTTAAAGGCCCGGTCCCACTGCACTTACAAATGCAAAGAGGATGTAAAATGGGGAAAAAAACGTGCCCTCCGTTTGAAAACGCCATGCATCCATTGTGTACTCATTGCATACATGTTTCATACGCACTATCCATCGAGTATCCGTTCACTTTGATTTCATCCGCGCAAAAAGTTTTGAGCTGCACAAAACTTTTATAACGGATGAACTTTCTGCCGTGTACGATGTAAATGCGCGACATATACAAGCACAAAACGTTCCATGTCCGTTATCATCCGTTAAACGTCGACTGTATCCTCTCTGCATCCTCTGGGCATCCTCGCAACTTACATCCGCTCCAGCTGAAAACGGAAGGAGGAAAGATAAGGTACATGGAACATCTATACATCGTTAGTAACACAGAAATAGAAAGGATGTAAGCGTATGAATCTCGTATATAAAGTTTTCAAAACGGACAAAGGGTTTGTAACTGGGATGTATCTGGTATATTGAAGGATGTCTGGAGTTTGCCTAACCCCTTCGGAGCTGTCATCCACTTCCATCCGCTTTCATCTGCTAGGCTTCCGATGAACATCCATTTAACATCCCCGCTACATACTTCCCACGTTCTTTTTTTCCGTTCTGTTTTCGCAAATTTTCGTCAATTTTGTCCATTTCTAGAGCGGATGGAGCCACCCCGAAAGTTTGCTCGTCCACTGTGTCCTTTTTGCATACGTTTTGTGTCCATCGGCCACTAGGACCGAGCCTTAAGAGTATGAGCAAATTTGCATTTTCTAATCCATGTATCTGAATCAGTCTGTAATCTGTATGAATAAAATACAGCTTTATACAAAATAATACTAAAAGCTGCTCAATAAATGATTTTACAGGATCCAATGGTGCGTAATAAATGTTATTTTGTGTCAAATGGAAACCAGAACTATTCAAAATAGCCAAGCCATTGAGACCTGATCAAGTTTTCAACCATAAAAAAGCAATACCAATATTGAACAGGGCTACTTAAAAATACGTTCCCGCATACAAACTGGGTGATTTGATGATGTATTTGGACTAAAAACATATTCAAACTAATTAATCTATCCAAATTTTGCTTCAAATAACCCTACTATAAAAAATCTATTAAAAGAAGTCATGTTTGTATCACATGAATTAGCTGACATACTACCTAGCAACGGGCACGAAGCCGGAGGAGAATTCATTGCATACACAAGACGATGTTGTCTTTAATCGCTATCCATAAATCATAAATATCGAAGCCTAATTAAATTCTCAGATTTTCTACTGCCCACGTCCTTTTCCATGGTTTTTATCTCATAAAGTGTTGTATGTTTAACTCTTCATCAAGTTTATCAACATATACATCAAGCTCTCAATCTTCGCATGCTACCTTTGACGTGACGTGAGCAGACATTCCTAATCGTCGGGCTGGTGATTAGGGAAACCCTTACATTTTTGTCCTGTATGCATTCCATGGGTGTTTTTAAGGGAATCCAGTATTTTTCTAGATATTTCAACTTTCCATACATACCAAAATTGCCATATTTTTATTGCAAATAACCACCCGATAAATACTTTTCTGGGAAAGTATCTTTAATAATTGGTTCCAACATTATATTATACGATTAATGTTTAGACAGGATCTGTCCTCATAATTTTAGTCTATTCATCATGATAACAAAAAAGAAGACTTTTGAAACGCACCCTCAAACTGATGTCTTAGAACGCACCCTCAAACTGATGTCTTAGAGCAGTATTCTCAACCAATATGCTGCAACAGGTGTGCCACAAGATCTTCCTAAGTGTGCTGCGAAATTTTGAACGGCACACTAAGAAAATCCGAAAAACCACATGATCCCAATTGAGTATTCACTGGTGTCTACTGGTAAGTTCAGTGATTCTCAACCAGATCTTCCTAAGTGTGCCACGAAATTCTGAACGACACACTAAGAAAATCTGAAAAACCATGTGATCTAGACGGAGTATACACTGGTGTCTACTGGCAAGTTCATAGCTGTGTTTTACTTTATTTAGTTTGCGTCATTCTATGTGTCTATGACTAGTCTGTGTTCAATTAATATTTTTCATATATATTCATTCAGGTGTGCTGCTATTTTTTTCATGTGTTCCAAGATGTGTCGTAGACAAAAAAAGGTTGAGAATCACTGTCTTAGAGTCATGATGAAGCAAGCTCAAAATGTCATCTCCGAAATCTCATATTAAATACTGCATTACCTTGAATCAGAGACAACAGTTTGTGTGTGAGCTTCGGTGATGTTACATAATATAGGGCAATCATGGACTCATACAGTGGCTAAAACTAGAGTTTGTATAGAATATAGCATTGTATAGTAAGTCTATGGTAAATACAATCTGATTAAAACACAGATCCAATTTCGTTTCGTTTTTATAGTTCAAATTTTCGATTTTACTTGTCTTTACTACACTTGGATCTGGAAGTGTTGTTATTTAACTCATGTTCTGCTTGAAATGAGGGGTCAGCCAATCAAATGGTCTGTCGAATCGAGCGTTTGACCTTTTTGCGCGGAACTGTGGGTAGACATTAGCGACAATAGAAATCAAAACAAAGCAAAAGTAGATAAAAAAATACATGGCGGTCGCTAATTGGTTAATCGAATGGCTGACGTAATCGGGTCAAATGTCGCTTGCTTGGTACCTGACGTCATAGAACGTGAACTCCCACTATAACTTGTTAGATCTACATGTAGTGTAGGCCATCAAAAGTATAAAAAACGAAACGAAATATAGATCTATATAGATTGTGGTAAATATATTTTAAAACTTAATATTTACTATGCATTGTAAAATACAACAAGATCAACAAACTGATTATAGTTATTATTTACATATAAAATATGATGAAGCTCATTTATGGAAGCCCATATTACCATCTACTATTAACAGCAACATGATACCATATATACATGTAGTTATTTTTGCTACAGGTAAAATACTGATTTATAATGTCACTCACACATATGGGTAATGGGCAGTGGATTTAATGAGTATTTAACATAACTGTCAAACGAACTACACGTATCTTAAATACCATTTTACACATTTAGCAAGAGGCAATAGATTTGTAACATTGATGGAAGAAGCAATAATTATGGTTTTACAATTACCATGGTAACAATGCTAGGCTGTAAAATCCTACAACAGTATACATAAAACTGGAGATTGGTCCTAAGTTCAGATCTATTTAAAATCTATTTTAAAAATATAACAATTTTTAAATTATAAATGTTCAAATAATGGTCACAGTTAAATGGAAAGGCTTCACTTATCAATATAACAATTTAATATTATCAATAATTAACAAAATATATGTATCTACATAAAAATATTTACTATCATATAAAAAAAATGACAAAAAAAAAACAAATACTTTAATGATTTGTATAAACTTATAGAAATAAAAACAATTCTAAGGCTTTTTTTGTTATGCTCTATAAATTTGTAGATCATTTCTTAATTGGGGCCAATAATAACAATTTTCATGGTGCAGCAAGAATAATTGGTCAATTGTCTGGTTGGTGTAAATTACTAAAATACCCTCCAAAGTCGTGTGTCCTCCTGGTTTGATACTTTGGAGTCAAAGCTATGGACCAATGAAGGCTAGGATCACTAGGTCTTTATGACGACAACCTGAAGGTAGAGGGTTACACAGCATCTTATTTAATACAAATTGCCAAAACCCTCTTATTGAACACAACCTGGATAATCACTGAAATAATAATACTGGTAATATATTAAAATATATAAAACTATTATCACTTATTTCTTTAATCCTTCGGACTATCTTTAATTTTTCTAGTGGCTACGGAACGGAATATTACAACAGTAACTGTGTTCAAAACAATAGTGATCAACACTGCCCCAAATGTACTCATAAATGTTGGAACTGGTATACCACGAATTAATGATGAATACATTTTTATATCTTCATAGACTGCATCTAGCTGTTTGTAGGACGTCATTAATATACAAATATGAAACAACTGATGACTGTGTCCTAGAAAGTCACATTTCCCAGGACAAAACCTCTGTGGTATGTCTGATCCAAAAAAGAAGCCTCCAAGGAAGAACCAAAACATTTGATGAATATGGTGGCCCAGACCAGAATCCCACTGATGATTGAATAAATACAGCGATACTCTGTAAGCTATTGGGTAGATCAACCATATATAAATACCTAACGTGGAAGATAACTGCCAAACTCGCCTGCTGTAAGGATAGGGTCGAGAATAGCGTGTTTTAGAGATGGAACAACATATGGTCACAAGTAACCCAAGGCAGACTCCAATCAGACCAGAATATCTATGTGCCCAGGAATTAACCATATTGTCATGTAAACAATACGCATAGTGAAGTAGAGTACTGCCGACACCATACAGTCCTATACCAGCATAATCTATCATAAAACATGTATAGTGTATTAATTCAGATTTGTTAGAAAAACAATGAGCAAAACTACTACATATGTAAAGAATAATCATGGTAATTAAACCAGCACACAGGGGCCACATGTAGGGATCACCAATTAAATCAAATTCCTGATGAAAGCTATAAGTCCTGTATAAGATTGCCCATAGCGCCACAAGATGGGTCCACGTATTCATACACTCATTATGTACTTGAAACAAACTAAAGAAGTAATAACTCCACGGCTGGTGAAGATGGCGAAATCCAGTCTCAACATGTGGTTCATGAAATAGTTTGGGAACACCATGTTTGGAGGTGGTTGGTTTCAAGGAACCTAACATTCTTCTAATTGGCATCATCATCACTTTCATGTTTAACTGTTCTGAAAGTATACAGAGAAAAATATCTATTAAAAAAGGCACAGCATTCCAGATTAAAAGCAAATATAGATTTTAAAACCATACAGAAATATAAAGTAGTCTGAACAAAAAGCAAATTGTTCCAAAATCAATCGATTCTAATGTAAATTGTGGCCATGTAAATCTCCCATTAGTTTCCACTGATTTCATATCATCATTTCTTTTTTATCTTAGCTTGTTAGACAACGCCAGAAAAATAAAAGATTATTATCCCTAACATTGGAGCTATAACCTCATCTAACCACCTACTTCTCTGTAATCATCTAAATCACTATCTGAAAAACACTTTTCTGCCCAAGTTTTTATAAAATTTCAAAATAACACATTTTTCTTTAAGGTTAATAGAATCAGAAAATCAATCTCATCATTCCTAGAATTCCTTTCAATTATAATAACAAATTAATTCTTAATTGTTTCCAAATTTCTAGAACTCCACAAGTTTGCATCTTCACACTAAGGCTAATCATTCAATTATGTTACAATATTTATTTATGATACTGGTAATAATCTTACATTCTAAACCTCAGTCCCAAAACTTCTAATTGGTATCAAAAATTTATATAGACATTGTTAAATTAAATATACAGAGTCAACATTTATTACTTAAAGAGGCATTGCAGCCTGCAGATCTTCTTCGCGCTTACAAACAACCATTCTGATTAAAGGGAGGAGTTACATCTGGTAAACGTACATGTACAAATTAGACTATATATATTTAAAATCTGAGACAAATCTATTAATCATTGCTGAAATAAGAGATTTTAAGAGTCATTAACAACACAGGTTTACAAAGGATTTTCCAAAAAGGGAGGAGTGTGGGTGTGAATGAAAAGTGCAGCTATGCAAAAATAATATTTCAGAGAAAACAAACAAGACAAAGTCAACTTATAGTCAGGTTGAGGTCAGTGGTGAAGTTGCGATTTCTCCATAAATACAAATATGTTTTCTCTACGTTTTTACATTATGAAGGACAAGCTGATTGTATCTTCTGAAATTTTATAACATATTGGCTACTCAATAGTACAAAAATTGTATATTTCTTGTGTGCTTACAGTTGGGGCAAAGCTATTATATATAAGCAAATTAAACTTCTTCAAAGCCTGATTACAAGTTGATATGGATGCATTTCATGGTTATATGGCTATGCATAATAGACGACCAAGCAGAGCAAGTTGAAAACTTTTTTTCTTCCTTAAAGATACATTCCCACGAAAGTATTTTTAGGGTAGGTATTTCTAATAAAAGTATGGCAAATTTGGTGTATAATGAAGAGAGGCCCAATCTCGATTCCCTAAAAAAACACCCATGGAGCAAGCACTGGGCAAAATCGTCACTAACTGTCAGCACTATGGCTTATTGTCTGCCAGCTTGACTTAGGGAGCGGGTGTAATTTCTTGATCGATTGGTTAAGTGGTTTTGGGAACATTGAGGGGTTTAGACATACAACAGACAGACATACAAACTTACATTCTGAAAATAGACCCTCCCTCAATCAAGTTACTGTACTTGACAAACATGACTTCTAAAAATAGATTTTTTATATCCTGGGGAATAAACTCTGGAAGTAATTTACAGAAATTGTTGAAATTTGACAGGCTTTTTCGTTTTACTAATTTAAATAATGCATATAAATTTCATACAGATCAGATGATAACTCTTGAAATTCGAACATTCACAAGGTTTATAAAGTAAAGCAAGGACAATAACTCTAGAAGTAATTGACGGAAATTGCTACAATTCAATAGACCTCTGTTTCACAAATTTAAATGATGCATATAAAATTCATACTATCGGATGATAACTTTCATCAATCGAGCATTAACATTATAACAAGGTTCAAAAAAGTAAAACAAGGGCCATAACTCTAGAAGTAATTATTGTAAATTGATGAAATTCTATAGGCTTTGTCATACTTTTATTAATCTAAATAATGCATATAAATTTCATACAGATCGGATGATAACTTTTGGCGCAAGAGCTTTCACAAGATTCAACAAAGTGATACAAGGGCCATAACTCTAACAGTAATTAACAGAAATTGCTGCAATTCAATAGGATTCTTCTTTTTACTAATTTAAATGAAACATGTTAATTTCATACAGATTGGCAGATAACCTTTGATGTTTGAGAGTTCACATAGGTACAACAAAGTGAAACAAGGGCCATAACAATATATATAGCCATTTTAAAACAATAGGATGACAACTTTTGGCATTAGAGCAATTACAATAAATTGTGGACGACAGACGAACCAACAGACGAATGGAGGGGGGCGACAGCAATATATATATACATCCACATTTCCATGTGGGCGTATAAAAATGAAGACACGCTTAAAACTATGTTTCCGCCTACACTTCATCAAATTCCTACTGTCAAGGGTTCTTTTACGTGCATGTCAATGTTTACACAGGCCCCAAGTTTTCAACTCATCCTAGCCAACCAGACAGGAAAATCCTGAAAAACTCTATCATCCCGGGTTCATGGACCTGTTATAAGTTCAACCATAGATGATGGTTTGTATGTACAATCTAGTTGGTTGTGTAAGATTGAACATATAATAATTGAAAAAACTTACTTTTTCTTGATATAATTCTCTGAACTGGTAACAACACTTATAACAATAATACAAAAATGACCCACAGGCTAGGTAACTTAATAAGGAACAGCATCCAATAAATGACTTATCAGAGACACGCTCTTCAGTATCTCTTCTTGCCTGCCTGTGGTCTTATAAGTTCAACCATAGATGATGGTTTGTATGTACAATCTAGTTGGTGGTGTAAGATTGAACATATAATAATTGAAAAAACTTACTTTTTCTTGATATAATTCTCTGAACTGGTAACAACACTTATAACAATAATACAAAAATGACCCACAGGCTAGGTAACTTAATAAGGAACAGCATCTAATAAATGACTTATCAGAGACATGCTCTTCAGTATCTCTTCTTGCCTGCCTGTGGTCAACTTTTAAAAGCTTTCTTTAATATACAATTTTGAGGTCTTGTATACCTTTAGCATTGTTTCCTATTAACAACAACTTTATAATCCTTAATACATTAATGTCTAATGGATTAACTGTACAATAGAATGTAATTTATGAAACAATGTCTCTCTAAATCTAATATAATTACAGAGCTGACATAGATTAGGCCTCTGGTTTTTCTCTAAATGGCTGGCCATGGGAACTTAATCGAGCAATCAAAACTTATTATCTAATCTTAGTCTAAGAAGAAAATGTTCACCATCGAACTCAGTCAAGGTTTTGAAATACCTGGTAATGAAACTATACACTAAGTTGTATCACTCTCCATCAGTTAGAATCAAATTTATCTTGTCCCAAAGCATTGACCAATGAAATTAATCATTGAACTCAGTCACGACACTCACCTAATGAACATCTACATGTACATCAAGTTAAAACATTCTACCTCAATTAAAAGCAGAGTTGTTATGTTCCAAAATCTTGACCAATCAAATTGCTTATCGCTACTTAGCCTAAGCAGAAAACCCTCATCATCGAACTTGGTCAAGGTAATGATATAATGAATCTATACTCACTGAATTAGAACCAAAGTTTTCGTGTTCCAAAGTCTCAACCAATCAAATTAGTTTCAACACCAACACTCAATTAGAATCAAAGTTGTCGAGCTCCAAAGTCTCGATCAAATTGCTTATCGCTCTCCTTAACCTGATCCCAAAATGCTCATTATCGAACTTGTGATGAAATTATACACCAAGTTTCGTCCCTCTCACTTAATTAGAACCAAAATTATCGTGCCCCAAAGCATCAACAATCAAATTGCTTATCTCTGCTTACCCTTAGCAGGAAATGCTGAACTTCATCAAGACATTCACCTAATAAACACCTTTATAGCCAAGTCTGAACATTCTACCTCAATGAGAAGGAGACTTATTTTGTTTCAAAGTCTCAACCAATCAAATTGCTTATCACTCTGCTTACCCTGAGCAGAAAATACTTAGTCAAAGTATTGATGTAATTAAACTATACACCAAGTTTCATCACTCTCACTTAAAAAGTTATCATGTCCCAAAGCATCAACCAATCAAATTGCTTATCTCTGCTTAACATAAGCAGAAAATGCTCATCTTCGAACTTCATCAAGGCATTCACCTAATAAACACCTACACGAAGTTTGGACATTCTAACTCAATTAAAAGGAGCATTATTGTGTCCCAAGAAGTGTGACGGACAGACAACCAGACAAATGGACAGATCCATCTTAATAGTTGCCAGCTTTCTTTGAAAGGCGGGGGACAAAAAGCGATTTTTTGTACAATCAAGGACCATAATACAGGATGTTACAGTCCGAGTTGTGTCAAAATCAATATAAACCGAGATCTTTGGGATATAAAAATACATTTTCACCATCATCAGAAACGGGTAAAAATTATGACCTTTACAGTGTCCCCAAGCTGAAAACATAATTTTTTGTACAATCAGGGGCCATAATCCATGAAGAGAATAATCCATAACCCATAATTCAGTTGAAAATTGAATGCTGTAATCCTATTTGCTGTCACATCCAGACTGGAGAAAAATTCTACATATTATCCTAATCTCAATTTATAACAAACAAATAGATTATTTCCTAAACTGTTGTGTCACTGTCAGCTATTTCTCAATGTGAACACAAAAACATAAACAATTCTTTCTTTAAATCAGCTTCCTGGAAATGGATTTAAAAATCCCTAATTATCAGCATCAGCATCATATTCATGTAATTTGTAAAGTACTGACGTGCCAATATTCTACTAAAATATTCTTTATATATTTAGTAGAATTCCTTTAAATCATTAATCAACTTCAGACAAATTTAGTGATTTTCAGATACAGTAACATTTAATTGACAGTGTAATGAACAAAGAGGCACTAAACTTTTCAAAATGATAGACTGATAATGTGATACCTACAAAGCCAACAAGTTCAAAAACCCCATAACAAAAATTAAGATAGGTTGCCAATCAACAATACATACGACCACAGCAGTTAAATCGTGTGAGGTCAACCAAGGTTGTTGCATATTTATTCTTTTGTAGGTAATAGGGAGCATTTACAAGACAATTTCATACAGATCAGATTATAATTTTCTTCGTTTAAGGGGTCACAAGGTTTTACAAAATGAAACAAGGGCCTTCTGGAAGTAATTAACGGAAATTGCTGAAATTCAAAAGGCTTCTACATTTCACTAATTTAAATGATGCATATACATTTCATAAAGATCGGATGATAAATTTTGTTGTTCAAGCGTTCACAGGGTTCAACAAAGGGAAACAAGGGCCATAACTCTAGAAATAATCAACAGAAATTGCCAAAATTTAAATTATGCATATAAATTTCATATATACTCTTCAAAAAAAGTAGGGGATATTGAAATGCAAATACCTATGCAGGTTGTGATATGATAAATAGTCATGGACGTGGGAGGGGTTCATTGTCGAATTTGACACTTCAAGGAAGGGTTGATAATAACTGCCGCTTGCTGGTTTATCCTATCCATGTTTGCTTATCTATCGGTTCTTGCATAAGATTTACTGTTTAGCGTCCGTTGTCAACGGACAACACCACAAGAATTGGCTGTGGCACTGCAAGAGGAGAAGGTCAGATTGCCCCAAATCGTGATTGGCCGGTTGATTAGGAGCATGCCACGACGAATTGCTGAATGTCTGGGGATTGGTGGAGCAATTACTCTTGAAATCGGGCCGTCAGATAAGCCGCCCACATGAACTGTTTATGTTCATGTGTAGGCAATTGGCCTGTTATTAACATACACTGGTTAGTTACCTCTAATAAATACAGCGGTGCATTTCCGCAGTTTTGTATTGTTTCTGAAAATCCCCTACTTTTTTTGAAGAGTATATATCGGATGATAACTTTTGGCGTTTGAGCATTCGCAAGGTTCAACAAAGTAAAACAAGGGTCACAACTCTAGAAGTAATTAACGGAAATTGCTGAAAATTCAATTGGCTTCATTGTTTCACTAATTCAAATGATGCATACATGTATATAATTTCATACAGATCGGATGATAACTTTTGGCATACGAGCATTCACAAGGTCCAACTCTAGAAGTAATTAACAGAAATTGCTGAAATTCAATTGGCTTCATCGTTTCACCAATTCAAATGATGCACATAAATTTCATACAGATCAGATGATAATTTTTGCCATTAGAGCGTTCACATGGTTAAACAAAGTGAAACAAGGGCCATAACTCTGAAAGTACTTAATGGAAATTGCTGAAATTCAATAGGCCTCTTCGTTTCACTAATTTAAATGATGCATATAAATTTCATACAGATCGGAGGATAACTTTTGTTCATTGGGTTCAGTAAAATTAAAAAAGGCCATAATTCCAGCATATATTAAAAGAAATTAAATAGACTTCTTCATCTCACTAATGTAAACAACATACATCAATATCGAAACAATTAGATTATAAATGTAGTCTGTAGACTGTTCACAAGAAATTGTGGACGACGGACAGACCAACGGTGGGGGGGGGGGGGGCGACAGTAACATACGACCAGATTTCAATGTGGGTGTATAACAAAATGAGACCATGATAGACCATGATAGACCTATAATAAACTAAACTGTATGGTCCAGGATGAGACATTATGAAAATAACATACGGAAATTGAATTCGGAAAAAAAATAATACATTTATACTTTGCCTGATAAAGGCGAGAGATATAAATGTCTAAGTAATTCATATTCCATTAACTGTGTCATACCTACCTGAATTTCAATAGCCACAAAACAACTTGCCTTTCTGCGGATGATAGAGCATCTAATACAATTATTAGAGAGCGTTTTGGCTTGAATCCAGCTTCAGTAAAAGAAAGAAACATAATTCATCAAGTCAATAAATTGTGATCATGTGAATCAATAAAAAGCTTTGTATGCTGATGCTGTACACATGTATTTACCATAATAAATCTACTCTGTAAATCTTCTTGTCCTATTAACCCCTCCCTTGCAGAGAGCCTACAAGTGATAATTTCTTAGCTTTTCGAAGTTGTTTCTTAAAATGTAGGATTATTGATTGCAATCTGATCCTCAGAAAAGTAAAAACAAGAAGCAAGTGAAAGATCTGTGTGAATAGTTCATAGTATGAACATTATACTAAAATCTGAAAACCTGGTATGCAATCGTCATGACACCATTATTGACAAATACATTTATGCATTAAGAATGATAAAATACCGGCAAATAGTTGTGTAAACTCAAAAAACTTGTGTGCGATATGTAGGATTTACAAGCCTGAAGAGTTCACATAGAACGAAACTAGTAGCCTCATGAGAGAAATCTAGAATGGTTACCTGCCACCTACAGATTTCCAATATGATTAATGGGACGATGGTTGAAACCTGGATTAAAAATTTCAGAATACCAAACTTCTGACAGAAGACAATATAGAAGCCAAATGCCACCAGCCAATGGCTAAATGACAACAAACTCCTACAATGAAAAGGGGTGTCAGGTGTGTTCTATAAGTACCGTACATTACTAATACTCTACTTACTACGTACATTTAAAATTAAAATCAGTCCTTACCTAGGCTACATGAATGTTAATAACTTTATGTTTGGTTGCAGACTAATTGAAATACTGGATCTTAAAAATGTTATAACGGCCAGAGTGTACAAAAACACATAATATCATAAAATACCCACAGTTTTTTTTTTCATAGCAAAATTAATAAACTGTCAAACGACTGTGTATCCTAACATTTAATTACTGGTAAATGAGTTGAATGACCTGAACTTATTGGCTAAATAGACCACTTCCAATTGCTTGATAAAGTTGAGAGTTTCCTGGTCGAAATGTTGCATAGTAATAACTTAGTAATTATGTATTTATAAAATTGTATCTTGTGTTAATATGTTCAATAACTTAATTCCCTGAAAAGAAGTTAAACTAAAGATATTTCTGGGTTTTTTTATGTATAGCACATATGACATTTTTTTTACATCAACTATGGTACTGGTATCTTAATAGACCTTGTTAATGTGGCGGTTTTGATCAATTCATTATACACATATTGTCATCCTGAAACAGGACATTGTATGACTTGAATGATGTTTTACTCAAACGATCATAATTAGCAAGTTTAAACAGAAGCCATTATCTGATTTCAAGCAAATTCCATATGGTTACATTACACTGTTACAGGTCATAGTTTTCCTGCTATTCTGGGCGAATCATTTACCATTATCACTAGATACATGCATTTGTTTTTTCTAGATGTTATTCCATAACAGCTTTAACATAAAATAGAAATGAAATGAGGTTTAACATACGGTACTACTTTTGTGCACCAACTGGGCTAATGAAGACGGGCATGGCATAAGCCATACAGTATGCAATGAGGGAAAATTTCCCTGGAGAGCGGCACTATCGCCTACTCTTATTTTGAATTCCAACTGTCAAGGGTTCTGTTATGTGCATGTCGAAGAGTACACGGGACCTTGGTTTTTTATATCCTATCCAAACAACTAGACACTTTCCTTGTCTGGCCCTCCATTTTGCACCACTGACAAGCGGAAACCACACCGGCAAATCATAAAGAACGTACTCAGCCAACACAGCAAACCCGAGACCTCCTGGTTAGCCAGCAAGAATCTTACACACTTAGCCCTAGACATCCCGCAGACCATGTGGTGCAGACCATGTGAAAATACTGTTTACCAGACTGCCATAAAGCAGCCTAGTTTTGTGAATAACCTTCTGTATTGCAGGACCATATTATTATTATATTATTATTAGTTCTGTGTGGCACATGTGAAGCACATGAATGGATTTGGGGCGGTCTAAGAATCATTAGTTACAGCCAGTTTCGGACAGTCCAAGTGCTAAGGGTTATATTGCTTTGTATGCTTGACTCTTTAGCAATGGGCAGAAACTAGACAACTAGGGATATCTCATAATAGATGATAGATGATCACTTTAAGAGGACCAATTCTTCAACCATAATGCAGGAAGTAACAAAGATCCTGGCAAGAATGCTTTGATTTTTAGTCCACAAATCTGCTTGTGGGCCTGTGTACTAATTTTGAAATCCATCAAGCAGTGTGTTGGGTCAACAAAAATTGAAAAAAAAATTGCACCTTCAAAATTTTTTTTTAAGGATTACCAATGCCCTAAAAAAAAAATCAGCATAATATACATTGTAAGCTAAAATATATTTTTCAAGGCCAGTCAATCAGTTGGCGAATTGTCAGTACCAGTAGGTTGGCTAAGTGCAACCAACTTCAACAAATGTAGCTCTGCATTGTGAATGAAATCAGTTTATTTATTTGGATAGATCTTATGAAAACAGCACATTGAAGATATATTTTTTGATGATTAACTAGAGTAACCAAGGAAGGAGTTATTGTATAAATAAGTTTATAGAGCTACTATAACTTTCAAATGTTTTCAAGATTTTTTTTTAACATGGGGCACAAAATTTCAATAAGCTTATTCTTCTAAATTCTGGCAAAATACTAACCAAATATTTGGCTTTATTGTTTGTTTTTTTTATGTTGCACGCATTTAAAAATAAAATGAAATGAAATGGGGTTTAACGTCCTACTGTTCTGCTCTTAAACTGGGCTAATGAAGACGGGCATATGCCATACAGTGTGCTATGAGGGAAATTTTGCCCGGGCAGCGACACTATGACCTACTCTTATATCGAATTCCAACTGCCAAGGGATCTTTTACGTGCACGCCAATGTGTACACGGGACCTCGGTTTTTCGTCCCATCCGAACGACTAGACAGCTGTCCTTGTCAGGTCGTTCGGATGGGACGAAAAAAGATACATGACAATGATAGACCAAGTGCTTATAAAACAGGATAGCTTCTCTAACACACAATGAAGGTCCAGGATGACAGCACTAGTTCCAAGAGCAGTACCGGATCAACAATGGGAGCTGCCACAAACATCAGTTGAGTTAACAGCAGTGAATGTAGGCTAGGGATTACACTTCCCATGATAATTTTTTCCATTCATCAGTAAGGGGACGGCTTGTGAATGGGGCCCCCACAGTTTCAAGGCAGCAGTGACCCAATCTGGCCCTGTCTGGATGTAAGAGTAATTTATTAATAATAGAAATTTAAATACAAATATTTTGTATCATTTATAAGCATTTCCCATATTGGGGAGGGGGGGGGGGTGCTTTCACACCATTTTCGTCGTGGGAGTATCAGTAAGGGAGTGAATTTAATGTTAACCATGGCATCCAACATCAGTGAAATAGCTTCTCTATATTTATAAGCATCATTTATAAGCATTTCCCATATTTGGGAGGGGGGGGGGAGGGTGCTCTCACAACGTTTTCGTAGTGGCAGCATCAGTGAGGAGGTGATTTTAATGTCAACCATGGCATCCAACATCAGTGAAATAGCTTCTCTATATTCGCTCAAAAATGCCAGAAATATATAAATTGTAAATATGTTCCCCGCTCCCCCAAAACCAGGCTCTTCGTCATTTTTATAAAATAGAGCTGGCAGCATTATTGAATAGTCCACAGCCTAAGCTTTCCAAAAATGCAATTCTTTTTAAATTTGTCATATCATCTGGATTTGAGTTCAGCTCATTCACAGCAACAAGAAGGCATACAGTTTATGATTTTGTGCCTGTAGTGGCTGTAGTACAAAATGAAGTTGTGCGACAAGCACCTGGTTTGGTGGGAGCGGGTCACATAAAAAAAAAAACCATCCATTGCGGACAGCATACAATATAAACATGTACATAAAATTATAACAATATGACAAATAATATATTTAAAGATAGGTTGCCAGGCAACAAAACATACGCCCACAGCAGCTAAATCGTCCGAGCGGTCGTCAAGGGTTGTCGCATATTTATTCCTTTGTAGGTAATTGGGGGTCTTTACAAGACAGTTCCATACAGATCAGATTAAAAATTTTGTCGTTTGAGGGTTTACAAGGTTCTACAAACTGAAACAAGGGTCTCAACTCTGGAAGTAATCTACAGAAATTTGACAGGCTTTTTCGTTTTACTAATTTAAATAATGCATATAAATTTCATACAGATCACATGATCACTTTTGTCATTCAAACGTTCACAATCGCCATAACTCTAGAAATTATTGACAGAAATTGCTGAAATTCAATAGACCTGTTTCACAAATTTAAATGATGTATATATATATAAATTTCATACATATCGGTTGATAACTATCATCAATCGAGCATTAACAAGGTTTAACAAAGTGAAACAAGGGCAATAACTCTAGAAGTAATTATTGTAAATTGCTGAAATTCAATAGGCTTTTTCGTTTCACTAATTTAAATCATGCATATAAATTTCACAAAGATCGGGTGGGTGATAACTTTTGGCGTTAAAGCGTTCACAAGGTTCAATAAAGTGAAACAAGGGCCATAACTCTAGACGTAATAAACGGAAATTATTGAAATTAAATAGGCTTCTTCATCTCACGGGGGCGACGGCAATATACGTCCACATTTCAATGTGGGCGTATAAAAACAAGACAAATGATAATTTTAATCTAGGTTACACATTTACTAAAAAGACAAACAGTATGATAATCATCTCAGAATACACATTTACCTCGAACTGGTCTGATAATGACACAACATTCAACACAGGTATGTTGAATGGGTATAAATATACTCTTCAAAAAAAGTAGGGGATATTGAAATGCAAATACCTATGCAGGTTGTGATATGATAAATAGTCATGGACACTTGACACATAGGCGTACGGGCTGGGGGGCGGCCGCCCCCCCCCCCATTTTGGGCACCAAATGCTGGGAAAATTTGGGCACACAATTGTACTTTGTAAAAGTTGTATAAAAAAATATTGTTTTCTTGAATGCGTCCAATTTAACAGCGAATTTAAATTCAGAGTGTCTATAGTTAGGCAATTAAATAGAAATCTTAAGACTCAAACCCTCTATTGTTTGGAGTACAGTAAGCCACGAATTACAGTTACATAAACAACTGTTTTTAGTTGTGTATATTACAAGTAAGTAAAATTTAGTTCTCTTTTATTGATGATTTAGAAATTAAAAACTTATTCATCGCAAAAGAGATATTATGATTATTATGTAACATACTAAGAACCTAACTACATTTTTGGGGCACCAACCACCACAGTAAGCCACGAATTACAGTTACATAAACAACTGTTTTTAGTTGTGTATATTACAAGTAAATAAAATTTAGTTCTCTTTTATTGATGATTTAGAAATTAAGAACTTATTCATCGCAAAAGAGATATTATGATTATTATGTAACATACTAAGAACCTAACTACATTTTTGGGGCACCAACCACCACCGCCCCCCCAGTAAAAAATCTCCCTGTACGCCTATGACTTGACATGCTTTGAGAGTATGTTCACAGATGAAGAACTTATCGCCCCAACAGAACCATTGAGCTGCACATGCAACGCGCAATAGCGCCATACACGTAGGAGGGGTTCATTTTCAAATTTGACACTTGATGAAAACTGACGCGTGCTGGTTTATCCTATCCATGTTTGCTTTCCTATCGGTTCTTGCATAAGATTTACTGTTTAGCGTATCATTGCTTTAGTGTGTTATGTTTAATTTGCAATGAGACGTCTTCAACATGATGAACGTCTACGTGCTATTGGCATGCTTCAAATGGGTTTTACACAGCGAGCAGTAGCCAACACACAATGTTGATAATAGACCTCGTTCGGGTTGTCCTAGAGCCACAACACAAGCCCAGGATCGATACATTCGTACATACATTTTGTAGCTCCTGCGAAATTGAGGACAAACAGCCAATTGAAATCAGCTTTCTGTAAACTTGTACCAAGTTACAGGAATTCGGGTTACACCCCAAATGATTAGAAATCGGCTACATGCAGCCTATTTGTATGCGCATTGACCACATGTTGGCCTCCATTAACTCGCCAGCACATAGCAAACAGGCGTCAATGGTGTAGGCAGCGCAGAAATTGGGGTAATCGTTGATGGGCGCGTGTAATGTTTTCAGATGAGTCCAGACTTACTCTGGATTTCACCGATAGACGTGCTCGCGTTTGGAGGTGGGTAAATGAGCGTCATGCAGACGTTAATGTCAAACCAGAGGTCGTGGTGGATCAATTTCGAGTTGCGTAAAAATATGCAGACATTCAACCATTTTGCGTTTTTTGCTCTCTACATCTGCTTGATTTAGAGTCTCTCAAAATACTCAATAGAAGCAAGTAAAATCGTTACGTGAACAACCCTATTTTGAGCGTCCTTATTTCATTGATATTATATTTAGTCTAATGACGACTGAAGGTTGACGGCATATCTATGGTTGACCGCACAGTTATTTTAATCATTCACTTCAACAAGAAGTAAAGAGCAAACGATCGCTATGAAAGCCAATATTTGATTGGCTGAATGTAAACAGTTTATCGTGTTCTAGCCAATCCAAAGTCTTGTATTGCTTTTAGTGCGGCAAAATCGGGGGTCTCAGAATAGCTACGTATAGAAGGCTTACTGCCATGAACTTTTAAACATTATGAACAAAATAAGTGGAAATATAAAAACCTATTGAGACTAGGTGCAGTAGTGGTGTGTAAATGCCGCCTGAAGCACGGAAATTGATGACGTAGTGTACAAACTACGAAATAAAATAATCTAATTATTCTCACTTCAGGGAAATTTTCTGCGTCAGACAGCATGACAGATTCGGGCGTGGCATTGATAGTTCTGCCCTTTGCTCAAGGTGCAGGTTGATGTTTCATCTTTCAAGATGATAATGCCCGTGCCCACCGCGCTCGTGTCGTGAATGACTACCTCCAGCGTCACCATATGCCTTGGCCAGCCATGAGTCCTGACCTTTCCCCTGGGATATGATCGGGAGACGTGTTCGTCGACGTCAACGTCAACCGACAACACTGCAAGAATTGGCCCTTGCAAGAGGAGTGGGTCAGATTGCCCCAAATCGTGATTGGATGGTTGATTAGGAGCATACCACGACGAATTGCTTAAAGATACATTATGGGAGATTCGATAAAGAGTTGGCAGTTCTCACTATAATAATTAAAAACTAGATAACGTAAAGGCAATTTGCTGAAAATTTCATTCAAATTGATCCACTATGAACCGAGAACTAAGCGAATAAAATTTCTGCCTAGCCTCGGTCATCATTACTAAAGTCAGTACGTTAAACAGCATAGTCTCGATTATCCATTTAATCGTTTAATCGAGAAGGAAATTTATGCAGTAAATCAGATCACAATCCACTTAAGATCGCAGGCTAGCGATGCCATCTAGAGTTGATTATGGTCTGGATAAGTTAATTAATGTCAAATTAATAATTTAGATAACATTTCAGGCCTAAAGAAAGACCTGCAATAGACAGATTTAGCTCTTGCATAATGTATGTTTAATGTCTGAGTATTGGTGGAGCAAATTACTCATTATTAAGACAAAAATCAAAAACGTCCATTTTCACTTTTGACAGTGTATCTCTTTGCAAGTGAAATGGGGCTGTCAGATAAGCCGCACTTATGAACTGTTTATGTTCATGTGTAGGCAACTGGCCTGTTATTAACATCATGCAATGAAATATAATAATACATGGAAATATAGATAATAATTTTGATACAAAAAGGTAGTGATACATGTAGCTCTACACAATTTATTTTTAGATTCATTGCATGGAATACAAACCCACTAACTGATTTTGCAACTGTTTTGGGTGGGTTAAATAGATTTTCTATCAATAAAGTAGATAATTGTCTGCAAATGTTGGGTATATGTGATATGAGGAATTAAACTGAAATAGTAAAATCCTCACTCAGACTTCACACAAAATTGATGTCTCTTTAAAATTTATTATTACCTGGAGTGGAACAGTGGAACTTGACATTGGCATTGGAGTAAATATTTAAAAAAAAAAAACATCTATTAATCAACTAGACTAAGATATAACATTGTCACTGAAGTAACCACAGTATCAACTGTCAATATGGAAATAATTACCTGCACACGTCTTATCCGGAGAAGGTTAAAAGTAAAACTAAAAGGTGAAATTATTAGGAGGATTTACATTTCATTTAGGTCCAAAAAGTACTGTTTTCCTGCAACAGTTTGGAAGTGTTAACCATACTTAATAATTAATGTACTTACTGTTTACAAAGACAATATTTTGTTACGCGGGACACCAAGACTGTCTCTTTATGTATCCAAAACAACGATACCAAAAAATAAAAATAACAGTATTATTTTTAGTTTACGGAAAATTTACCGGTACATCGACATACTGTTTATGCCTACCGCTAGCTGGCGCAGTTGTATAAATCGGTGAAACAACCAAAAGAGCCTAGTGAATTTTGCCCTTTGGCCAGGCTCGCACTGTGAAAAAATAAATATTAAATTTAAAATATAGTCGATTTGTCTGCGATATTATTTAATTTGAGAAGCCAATGGTGAATAAACCTGTTTTACGCGTCATTTAGTTTACTGAAACTGCAGGTGGTAAAATATGAAAGCATAATAAAGGCAGGACAGATTATATTGAATGAAATGGGGATTTAATGTTTAATGTCCTACTTTTCTGTACCAACAGTGTGCTATAAGTGAAATTTTACCCGGACATCAATTGTTTTTTGGGGTTTTTGGGGGTTTTTTTTTACGCCAACGTTGTTTTGTACCATCCGATCCGAACGTCTGGCAATGGGTATAACGACGCTGGAAAATCCGGGGAACTGGCTCGGCCAACGTAAGGGTCGAACCCCGGACCTCCTGGTTTACCGAGCCGAATTTAAAATGACCGCCGATTATCACCATATCTTTTTAAAAGAGACTGTAGACACCTTGAAATTTTAATAAACATAAATAATGACAAAGTTAAATTTGCATGCTTTTCAAACAAAATGTACAAAAAAATAAAACATTAAGCCAATAAAACTTATCTTTATTATATACAAAATCAAGTTAGTTATATTAATCATAAAACGCTGCAACCACAGATTTTGTAATGACCTATTCATGACAATAAAAACGCAATACATAACAAACTATTAAAAAATAATAAGACATATAATGCATAATAACTATGCGATTGCCAAAAGGGCATTTTCGCTGCCATGGTGTTCTGAGGCTCGTAGGGTTTCTTGTAATTAGTCGGCTGTGCTTTGCTTACGACGGGATACTTTCCATTTTTCGATGCAAAGATATTATTGTCATGAATGTTACGTCATGCGATTTTCATTTTCATGTTTATTCCATTTTTGTATCATCTAGATATTCTCTACAAATTATGAAGATTGCAAAACAAAATTTTGAAGAGATTGCAAACAAGTAAATGAAAAAAGCTATTGGATAGATTGGTATATGGATGAATAATTAATAGATAATGCAAGATAACTGCACCAAAACAAACGATATATTAGTGACTTTACAAACACAGAGAAAATATATCAATTCAATTCAACAGAAACAAAAACTGAAATAAGTAAACAACTGTGCGTTACCTGTTCAAATTGTCTCAGTGTTAATGAACAAAAATTTCCTACCAGACCTTCTTCGAATTTCAGCGATTCGGCTTTTTGTCCCATCCGAATGACTAGTTACATTCGAGCCAGTAAAATAAGTCGCCCGCCCCCCCCCACCAATATTTCAAGGATATATAATGACCTCAAAGGGCAGTGAATTAGTATCACACGTGTCAAATTTGTCTCTTTTCATATTAATTACCCTGTATGTGGGTTTTTATAGGTTATGTGATTTTATACTTTGTACCCTTTGTTTCGTATTTTCATATATGTGTCATGCATATGTAGTTTTATACTGTCTATTTATATAAGTGCTCTGAATTTATGCCCGTCCATGTTTTTGTACCCGTCCAAAGTTTTTGTACTTGTATCTAATACTTTGTATATTGTATGCTGTCCTCAAAGGACGGTTCGATGCAATAAAATTCTATATTCTATTCTATTTTATAGATATCAATACCAAGCTGAGTACCATAATTGTCTTTATTCAGCCCCTTAAACATACATGTATCATACGTCAATTTGAGACCGGTCTACCAATCCATTGGTCGGGAAGATTTAAAAATTGTTACGGGTCGTAAAGGTTTGACCTTTCGATAATAATTAGCGACTATGGTGTTATTTCGAAAATGATATTATATATAATCAATTACATTTGTTATCCTGTTGAAATCGATTAACTAACAGCTAGAGGCGTTTCTTCTTTCTAGAATATGATCCTAAATGTTTTATTCTTCTGGCAAAATATTGCAACGTATACGGTATTCATACCCTTGAATTGAAGAAAGGGTTGATGCATTTTGTAGATAGAAACCATGTATTTTGATCCATTTATGAGGGTCTCAGTACTCACGGTGCCAATATAGAGTGAAGAAAGTCGTCAAATATTAATCCTAATTATGCTCATTTAATTATCGAAAACCCTGGCACTGACCTAAAAACGTTTGTTGAACTCCTTTAAAACCATTGTAAAATGTGTATGTCTGCGACTCGTAACTGGTGTCTTAAAACCTGATGAACTTTAAGTACCGGTAATGAAAACCTGGCTGGTGTCTGATTTGTCGCACACTTTATAACCCGAACATATCAGAATAAACTGCCAAATGAAAATTGTTGCAGCAGAATAAAATATGGGTGGGAAATTAACAAATTCCGACCATTTTCCGTATATTTCAGCTTCGTCGTTCGCACCTTTTCAGCGCTTCAAAGACGGCGGTACCTTCACAGTATGAATCTGTCGCCTCTAAATAGGCGCGAATTAACTTTGATAAATATATAGTATGTATGATTTCCATATAAAATAGTTTTTAATTATCTTTTGTTTTTTATAGAATAGTCTATTTTACCTATAGGGATAGTATTAGTAGAGATAATAAAATCAACAAACCACACAATCTGTTGTTATGCTGTATTCGAGTTGAGCCGAAAAGGCAGAGGAGCTCCAACCTTGGTCCATGCAAAATGTTCGTTTAATGTTAACATACCGTACTTACTTGTACGATTAACAATATAAACTAATTTATCATTCTATAATTCTATAGCCGAAGTCTATTTTACAATTTGTGTATTTATATTTTCAAAAGAACTACGGAATTCGTAAGGCTTTACCGACATAAGCAATAACCCACGAAACCGAGCTAAAAAATAAACAACCAATAAACGGAATTAGAAACCGTTTAGCAGTAAAAAGTTGCCCAGTAAGATTTACTGGGAACTGAAATTTTTTCGACAAGGAATCAATAGGCGGGTTCCTGAACGTCCAGGGCGAGTGTAACGAGAACTCACGTTCAGACTATTCAGAGCTGAACTATAGGCCATACCTAGTTTATAATTTCTGGTCTCTACGGCGTTGGTTTTAAGAATAAGAAGTGGGCGGATTGACAAAGGTAAAACAGTATGACAACATGATTTGGGTTTTTTTTTTTCGTGGTAATGCAAAAAGTATAGTCATAGTCCCTATTAAAAAAAAAAAAAAATTCAACAGATTGAATAATTATAACTGGTGTCTAAAAGGGGTTATCTCCCATGAACCGTGTGTCCGTAGTTCTCTTCCGATGCATTGTATTTAAAAAAAACAAACAAAAAAACGTGTAATATTTTGCTTGAAATCAGATAAGCAGAATTTTTTGTTACAGCTCTATGTTAAATAATTAATTTGCACCAACTACAAATGTCGCTCGAACCCAGTATTCACCTTTGTATTTATTTTATCCTTATTGGGACAAAATGGGTCGTCACCGCCTGAAAGGCCCTGTTGCTTTCGTACACTTTTATCATTCATATTTATAATGCCATGCCATGTTAGTTCTCTTTGATAAGGATGGACTAAGTGTTATTTTCAATGATCTTTGGACATTGAAGATGGTTTTATAATTGTTTTTCGAAGTTTAGTGAACCTAGGTATACGTTTGGCTTTTACTTTAATCTTCCGCCATTTGCAGAAGAAGTTGTGTGGGAGGGATTTTGATTGACAGGTCGGTGCTCTTTGGAAACTTCAAAGGTAGAAAAGGTGCGAAGTACCCCAGGTAAGTTGATTATTCCAGAATAAGTCATTCACACTATTTTTGATAAGAAGGGATGATGAAAGTTAATGTCTTTTGCCTTATCAAATATTTAAAACACCATCAAGGCCTATATCAAAAAAAATAAAGAAGAGAAAGTCTCAAGACTCTGTGGGTCTAGATCAGTAGATGACAATTTTATAAGATTGCATTAAGTAATTAAAGTTAATAATGTGGCATTATCACTTAAATAGAAGTATTAATATTTAATCTTATTATTATCACTCAATAGCCTATGAGGTATTAATAATAATCCTAGAGACTAGGCCTACTACTACTAGAGTGCTAGAGAAACATTCAATTAATCAAGTACTGAAGTAGGTCCTATTGGCCTAGATCTACTTTCTTTTGGTTACATTGTTAAATTTAATGAAAAAAGTAAAATATATAAAGGGCAGGTTTTGATCCATTCCAATTTATTAATTTTAATATGTAGAAATAATGCATGAATTTCACATACATATACATGTAACTATTTTTGTGTACCATTTTTCAAACAAGGCTGTGTGTCAATGGTCAATAGAATAATGTGGTTTTAAAGCAACTAGTTCAACTTTAAATCTTTCTTACATATTGTCTTATTCCCTCCATTAGCGGATCTAGAAGCTGTGGAAAGGGGGGGGGGTCGTTTCAAATCTCGGGCACCATCCACAATCCCACCCCACTCAACTGTGAATGTCAACAAAATACTGGCTATAACACTGAGCGTCCCGGTAGAACATAGACGTATTGCCAATAGTTGTTTGCCGATCATTATCTCACTGGAAAGCAGTTTTATTCAAGTTGACAAAAGGTTCATGTCATATTATGATTGTTATTGATTTTGTTAATAATTTTTTTTTTTTTTCTGGGGGGTGAGGGGTCACGGTGGGTAAGACGCTGTGGGTAAGACGCTGGCTTACTAGCCTGGATTTCGGGTGTTCGATCCCTACATTGGCCAAGAAAGTTCATCCTGATTTTCTGGCATGGTTTCCCCTTGTCAGCGATGCAGAACAGAGGGTGGGCCTGACCAGGACAGCTGTCCTGTGTAAACATTGGCATGCTCGTAAAAGATCCATTGACAGTTGGAATTCAATATAAGAGTAGGACATAGTGCCGCTGTCCGGGCAAAATTTCCCTCATAGCACATTATGGCGTATGCCCGTCTTCATTAGCCTAGTTCGAAGCAGAACAGTAGGACATTAAACCCCATTCATTTCATTTCCTTTATTAA